ACTGCTGTCACTGTGGATGGTATTAAACATGTCGAAGGAGGCAGTGATTGCTCATTAGTACTTAAGAAGCGATTAGATTGTGCTTATCCTAGGTGCTTTTCCAACGTGACGTTCTTACGCTGTCTTGCTAGGATCATTTCAGAGATGAACATGTGAAACTTAATTAGCTATTACTTTATTGCAGTGAAATTCCTTATCTCATCAGCACTCCTAGGTACTTCAGGGAAGAGACTCATCTTTCATCTTTGTATCCTGATTGCCTAACACATGCTTGGAACAAAGCACTGATGAACAGTGCAGCATTTCTGGAGGGCTTCCTAAATCTTAAATCCTGAGCTACAAACTTTACATACATTATCTCACTTCTTCATCGCAAATCCCTAAGGGCTAGATAATGCTGTTATTTCATTTTCTAGACGACAAAATTGAGGTTTTGAAAGATTCAGTAATTTTCCCAAGGCTCCTGTGTAAGAATTAGGCCTGAGCTGCTCAAATCCAAGCTCTGTGATTTCAAAGCCACCAGGGACCCCTACCCCTTATTGGCATGGGTGGTAATGCCGGGGGATGAGTGGTGGCCTGCAGGTGCTACCAGAAAATAAAGGATGTGAGCAGCTTTCCAATCAATTTCTTCTGCTTTCTTGATTTTTCTTCCTCTGTCCCAGTGTCAAGGCTGCTATTTGGCTAGTGCAGATTCTAAAGTAACACTCGTTTCATTTCCTTAGCGTCAATATAAAATGTTAGCTGATTACCATATGGAACACGAGAACTCTGTAACCAGATATCTTTTCCCCATATTTAACTTTATGAGTTCATGAGCTGTAAAGAGCACATTTCCCTTTAGTTGCATTTCATTAGCCATTTATTTACCAAAACAGTTTATCTTTGTGAAGTAGAAATATTTTATATTATCATTTCATATAGATCAAAAAAAGTTTATTAATGAATCTAAAAATATTCAAAATATCCTGTGATTGTAAAATAACCGTTGGTCAAAACAAGACTACTCCATGGAACTACACCACTCTCCTGGCTCTTACCATTCTGGGATTACTTTTATTCAGAAGTGATTTTAATCCTACCACAAGGACTCATCAAGATACCGTATATTTGATGAGAAATTATTACTAGGTGGAACCATTTTAAAAGCTGCTGTTTTTTCCATTTTTGACTGATAAAAATATTTGTATGGTTCAACCTCATAGTTGCTCTCACCAAAGAAGTAAAGTATAATGTTGTTAAGCATTTTTTGATTTTTAAACGCAAGAAGACATGACTCTAAGAGTTTCTGTATAAGTTGATGGTAACCTGGTTAACTGCTCTACTTGGCCAGCATGATGCTTTGAGCTGATAAGCATGTCCCAGGCCCACCAGGAAAACCACACAAGCAGCCAGAGACCTTTGTTGCGGCAGCCGTGCTCTGTCAGGGAGCAGGCAGACAAGGAAGAAGTAATGTGAGCGTGTCCTCCAGTGTTGGACAGAATAGGCTATAACCTCGCAGCAAACTGTGAACTTGCTTAAGGTCAAAACCTGGACTTGGCACTCCTGTCTCACAGAACTTGCTTATCTAGATGTTTCGAAAGTATCTTCCAGTGTGCCCTGTTTATCAAACAGGGCAGAAAAACAAGGAACATTTGTTGCACTGCTTAGTCCAGTTTTGTAGCAGTGTTCCGGGATGGGGTAGCCAGGATGTGGAACCTGGCTTGCAGGGTAACCGTGAAGGAGCTGAGTGAGGGTAACGCTAGCCCAAGGCAGCCCGGGTCTAGCACCCACGCCTGGGCCACAGCACACTGTGGCATCAGTGTTGATAACCGAACATCAGCAGGTGGACCAAAATCACATTGCGCCCATAACGTGCAGATGGGAGCCTGAATCGGGCAGAGATGATGGGTTTAGAAAGGCTGAGGTCTGACGAGGTAACGAGCCCAGCAATGTCCAAGGTGAGGCAGCAGGAGAGGTGAGCACTCAGTGAGGAGGATCAGCAGGTGATGTCACAGGGGATTTTGCCTCAGTTATTTTATTATTCCAGACTGAAGTGTGTTGTCCTGTAAAACCGAGACAGATACCCATATGTGAGATAACACTTAGATGAGATAGCACTGTGTCTGGTCTCTCTATTGGAGGTATGAAGTCCATTCTCTTCCTGCAAAACTAAGTCAGTGACAGATGTTCTGTGTTGATATGCCTGTTTGACTAGAGATATGTATTTTTATTAGTCCGTTTGGGCTGCTATTATGACAATACCAGAGGCTGAGTGGCTTAAACAACTCACGGTTCTGGAGGCTGAGAAGTCCAAGATCAATATGCCAGCAGATTTACCCGTTTCCTGTGTCCTCACATGGCAGAAGCGGCAAGAGAGCTTTCTGGGGTCACTTTTTAAAGGGTATCAATCCCATTCATGAGGGCCCCACCCTCATGACCTAATCACCTCCCAAAGGCTCCTTCTCCAGATACCTCCACATGGGGGCTAGGATTTCAACATATGAATTTGGGAGGGACACAAACATTCAGTCCATTGCAATGTATGTGTCTCTGTGTGTAAACTGCTCTCTCTGTCTATAGATCTAGCTAAACTACATCAGCAAATGTATTTGGCTTGTGAATATCTATGACCATTTATACCTTGAATTGTACTAATTTGGGGATGTGTTTTATGTCCATTTTAGACTAGATTTAGATTTTGATAGCAGGGTATTTATCCTCAGCAATACTTTTCAAATAATATTCACTTTGTAACTATTTGATACCTGAAAGGATGATTGGATGAATTCAAACAATTGAGGGTGTTTACTAAACAAACTCAGATTTGTAGTTTTTAGTCCAATGTGAGTTTCAAATATTTTCTGTAGCACAAGGCTTTACTTCCTGTTTAAAGGTTAAGTCCACTTGCTGTATTTTACCCACTTGCTGTATTTCTGCTAACAAACACAAAAATCTTAATTTCAGGGGAGAAATGAAGGACCGAATTGAAAAAAATATTTTTTGGAAAAAAAAAAACCTCTTTTACTTAATTAACAAACTAGGCTTAAACAAAATCAATAAAATAGTAACGTGAAGTGTGAAAGTTTTATCTATGGAAACTGAAGGTTTTATAGGCAGAAACAAGAATATGCTATCAGATCAGATCCAAAGAGATAAAAGCTTAGGAACATTTTTTGAAAAAGTATTTCCTGTAAGAGAACTACCTTTCCACAGGCTGTAAAAAATTAACAAGAGAAGATGCTGCTGTCCTTGAAATCCCTCCCAAAAGAACCGCAGTTATAGGAATGTTATGACAGTGGCTGATTTTGTGAGTGTGTGTTTACATTTACATGTGGAAAATGTGGAGAGTTTGGAAAAAGACTTTGGGCTATTTGTAATCAGTGGAGGCTGAGAGAGGAAGAGGAATCACATTGGCTCGACTGTGCTTATAGGATGGTATTCTATGATAATCAACAGAAACTTCTTTTTGCATGTCTCTACTATGGCATAGAAATGTGCTAGATGCTAAGGCTGATGAAAACAAAACAAAAAAACTTAAAACAAAAAACAAAAACCCACGGCCCTGTCTTCAAAGAATATGTGGCCTAGCTGAGTAGACCACACAGGTAGGTTTGGAAAAATAGTTATCAATATGAGTTATTAAGTGACAAGAACCAAATGAGTAGCGTGGGGACAAAAGTCAGAGGAAGACTTGAAATCATGATGAAAGAGGTGGGAGTCGGAGGGTTAAGGGTTATGACCGACAGGGAAGCAGTTGACATTCCAGGGAAGTAGCTTAGGACAAGGAACAGAGGCGGATAAGCCTAAAATCTACTGGGTTCAGTGGGCAGATCAGTGTGAGCAGATGAGACAGCTCATGCTGCAAGAGAGAGGAGATGAGCCTGAAAAGAGTCTCCTGTCAGATTGCGGAGGCCACAAGTGCCGGGCTAAGGAGTCTGGATCTTCCTGTGGACATTGGGGGCCCACTGAAAGCTTTTGAAGAAGAGACCACCAGAATGAAGGCAGCATATTAGAAAAATCATTCCAGTGATGGTGCAGTGCAGGAACTAGACTGGGAGGACCTGATGGCACGGATACCTGGAGAAGAGATTTCACAGGAAGAGTCAGCAGGATTCACTGGATGTAGGTAGTGGTAAAAAAAAAAAAAGAGGAAGATATTAAAATGTTCTTCAGACTTTGACTTTGGCTCATCCATAACAGAATATAAAGCCACACCAATTTCCTATGGAAAACTAATTTGGAGGGAAGACAGTTGTTTTAGACAAGGTATGTACAGGGTTAGAGTGGGGCAGATCAGCTCAGAAGGCTCAAGCCAGCACTGAAAATGTACCCGTGGTAGCTAAGGTAGTAAGTGCAGATTTTGTCATTTATTTAAAAGATCTCTGAACGGGAAGAAGAGGGGTGGTCAGCATAGCTTAAAGATCTGTGCAGAGCAAGACAGCTTAGAAATAGATCTCAGGGCCTCAAAAAAGAATGACCTAGCCTTGTGCTACCCGCTGCATGGCCCCATGTAGCCACTGCCTGGGAATGGGCCTGTTCAAATCGAGGTATGCTGTAATCATCAACTACCTACCAGGTTTTAAAGACTTAGTATGAAAAGGAATAATGGGAAATTAATAACATTTAAATATTGGTGATACATTGAAAGAAGAATATATTTGATATACTGGCTAAATAAAATGCTACTAAAATTAATTTCACCTTAAAAAATTTTAAATACAGCTACTAGAAAATGTACTCACCCTGTATTTTCCTTGGACACTGCTGATCTAGACTTTGTAATGAAGCTCACTAATATAGCAGCCTGAAACACACATGCTCACATACACTTCAACAGTTGAATGCAATTTTACCCCCTCTACCCAATCTGAAATTTTTCAAAATGTGTTTTGCACTTTGTGAGTATATTTCTGCATTTTGTGACCGGTATGTATTGTAGACATACTTTTTTTTTTTAATTTTACACAAAACTTACGTTATCTCATCTTACTGAACGTTTGGCTGTTTTTTATTTTCACCAGCAGATGATGCTACAGCTGATAGCCGCAGAACTTACACTCTAACTGATTATTTAAAAAACACTTTTAGATTGAAGGTCTACACCTTGCAATGGGTTTCAGGTAAGAACTTTTTGTGGAGAGGGGGCTGATTTCCTGCTTCTTTTCATTCTAGTTAGCTGATGGGGCACTTTTATGGCACCGAGAAGATACCCTTATTTTTAAAAACCATATAGGAGAGTATTTTTTGTACCTGAGAATGCAAAGGGAGTTAAGACAGAAAGAAACCTTTGTATTTCTTTGCTATGTACTATAAAAAGTTAAACGTGAATTGAAACCTTTATAATAATGATGGAAAAGTGAAGGCGTACTAGTGTAATATTCATCAGTTAATGTTTGTCCAACTTAGAAATGCCTGTTTAGTACTTGTGTGAATTTAAATCTTCAATTTTTATTGCATGAATTCTTTTAGCTGCTAAAGATGTTTAATAGCAACTTGAAATATTGATCTGCCTGTTTTCTCTCTTTAGATCATGAATATCTCTACAGACAAGAAAATAATATCTTGCTATTCAATGCTGAATATGGAAACAGCTCCATTTTCTTGGAGAACAGTACATTTGTATGTTTAATCACATAATTAATTCCTGCTTTAAGGGAATTCTGGGGATTTTTTTCATAACCTTTTAAATCATGAGCACTATCGTTCCTCATCCATATCGGGCTCTCTCTGCAGCATATGGCGCAGTGGATCTTTCTCTTCTTCTTGGAATACTCCCTGCCTTGGCTACTCTTTAGTCTCCTTTGGCGATCCCTCCTCCTCTGCATCCTCTTCTGTGTAAGTGCGCCTCCGGGCCCCATCTTCACTGCTGGCCTCCCTCCCCACGTGGCGTGCTCTCCCTCAGTGAATTTCACCCACTTCCACAGCAGCCAGTGCTCTTCTCTCTGGCCTGGCTTCTCAGACACAGGCTTTTAACTCTAACCTCCTCCCAAGTTCCAAACCTCTGTTTCCAATAGCTGGCTGGCTCCTGCGCAGGGTAGGGGGGTGGGGGTAGCCTGCAGGCATTTTAAGTCAGATCCCAAGCTAAACAAGTCATTTCCCCTCCCTCTCCTAGCAAACGGAAAGCTTCCTGTTCCTCTTCCTGACTTACCAATCTTGGTAAATAAATAGCGCTCTCCTCCAAGTGGCTTAAGCTGGGGACCTCAGAATCCTCCTGATTCCCCTGTTGTCCCCCACATTCAGCTGCTCAGCAAACCCCATCAGTCCCCCCTCTGCAATGTCAAGTGTCTCTCAGATTTCCATTTCCACTCTGTATAGTCCTGGTTCAAGGCCTTGATTAATCTTGTGACAGTGAGTAGTCTAACTTGGGTTCGTGTCTCCATCCCGGAAATCAGCCACAGCATTGCCCAAGTCCAGGGCTAATGCAACCCTCTCTTGTCTCATCTCAGCCACTGTGTCACCAGAGCATGTTTTTAAAAGACAGATAAGATTCTATCACATCCATGTGCAAAAAAGGAGTTCATTGTTTTGTTTCCTACATTTAGATGCTGATAATGTGCTAGATAATTTTTGTCCTCTCTGTCTGACACAACCCATTCATATTCAGGTTGCACCTAATCTTTAGACAGTCTCTAAATATGCATGCCCTTCCTGAATCTGGGTTTTTCCTCCTGCTGTTTCCCCTTCTGAGAAAGTTCTCTAATCCTCACCCTTATAGCCTTGGTTAGAATTAATCCTTCCCTCCCTGATTCTCTAACCCTGATCACCACCCACCTTTCATCACGGTCATTTGGAGTTGATCAGTTGTTCTTTTTTCTACTTGATTGACAGGATGAATTTGGACATTCTATAAATGATTATTCAGTATCTCCTGACAGACAATATATTCTCTTCGAATACAACTATGTGAAGGTAAAAGAAATGCTTTTTTACTGTGACATTTAAGGAACCCTGTGAGTATGTTAATTTTTAACTAATTTCAAGTCTGTGAATACTTAAGGTTGATACGTAAGTAATACAATGGGTGCTCAAAACTCATTAATTCAGTGTCAAGGGAGAAAGGGTCAGTCTCATTCTTAAAAGGTAAGTCCAATGAATGTTCTAAAAGAAACTCATTTTCAGTGCTTTCAAATACTGAAAAGTCTAAGTAATATTATAGATAGTAAAAACATAGGTTAGTAAATTAGAACATATAAGTTAGAAGTAAGTTTACATGTCTGACTGTACATCCAGTAATAAAATCCTTTATTTCCTTTGTCTCAGCTTGACGTCTAGTAAAACTCTCAAGTATTTGCTTTAAAAAGAGTTAAACTTCTCATCCTCCAGAAGAGACGCTGCAAGGCCCCCAGACCCCACCACACACAAACCATGGGGAAGGGGGAGCCTCAGCCCAGGCCATCAGCACCCCGCAGGGAGCACTGAAGCACATTCAGAAAGTGTTACAGCCTGATCTCACGTCCTGTCCTTGTTTAGGGTGGCTGCAAATCGCCAGTGACGTTGACTGCAGCTTTTTGATTATTCGCGGATTTGACAACAGTTGTTGAGTATAGGAAGTTTTGAGATATGTAAGAAAGATTAAAAAACAGTAAAGAGATAGTCTGCATTTAAAACAAAACACAAAGCTGGTTATCCCCACCTCTGCCTTGTTTTCTAGAATAAATAGTGAGTACTGAGTGGGCTTATCTCACAGGCCAGCACTGCTGTACTCAAGCCACGTAAACTATCTCCCTCAGCCCCGACTCCATTTCCCACTTTGGGATGGTGACTCCCAGTCATAGTATTTACCCTGATTCACCGTGCTGGACTCCAGTTCCTGGACGTGCAGATTTGCTGACTGTTTTGCTAAATCAACTAGGGAACATATCAGAAACCTACGACGACTTTAACCAATTAATGGATAATGGTTTAATTCGGTGATTCTTTTTGCTGTCTACAGATTAAAATCTCATGAGGAGCTTTTAAAACTTCCTAGTGTCCAGGTCTGATCCCCAGAGCAATAAACTGAAGTCTCTGGGGTGAAGCTGGCATCAGTATTTTTTTTAAACATTCAATTATGTTAATGAGCAACCAGGGTAGGGAACTACTGATTAACGATTTCCCACGTGAAAGACCAACATGTAAGGACTATAAGGTTAAGGTGGAAAAAGCAAGGTAAATACCAGCTCAATGAACTATTTAGCCAAGTTCAAAAGTGCCCTATGATGTGTACTGATGGATGTATTTCACTGGGAGACCTTAGCTGGACAGCCATCGCTGGAAATTTGTATTTGTTGTGTCACTGGAGTTCTCATGTGCATTTAACTGCTTTTGCACTTTTCATTCTGTCCTCTTCATCCCGCTGTCTGCATTTTCCAGGAGGATCCAAGCTCCTTTTAAAGCCTAAGTTAGATTATGTCGTGCCTGTGCTTAATCCTTCACGATCAGTAGCTTCCCATCCCTTTCAGAATAAAATGCAACCTCTAACATGGCATCCTCGGAAGCCTGTGTGACTGATCTCAGTCTGCCCTTCTGAACCCACTTCCTGCTGCCCTCTCTGCACTCACCATGCTTAGCCAGTGCTTCCCACCCTTGCCTGCACTTTGGGATCACCTGGGGTGGTTTTTCAAATTACAGATGCTTACAACCTACCCCACACCAACTAACAGTATAACTATGGATGGGGTCAAGGCCTGGGGAGTTTTAAGGACTTCAAAGTCAAGAGCCTTTAAGTGTACAGCTCTTTATTTCTCTCAAGCATCACTTTCATTCCCATCCAAGGGCCAAAGTATTTGCTTTTGCTTCATCCTGGAATCTTCCTCCTCTGATCATCATCTGACTCCCCCTTCTTCGTAATTCAGGTCCAGCCTTCTTGATCACTTTAACATCACCCCCTGCTGCTCTGTTCTTCCCCCATGCTCAACCATTCACTCCGTAGCACATTAGCTTATTTTATTTTCTTCATACATTTTATTGCAAAGCATTAGATTATAAGATTATTGAAAGTAAAGAACTACATCTTCTGTTTTACTTCCCAGAGTATCCAATAGAGTTTTCTGTACAGCATAGATGTGCTGACTCATCCGCTCTCAAGAACAAAGAGAAGTCTGGTTTTATTCCATTTCCCTGGAGGTCTACTTCCGGTGTTGTTTAGATCCTACTGCACGGCTTCTCCATGACTGAGTTAGCACTCCAGAAAGATCAATTATTACTTTTAAGGTGTGGCTACAAAAAGATGAGTGAGTGACTGAAAACGTAAATAAATAAGTACCATACATCGTAGTATGGATGTTCTCATGGATCTGCACTCATTGCTGAGCCTTGTGCAGATAATAATAGTTGCGTCCTCTGTGACCTGTTGACAATGTCCCAGGAGCCCTAAGTACTTCACATGCATTCGCATGCACCTGAGATTGTTTCTGCCACTGTCCTCACCAAATTGAAGCTTAGAAAGAAACTTGCCTGATATTACACATTGGAGACTTGTCTTCGTCCATTGGGCCCCAGAAAAGAATACCCCAGACTGGGTGGCTTAACAACAGAAATTTATTTCTCAGAGTTATGGAGGCTGAGAAGCCCAGGACCAAGGTGCCAGCAGATTTTTTGTCTGATGAGGTCCCACTTCCTGGATCGTAGTTGGCCATCTTCTCCATGTGTTCTTATGTGGTGGGAGGGACAAGGCATCTCCCTGGAGTCTCTTTTCCTCCAGTGGCCCCACCTCCAGACCATCACATGGGGTGGAGGGTTAGGATTTCAACATATGAATTGGGAGGGGAGTGGATACACATATTCAGTTTGTAGCAAGATTTGAATCCAGGTTAGAAGACTCCAAAGCTTGTGCTCTTAAACATGATCTTTCCTATCCTTGTGCTTCAAATTCTCTCTACTACAATGTTTTTTTTTTTTACCCTTCTCTGTGTGGCAATCTTCCTCCCCCGAGATTCCATCCAAGAATCACCTTTTCCCTAAGCCTCTTCCCTCCCCAAGGTCTAGTTGATGATTCCCGCCCTTCCCCACCCACCTCCACTACATGTCTCGTGATTCTTTTCCTGTAGTTTACGTCTCCATATCTCCCATTCAACTATTAGCTCCTCAAAAAGAGGGAGCCTGTCTTATCCAGTAATGCCTGATTGAAGGTAGCTGCCAATGTTTATAGCTTAAATAGACTGATGAGTCTGTTTCAGAAGACGAAGTGAACATACAGACATCTTGGATTTCCCTTTACAACCCATGATAGATCTGCCATTCTGAAATGATCTCAAAACTTCTTAAATCTCTTAATATTTTTAGCCTGTACCACAACTTTTGGCTCTAGAGAGTATTATACTCAGAAGTTTCCCAGAAATAAGCATGGAGTCTGTCAGAATAATCCAGGATTCAGAAAGGAATGTGTGATTTGCAAAAAGTGGGGACTTAATAAATATTTGTTGACAGGAGAGGATAGACAGGTGATAAATGATAAGTGGGAAACAGTCCTCAAGATCGGAGCCTGACTTGAGTCTCAGTCTGTGAGTATAGCTGGGGGTCCTCGGGCTACCCGTTTCATCTATTTCTGCCTCATCAGTAAATTCTCATTATTTTCGTTTGGTTTATTTCTTGAATACATACTGTGTGGCTTGCTCTAGACCAGACTGCAGGTATTTACAGATGCATAAGACACAATTTCTTACCTCTAGAAGTATGGTAGGGTAGTCAGACATAAAGACAAGTAATTTCTTTTAAAATATCTTTATATGTACATTCCCATAGAAATATAGTTTTTCATAAATGCAAATCTGTGATCATATTTTGTTTTAATCTTCGGTCTTATTTTTTTCCATTTGTGCTTGGCTCCATACTCCTCACCCTGCTGCCTTTTCCCCAGGTATCCCATGTTAAGACTGTTGTCTATCCCTCCACAATTTATATTTGTTTCTTTATTCACATAAATTCTATGAAGATAGAGATTCTTTTTAGTTATTGCTCATTTTATAAAAATAGAATCCTATTTTCCATACTTTTCTGTAAATTGCATTTCTCACTCAGTGATACCATGTGGAACTTCTTCCAAGTCATCTGGTGTGGCTCTAATTCATTTATTTTTGAATTAATAGACTTTATTTTTTTAGAACAGCTTTAGGTTTACAGAAAAGGACTGGAAAGTACAGGGAGTTCCCATATACCTCCTCACCCCTCCTGACCCCACCCCAACCCCTGTTATTTTTCCTGTTGTACATTCTATGGGTTTTGACAGATGTATAATGCATAATGGCATTTATCTGTCATTACAGTGTCATACAGAATATTGTCACTGTCCAAAAAATCCCCTGTCCTCCGTCTTTTCATCCCTCCCTCTACTCGAACACCTAGAAACCACAGATCTTTTTACTTCTGGTAATTTTGCATTTTCCAGAATGTCATTTGGTTGGAGCCATACAGTAGATAGCCTTTCAGACTGTCTTCTCTCACTTAGCAATTTAAGTTTGCGTTTAAGTTCCCTCCATTTCTTTTCATGGTTTGGTAGCACGTTACTTTTATTGCTGAGTGATATTCCGTTGTCTGAATGGACCACGGCTTGTTTATCCATTCACCTGTTGGAGGACATCTCAGTTACGTCTGAGTTTTGGCAGTTATCAATAAAGCTGCTGTAAAAATTTTGTGTGGAGGCTTTTTGTGTGGGTATCAGTTTTCAACTCATTTGGCTAAATAACAAGGAGCTTGCTGGAAAAATTATTTGAGCTGGGAGTTTTCTTTGTATAAAGGTTCTTTATGGATTCAATTTGCTTATTAGATGCAAGACTATTCAGAGTCTCTATTTTTTCTAGTCCCACTTTTGATAACTTGTTCTTTAAGGAATTTGTCCTTTTTTCTAATTTTTAAAATTTATTGGTAAAAGACATTTACAATAATATCTTACAGTCTTTTAATGTCTGTAGAGTCTGTTGTGGTGTCCCATTTTTCATTTCTGAGATGATTTATTCACACTTTTTTTTCCTTATTCTCTGTTAGCAATATTGTTAGTTTACTTTAAAGAGCCAGTTTTTAGCTTTGTTGACCTTTCTCTACTGTGTTCTTTATTTGATTACTGCTTTTACCTTTCTTATTTCTTTTCTTCTAATTTCTTTGGATTTGGTTTGCTTTTCCTTTTTTAGCTTTTTGAGATGATGATTTAAAATATTGATGGTATACATATTTCAGTTTTAATATATATTACCAGGTGGCTTTCAAAAAATCTATAACTCTTTATATTTTCATGATCAGTGTAAGAAGGTAAACATCTCTCCACATCACCACCAGCAATAGAATTAGCGAACTTTAAGATATTTGGCCAATAAGATGGTTGAAAAGTAAAAATTTACATTTTTCAAACAGTAAACTTAACATACCCATGGTAAGTGCTAGGAATAACGTTTCCACAGGATGTGGCACCTCAGCCCACTGTCGTTCTGGGGAGTCCCCTTTGCAGGGGTAGGACCAGAGATGAGGTACAGATGAAGTCCAGAGGAGTTTGTACTACATGATTTCTAACACATTTTCTAACTCCAAAATTCTAAGAATCTAGATAGGGAATTGTGAGATATAAAATCTGAGAATTATACAATGTTATATGGCTTTATCTCTCATCTTGAGCTCCTGTAAGCAAGTGGTCACACTCTCAAGAATCATGGAAGCCTGAAATGTCTGTTTTCTTTCATAGCAATGGAGGCATTCCTACACAGCTTCATATGACATTTATGACTTAAAGAAAAGGTCAGTGATTTCCTCCTAAAATCTGTTATGCTTTTCTAGTGTAATAATAGTTTGAAAAGAAAAGGAATCCCACTGTGATTTATTCATTTGGTAATGTTTCTTTTTATGTTTTTCCAGGCAGCTGATTACAGAAGAGAGAATCCCAAACAACACACAGTGGATCACATGGTCACCAGTGGGTCATAAATTGGTTAGTGAGCTTCTTCCCTTGTCAGAAACATGATGGCTCAGATCTCTTGTATGCAGAAGCTGCTAACCCAGATACAGAGCAGAAACTTAGGAAGCCAGTAGGTCACAATCAGAGGCTTAGTACCTAAAATAACACTTTGTTAGTCTAACATAGCAAATATAATTCCTGAAAGTTTCTGAACTACTATTAGGCAATTGTTTATTTACTGGGGAAATGTTTATTAAACTCTTAAATTCTAAATCTGTTGCACTTAAGTTTTTGTTTGGTTCGGTTTGGTTTGGCTTTTTTGAAGCATACTTGCTTTCTGCTAGATCTGTGACTTTCTCTGTGTCACCGTAGATATGTCTTCATGTTCTATAGTCTTAAGAGTGTCCGAAGTCCAAAAGAATCTAAACCGAAAGACAGACTGTTTATCTGTAGTTGAACTTCACCCCCTGGGCAGGCCAGGGGCCCTCCCTCCACTCCCCTCCCCCAGAGAGAAATGCAAAGCACCTGTCATTGTAAAGAAGTGGCCAGTCTTCCGGGTCCTTAGTAGCAAAAAGCCGTGGTTGTTCTTCTTCTTTTTAATAGTTAAGGAGTGTTTTTAAGAGTATTTGGGGATGATAGCATGTATACTTATAATTTAAGAACTTGAGGGGAGGGAGTAAATGACTCTTTTCCTGCTCAAATGGAATAACCTAAGGTAATCATTACACTTGCCTACCAATAATTTTGGGGGATAAAATAATTGATAAAATGTTTTTTTCAAACTCCAGGATAAAATATAACATATTATTTATCATATTCCCCACCCCCCAATCTTTCTAGGCATACGTTTGGAACAATGATATTTATGTTAAAAGTGAACCAAACTTGCCAAGTCAGAGGATCACGTGGACTGGGGAAAAAGATGTGATATATAATGGAATAACTGACTGGGTTTATGAAGGTAGGGACGTTAAAGCTTTTTCAGATCAGAAAATTTGTGCATTTTCAAAAACAGTTATACGTTTCCTTTGAAAATGGGACAGTTCATTAACATTCAAAATAAGGTTCCTTTTCTTTTTAAAATGTAATCAAATCCTCCTTCAGCCTTCACAAGCCAGGTGTCTCATAAACCAAGAATTTCCTAGCTGCTGCCACTCTTGTCCTCAGTGTCTCGTCGATGCTCCTATTGTCTTTGCTCTACTGCTACAAAGTGCCTTTCTGTGTAGGTAGCTTTTCTGCTCTACTGGGGCATAAAAGCCTCCAGATTAAAACATCAGATATTTCTCTGATTGGGCCCACCTAACCCAGAAGTTACTAAGGAAATCTAAGTATTCCCACAACATTCCAAAAGATGACGAAATACTGTCTGGAGGTTGGGGAAGAGGGGGGAAGAAAATGCCTGTTTCATAAAAGATTTGTGTTCATTTGAATTTGGACGAATGATAATTTCTTGTTTTTAAAGGAATAAAAACTAAAAAGATGTGATATATAATGGAATAACTGACTGGGTTTATGAAGGTAGGAAAAAATGAGGTCAAAAAACAGAACTGAAAAAGGTAAAAAGAATTATTCTCTCTTTTAGGATAAAGAGTTTTAGAAACGATTAGGAAAACATTATTTGTATCTACAGTTGCCAAGGTAAAAGGCATTTTGAGGCTGTTCCACACTGTTCACTAGATTGCCTCAAGCTTATTAAAGACTCATCCTTACCTTATCCTGTTATTTCTTCTTCATACTTAAAAAAATAATTGTTCTTCATGACTTCATTTTGTTTCTTACCAGTTCGAGCTCAGTTAAGTGGGTAACACTATAAGAACAACAACAGAATATACTTTAAAAGAAAGATAAATGTCCGTGGCCCAGAAACAAGTGTTTGATTAGAACTTACGATGACATTTACTAGCACTAGTCACTTAAAGATTGAAAAACATCTTTCACTGCTTGTTGGACAGCACAGCACAACCGCCAGGATCCCCGACGTGAGCTGGGTGAAGCCTCTTCCCAAAGCTGTGACCAACCCTTCCCTGGAACAGCTGGGCATCTCCAAGATAACACCCCAACACAGGGGTCCTGTCTGAGGGAGATAATAGCTGGAGGGCTCTCATTTTGCCTGTTCATGACTAAGCCATTCACAAGGAGAAGAAAGGCTTCACAGTTTCAGTGTGAGCCTGTCTTTAAAAATGGGACTTCGGTCCCTACAGGGAAATTCCTACGATTGGTTTTGTGTATTTAAAGGAGCACATCTGCTTCTCCATATATCAGATCACCCTCGCATTGGGGCCACCCTCTCCACTGCAGCCATGAAGACTTCTTGGGCAAAAAAGAGTACATTTGAGAATCTGTAGGTTTATAAGCAAAAGAACAGAGAAAGCTGCAAAGTCTAAACAAGGCCACGTGCCACGCTGTGGAGGGACGCTCACAGAGGAGCCCCTACCCCACCTGGAGTCCCCACATAGCTTTCTCTCTCGATTTCTCTGCTTTTACTTTGTTTTATTTCATGATTTTCTAATGGTTTATCATCTTACTTTAGTTAATAAGTATTTTATTTTTTTTAACGATAATCCTTTTCTCCTAGTATGAAGTTAATTATGTGATAGTCACTCTTGCGTATGAGTGTAATTTACCTAACCCAGAGCTGAAACTGAGAGTTTTGGTGAGAGCAAGGATGAGGAGGGATAGAGAAGGAAGTACTTTTGGAAGATGGAGCACTCCCTACCCCCCGGAGTAGTAGTGTTGACAGTGGTGGTGTGATTAACTCCTTGCAATTCACATTGAGTGCCAGCCACCTACAAGGTGCTGTGCCAGCTGCTGGGGACACAGAGACAAATGCCACCCGACTCCTGCTGTCAGGGAACTTAGCCCAGGGAGAGAGAGACAAAGAAGCCAACAAACAATTGTCATGGAGTAAGTTAAAGTACCCTATTAGGGGCAGGAAACTAGGTCTAGGGGCACTTAAGGAGGATCAGATCCGAGTGGTGGGTCGGGAGGTCTCACAGGATTGTGAGGGAGGGTCGAAGTCAGGGCAGACGGCGGGGGTAGTGGGGTGCCCCAGACACACCTGTGCTCACAGCCAGCTTTGTATCAGGCAGGGCTGGAAATCTTTTCTTCCTGTGTTATTTGCCCTTCTTCCTACCTATGGTCCCTTCATTCTCAAGACTGAGTTTGACTGGAAGTAGTTTTATAAGAATGGTTTTGATGCTTCATCAGTATGGAAAAATATGTTCTGTATTCTAAACAACTACTAATTCGAAGCCCAGAATGCTACTTGCTCCCTGTACTTACAAGTAATTTTACCAGCCATAACCTTGCTGTAATTGTATTCATTTTACGTAATTGCATCTTGATCTTAGATTAGAACCAGTGGGTAGAAGCCACAAGGAATGAGACGTCAACTCAGTATGTGCAGACATTCTTAGTGGGAACCCCCTTGGCTTGGCATCACAAGGCCCGTGTCTTAGTTCTTGTCTCTGGCAATTCACTCAGTCTTAGCCTTAGTTGCCTTCTCTGTAAAGTACCCTATGAGTAGACTCACCCAGGGTTCGAATAGGTAAGTGTGTTGTAAATTCTAAATTGCTGCATCAATGTGACTCAGTGCTATAGGGATAAAGCAGTTAAAGGGGGAGCAGGCTGCCTCACCAAGCAAAGTGCTGAACTAGGCAGGGACAGTGGAGCCTGGACTCCAGACAAATCTGGACTCATTCTTGATTCTATCAACCATTGGTCACATGACCCTGAGTAAATGACTTCGTCTCTGTAAGTCTGCCTGCCTCTCTCTGCTCATCTTCACAGTGAGTTATTGTGAGGATCAGCTGAGATAATAGGTGCCAGATACTTATTAGTGTCTGGTGCATGGTTAGCAGTCGTTAAATATCAGCTGCTCATCATTATAATTACTGTATTTTATTATTGTTCTTATTTTTACTGTTACTACTACTACTACTACTATTACCATTGTTATTATTGAAAACAAGCCCAAGCATTTGGAAGAAACTTGTCAAGAGGCCTCAAGAATCAGAAAAGGGATTGGAATAAATGATTTCCAAAGAGTTAGATTCAAGTTTTTATGCTTTTGCTTCCACCTTCACTCTCACAGCAGAACATAAGAAGTGTGCATTAACTCTGCATAAAGGACTAGGAGGCTCCGTCTAGTCTACCTGAATCCTCTGTTCCTGGTGGGTTTCGGCGTTTTAAGAGCCAGAGATTGGAAGTCCCATGAATAGTCTTCCAAATAAACATAAGAAGGAGCTACCTTTGTCAGAGATTGAGAACAAGTCCAGCATTGTTCTAGAAAGCAAAACGTTTCCTTTCATTTGCCTCTGCCTTTGACCCTCTTCCCTCACCGTCAGCGGATACACCAGAGGAGGGTTTTAATCCAAGGAAGTCTTCAGTTTCCAGGCTAGGCAAAGGAGAGGTTTCTTGGTAGGGGTCTCATGACTCCTGGTCATTCTAAATCCATCCTTCCCACACTTTTTGTGCCAAGAGTAGTAAGCTCTGAGCGTCATACTGGTTTGATAGCCTGGAGCCACACACCACCCACCAGTACCTTGCAAGCTCAGCACAAACTGAGCCCAACTGGGGAGCTTCTCCTGGCATATTGACTGTTTGAAAATTAGAAAGGCGAATCAGCCATCAGCCCCTTGTGTGAAATTTACTTTTAGTATGTTCTGTGGCATAAATTTAGAGGATTATAAGATAAAGAAAAAAATGTAGAGTTTATATTAAATATTGTGTGCTAAAATATTCTAAAATGGTCCAACGGGTTACTTATTTTTACACTCCAGATCTATCTTTGAAGATTTTATTTTTACTCATTTGTATTACTCTGATTTTGGAAGCCCAGCAAATGCAAAGTGGTTCATTAGTTGAACTCTACTGTAATTACTCAAGCTAATGAGAACAATATTTTGAATGCCAGAGCCAATTTATCAGCTACTTCTTGTAACGGAACAATTTCTGTCTTTTTTCAGAGGAAGTCTTCAGTGCTTACTCCGCTCTGTGGTGGTCTCCAAACGGCACTTTTTTAGCATATGCCCAATTTAATGACACAGAAGTCCCGCTGATTGAGTACTCCTTCTACTCTGATGAGTCACTGCAGTACCCAAAGACTGTGCGCATTCCCTATCCAAAGGTCTGTGCTCCTGTTCATATAGTGGATCCGTGATTTGATGGGAAGAGAATGGTTTCATTTAATCCTTTCCTGCTAATGAAAATATTGTCAGTCTCTCTTCAACAGCTTGCTGTGATTACTCTTGCTGAAGTCAACAGCAGCTGGCAATTTTAAAGTATTTTTATTATCCTAGGAAAGAGTGTGATTTAAGGTTTTGTAATTTCTCCAAAAACTTTGAGGAATGACAAGCCGAAAAAGATGGGGAAAATGCTTTTGAAAGAGGTAGGGGGAATGAAAATGTCTGAATGGAGGAAGAGAGAGGCTGTAATTGAATCACAAGCTCGTCTCATTTGTGGAAGTTGGAATGTGCCCTAGATGAAGTTGAAAAGCTTGGTTATATATCAGGTTGTATTACGAACTAACAGCTACGTGACTAGTTTTAGTGGTTCTATTATAGATTTGGCACTAATGTAAATTCCACGCGTCCTGCATTTGGAATAATAGTGGCTCGTCTTGGTTTTCCAGACTGTTTTTGCCCCTCCAGGATGCATGTTTATGAAAATGAAAGAGCTTTATTAAGCAGTAGAAGCCAAGGAAGAGGGAGGTTTAGAAAGGAACTTGATTCTTCACAAGTGTCATAATAATAATGGCCATGGTATAATCTATGGAAAAATCTAATAGGAAAGTGTTTTTGCTGTAGGCAAAAAGGAAAAGGGATTTTTATTTTTACCAACTCACTCAATTTGCCTTATGAAGAGCTGCCATTTTAAGGAAAATAGAGGAAGTTAAAAGAAAAAAAAATCAGAGACTAAATATGGAGATGTATTTTCAGTGGAATGTTATTTTTTGAAGAGTGAAACTGGCAAAAAAAAAACCATAGAATGTTCTCGCTAAAAATATCATATTATTTCTAACTAATTTGTCAATTAAAGATCTATGTGTATATATAAAATGATTTTATAGATTTCTGTCATAATATTGATTGTTGAGCTCCAAAGTGGTGAACCTGAATTTGGAGTGGGAATGGTGGGTTCCCAAGTAGCATTTTGGCTCTCGCCTCAGGTAAATTAATTTTCCTGGTGGCTTGTGTCTTTGGCTGAGGCCAGGGAATTCTTCCTAGTGATCAGCCATCAGTCTCCTTGTCTTCTGGAGTCAGGGTATGTGTGCAGATTAGTAGGATTGATTTTAACAAGTTTACCCTTATCTGCACAAAGTGCATAAATTATAAACATTCATGTTACTTTGGACCCAAAGTTAATTTATATATTATATATATATAATATTAAATATATATAATCTGTCCAAACATTTCATGACTCTCCCTCATACTCATTTTATCTATATTAAATTGTTTGAGAATGTCTGATTGTTTATCATTTTATGGCCATCATGCAGACATTTTTGTACAGCTTTAAACTTGTGCAGTGATGTTATGTTTTGTTTGTTTGTGTGGTCAGTACCAATGCTATGATTGTCTTCTCCTAGGCAGGAGCTGTGAATCCAACTGTAAAGTTCTTTGTTGTAGATATCAGCACACTCAGCCCAAACGTCAATGCTACTTCCCGACAAATCGTCCCTCCTGCTTCTGTATTAATAGGGTAAGACTCTTAACCCAAATGCTTGTGCTGTAAGCAGTTCCATAGCTCCCGGGGAGAACATTTCCAAAGTGCATGGCAGAATCAATGGCAATGTCCCATGGTGTCCCCAGGGCTAGCCTGTCATTCATTCTTCGGTTCAACCACACTTTGTTGAGCACCTACTTCACGCCGGGCACGGCTCCCGTGCTGGGGCTGCGCAGTGACTAGTGCCATGGAGTCTACCGGAGAGGGCAGGGAGGCAGACAATAACCAAGTAAACAAATAAAGATATAAAGTGTCAGGTCATGAAAGGCTGTGAAGACAGTCACGGGAAGGCAGACGTGATGGTGATGGCAGAGAGAGGTCAGGGAAGGTCTCTCTGAGACCTGTGAACAGTGATGTGAAGGAAGAGGGAGGATCTGGCCACACAGAGAGCTAGGGGAGCAGTGTCCGGGCAGAGGAAGAGCAGATTCAAAGTCCCTACAGAGGGAGCCTGCTTGGTGCAGGAGAGGCCCTGCCGAGAGGTTAGGATCTGGGACCCTCTGAGAGGGGAGGGGAGCAGTGGGAGTAAGGTCGGATCACATGGGGCTTTGCAGGGCCTGGTAAGACCTCGAGAAATTCAGGGGAACTGTGGATTAAACTTAAGGAGCCCCATAGCACTGATGTGCTTGAATGATCCTTGGTGGCTTGAAATTCTCAGCCTCTCCTTTATTTTCCTCTAAAGATAAACACCAAATTGCATGAAACTTGCAATCAGGTTGCTCTCTGTTCACTTCCATTGTTTATGTTGGTTTTGTTGTTGCTTCTAAAGAATAACTAGCATATATTGAGCACTCACTGTGTGCCAGACACGGGGGTTATCACATGCTTTATCCTGTTAATCTTTAAAGTAACTCCCAACAACTATTATTATATGTCTGTTTTACAGATAAGAAAATGAGGTCTAGAGGTTAAGAAAATAAGCCAGTAGGAGTCATATGCAAACCTTTCTGATTGAAAGAAAGAGCTTGTAAGCACTCCAATAGGTGCTCTCCCTCCCTCCGTGTGAATTCAGCTGATGCCCTCAGAGGCCTGAAGTTATCATCAGGGCAATATGGAAGCATCTTCCTTCTCAAGGTTGCATTTGCCGCCTCAGAGATGCTGTAGGCTCTGTCCTGTGGTTATTAATTTATTGACTTGGTTAGAAATATCTATGTTAACTTCTTCATTCTGAGAGAAAATTATTAGTAAATTGATTTTTTTTCCGCTGAGTTTGTCCAAGGGTAGAAAAATGTACCCAGAGTTCTAAAGTCTGTTGTTTGGTCCTGTCCAGCCATCTCTTCCATCAACATTGATTAAGCACCCACTACTTACACTCACAAATGTCTGAAGGGCTGAGTCTGCCTTCTGGCACTTACAATAAGGTGGAGGGTATGAAATGTGTCCATAGATGACTCCAAAAGTGCCAATGGCAGAGGCATACACAAAAGGCTGGAGGCATTCTGAGGAGGGGGAGATGGGTTTTCTCTGACCCTGGGGATCAAAGAAAGCTTCCTGGAGGAGGAGCAGATGGAACAGGACACAGGGGAGGAAGAGCTCTGGCGTGGAGGCATCACTGAGCACGCAGAAGCTCAGGGGTCCAGGGAAAGAGCCCCAGACCCTGTGTGCCCTCTTGGTCGACGCTCAACAGCTGCCTGCCGAGAGCTCCTGCTCTGAAAGATTTTAGATCTGGAAGGGGCTTTGGGCCTTACAAATGTTTTTAAGGACCCAGGAACCTTTGGCCAAGTGAGATACAACACAGAGGTGTGGTGCCAGAAAGCAAACAGCAGGCGGCTGCTCGGGTCCCAGGCCCAGTCCCGGTCCCCTCTCCTTCTTCCTGGAGTCTCAAAATAGACAGAACCTACAGGGCTTCCAGAACACACTCAGAACATCACTGTGCGACATAGATGAGAGATCTGATGCCCAGAGAGGTAAGTGTATCTGCTCTAGGTCACACAGCAAGTGGGAGCTGGAAATAGGACAGAGGCCTGCACCTGCCAGGCCAGAGTAATCGAACGATCCAGTTTAAATGTATCGGGTGCTTCCTGTGCTGGGGACTGGGCTTGGTGCTCTGCTCACATCATCTCCTTTGTTACCCACCTGCTCCTGTGATGTCCTTTTCACAGCCATTTCACAGATGAAGAGATGGAGTGAGTCTTCCCCACTAAGAAATTACTTTCCAAGGTGCAGTTGTGAATTTTGGAGCTCTAGGAACTTCAGTGGTTTAAGGACTTATTTTTCTCCCTCCCTGAATGAACCCTTAAGTCTATTCTTTGAAGCTGTTTAGGCCATACTCAGGGTGAGGGCAGCATCACTTACTGTGGGTATTTGCTGTGGAACGTACTTCACCAAAGAATTGTTTTTGGAACTGCTGCAGGAAGGAGTGTGTTGTGTATGACATTGCAGATCCAGCTCTGGTCTCTGTTAACACCAGTACGGCTGCAGCTTAGCTGCAACCAAGCTTGAGCTCCCCCTGGAGAAAATGTTCTAGTGCACAGCGCTGATCTGATTTCTGGCCTCCTGCAGAGACCAGCAGGGCCGAGTGAATCCAGGCAGGCGACGCCTACTGAGCTGCCCGGCACCCTCTGCTGTGTCATGTGGTAATTCCCTAGCTCCTGGGCCGTGAGGCCCTGCGAGAACGAGTGTCTTCTGTCCTCTGAACAGATGCCCGTCGCTAATTTTCTCCATAGGCCACATTCTTTCATCACAGAGCTTCCAGCAGCTGAAATCCTACAGGAAGATGAGGCTCCTTGGTCACTTTGTTAGACTGGGCTCCTGTGGCGAGTGTGAGGGGCGTCCTTCCGCCTGCTGGCCTTGCTGAGTCAGAGCACCAGCTGATCAGATTCGTTAAGCTGTTCACTTGTATTGACCACCTGTACTGGGAATTTGAGAGCTCAGAATATTTGAGACAAAACAGCAGATAATGTAAAACCATACATCTCCTAACTTTTAGTGAGAGCAGTGCTTCACATGGCTGGACTGACGCAAGATGAATTCTTCAGGTAGGGGCCGGCCAAGTCTTACCATAAGATCTCCAGAACCTCACAGGGTGCCCAGGACATAGCAAGTGCTCGATCGATATGTGTAGAATAAATGAATAGACACGTTCATGGAATGGATGGACGACTGGGTGGATGGTTGAGGTGTGTTAACGTGTGTGACTTTGTGTGTGTGGTATAGGGGTTTATATAGCCAGCACCATGAAAGATGGCCTTCAAAATGAATTTGCATGGCAATTCGTCTTCTCTACCTCCTCCCAGCCATCTGCAAATTCTGTGGCTTGAAGCTAGAGGATTGGGGCAGGCGTGTTTTACTGCTGAATGACTCTGGGGCCCCCCGCACACCCAGCTCATGACCTGTCCCCTCCCCCGCCCCTGGTTCTCTCTGCTCCTGAGGGACACAATAGATAAAGGCTTGCTATGTCTCCTCGGAACAGCTGATAACCCTTGGTCTATAAAGTAGGGACCTCAGGGTTTGAGATTTTCAGCAGGAGATAAATGAACTGGACTAAAATACCCCGGAAGCTAGTGAGCCCTGCAAGAAAGGAAGCAGGCCAGGAGTTCACACACTGTGGGCACTGCATCCCCCGGGTCTGCTCCATCTCACCCTAGCCTTGCGTGTCCTCGGCCATCTGTCAGCAGACCCGGGAGAGTTGGTGTCCCTGTCGGAGCAGAGGGTGGCATAGAGCCTGCGGGCAGCGCAGGCAGAATGCCTGCTTCCCCAGGGGATTCACTGAGTTAATCACTCCACCTTATGCCGTTGCTCTTAGCAGCAGTTTTTCTCTCCAGTCTGCTTTCCAGTTAGTAATAGGTACCTCATTTTAAGTACCATTATTATAGCAAAAGAAACATTTCCACAAATGAGTATCACATAACAGACATTTATTAAATGTCTACTGTTTGCAAGGCAACAGTCACTTTACAAAGCGATGCCCTGTAGTATAACTTTCCAAAGCAAGTCCCTCCCTGTGCTTTCAAGTATGATTTGCTTTATAAAATTCAATTATTCAGTCTGCACACACTCTCTAGGAATAAATAGATTTCATAGAGTGCGGAATTTCATCCTGAAAAGAACTGCAAGAGGGTGAAGGTAACTAACAGTGTTTACCAGAGGGTGGGTGGACGTTCTGCAGAGAGAATGACGTGCAGCAGGAAATCTGAAGTCAGCTGCTTAGTTTGGTTTTGACTCCGACCCTTTCCAGCGTATGACCTCGGACAAGTTACCTAACTACGCAATACTCTGTTTACTTATCTGCAAAACACGAGCTCTAACATTCCTCCCTCCAAAGGTGGTCATGAGCTTCACGTCAGCACTCAGACCAGTTCCTGGCACACGGGAGACTCCACGTGGGTGTGAACTCCTAGTGTCCAGAAATTACTTCATCGCTTTAATATTAAAATCAACCCTATTCCTCCTGGACTCATCCTGTTCCAGAAGTTAGAAGAGCTTGGTGGACCCCGATGTCTAACCTGGGATAGGCAGTCAGTGGCTCCAGGGAAGGCCAAGCTGCCTGGATGCTCCTCCCCCACCCCACCTCCAACCACCGTAAACGGTCCATTCAATACGTGCCTCTCTGTTTTTACAGAACAAAATCAGCACGTAGTTGCAAAGTATAGCTGATGGTACTGCTTGTTGGATGATTCTGGTCTTAAGTGGGGGCTTCAGCCTTCCAGTAAAAAGTACAATTAAGCCGTTGGTTTCCTTGATCTTTTTCACGACTCACTGACATCCTGGCCTGGCATGATCTCAGCTCAGGGCTGGGCTATGCACCCTCATGCTGTCTCCCCTCAATTCCAAATCCTGAAGAGAGGTACGTTTATAGAAGAATTCAAAATGTACAGTCTGCTGCACTGGTGAGCCGCCCTTACTAAGTCCTCACAGGGTGCAGAGTGCATCCTGGGCTGTGGACAGTGACAGAGGTGGTGGAGGATACAGGTTCACGAACCTTTGATCTAGAAATGGGCAGGGAAGATGCCAGATGCACGTGAGTTTCCTGGCAGACTCCCCAAATTCCATTGCTCAATGTTTTCAAATGGGGAAAAGTTACTTTTCTATGACTGATTGCTAAACCTGAAGCATAATTTATGGCTAATAGTAGATAAAGTAGTTATTTAGTACCAGGTGACCCTCTAATCACGTGAAAGGGTTTTCTTCCCACCTCGCCTGCCCCTTCCTCCCACCAGGCCACCTTAGAGAAGAGGAAGGCTGTTTCTGGAGCCCTTTCTCCTAATCGATGCCCATGGAACCCTTGGAAAATATGTGCATGTGAGTGGAAAGCCCTTTTTTTCCTCCCTAGAGAGAGGTAAATGATTTTCATCAGATTTATAAAGCAGTTTTGACCTAAAATAATAAGAACTACAGGTACAGAACAGGAGTTAGCCCCCACCCCCACACTGGGCCCTCTGGCCAAATCCAGCCCACGCCCATTTTTGGATGGTCCCACAAATAAGATGGTTTTTGCATTGTTGAGTGGTTGGGAGGAAAAATCATTGGACGAAGACTACGTCCTGACACGTGAAATGTACACAGACTTCACGTCTCAGTGTCTCACTGGCACACAGCCACACTCTTTCCTTACGTATTGTCTCCAGCCGCTTTTGTGCTGCCAAGGAGAGCAGCTGTGACAGAGAGCATGTAGCCCGCAAAGCTGGAAATATTTACTTGCTGGCCTTTTTCTGCAAAAGTTTTCTGGACCCTGGTCTAGAAAATGTTTTCGGAAAGCTTTTGTTTTCTATCTTGCATTTCATTCTTCTGTTCCCTTTACAAGGATTTGTCCCCCATCCCCAGTAGGATTTGTTTGCCTTTGCATTTTCTCATCTAAGGGTCTCCAAGAAAGCATCGTGGGCAGGGGTATTTGAGTAAGTTCTAAAGAAGTTAGAGCATGACTGTGATTTCAGATTGATGGGCAGCTGACAAAAGGAGGCAGCTGGGAAGCCTCGTAGGGTGTTCATGGAATACTGGCCATGCAGACTAGTTCTCAATAAGCAAGAGAAAAGACTGAAATGGAGAGGAGTCCCTCTTTGTGCGAATGTGGTGCTTTGCTGCTGGGTCTTCTTTCAGTGCCTGCCACCTGCAGTGGGGACAGCCTGGAGGTCCAGGTACCCGAGGCACATTAAGACAGTAAGGTCTCCCGCTGAAAAGGGGGATAGTGAAGTGATGAGGGGGTTTAAAGTGCTTTCTCCAACACCTTATCCATCCTCAGTGCTCAATAAATATTTGTTGCTTGATTTAGTGCCTGTGAAGGGAGTGGAGACTGGAACTGATCTGTGAATTCTGAGGAAGGACAGAGCTACGTAGGTCACAAAGGACAGGACAGGACTTCCCCCTTTGGTCAGTGCCGCTTTCCACAGAATTTTAGTGAGGGTCTGTTTTGTGCCGGGGGTCTGCTGGGCCCTGGAGATGCCCTGTGAACAAGAGAGTTGTGGCCCAGCCCCAGAGAGTTTGCAGTCAAGCAAGGAGAGCACAGGAGAGGGGGTGGGCGCAGCCTGTGGAGGAAAGAGCAAAGGAACGGATGCGGCCTGGGGCATATGGAGAGCGAGGCTGGGAGAAAGGCTTCCCTGGGAATCCTTCTGACAAAAGGGAGCAAGGCTTTGATCAGACACCGAAAAGGAATGACTTGCGAATAGTCGTGCAGAATCACACTAGAGCGTGTGGGGGAGCAAATAAAATAAATTATCCAGGGCAAGCACTTAGGGAGGCTAGCAGAAAGGTAAATTATGAATCCCTATCAGTATCACTCCAAACGTAGTTCCAGAAATTGTTAAAGGTCTGCGTTGGAGGAGGATGCCCCGCTCCAGATCTCTCTGTTTGTGTAAACTTATGTTAAAATACCAAAAGTTCCCTGAATTTCTTCACATGACTCATATTTCGACTCTTGAGAAAAGATTTGTACAATATAACTATTTGCTCTTTAAAGTTTGTAGATATGTGAGTCAACTTTTTCTTCTTTGGAAATGAAGTTAAGGAAAGGGTCAACTGCAGTTTCTCCCCACGAGGAAGACTTTTCTAGACAAGAACATCAAATTACCAGAAAAGACTCAGATCTCAACCAGCGTCCTTGGCCTCCTGTAATGTTCCCTCAAGGCAGCAGAAAAAACATGGGAAACGTCACCCTTGACACCCTGGCACCACCAAAGGCCAGCTGAGGACCTGTAAAGTCCTGAGCCACGAGTTGCATGTGCTACACCCCCGTGGGATGTTAGCTGCTGTTTCCCATCAGATAGATTTTAATTGCCATTCAGAATTAAATTACATGCTGAGCCTTAAGGAAAGGTGAAATACTATGGTGTTAAATGGTTTCAACAACTATTTAAAATTGTATGCCGGCGGGAGAGTATAGCTCAGTGGTAGAGCACATGCTTAGCATGCACGAGGTCCTGGGTTCAATCCCCAGTGCCTCCATTAAATAAATAAACAAATAAATAAATGAACCTAATTACTCCCACCCCAAAAATAAATAAATTGTATTCCTGTGAAGGCTGATTTCATTGAGTAAAATGTCTATTTGCACCAAGGTCTGGAAATAACGATTCTCTCTCTCCCTCCCTCCCTTCATGGTTTCTTCCCTCCCTCCGTGCAGGGACCACTACTTGTGTGGCGTGACATGGGTAACCGAGAAAAGGATTTCTCTGCAGTGGATCCGGAGGATTCAGAACTATTCAATCATGGATGTCTGTGACTATGACGAGTCCACCGGGAGATGGGCTTCCTCAGTGGTAAAGTTAAATCGAGATATTCCGCTTCCAGATCTACCCAGGATCTGAGGGCCATGTGAAAACAGAGAGTTATCAGGAAATCAAGTTTGAGTTTCTGTTTTTTCTGACTCTTGGTCTGGCCCTGAGGCCATAAGTCTTGACTGACTTTTAGGTCATCTGCTACCTGGAGGTACTTTGATTCCACCTTCTCTCACTGGTCATACTGTTTTCGTTATGGATACTATGACTTGGGAAAGGGGTGGTGGTGATTGGAGACCACAGGGTCCAGCTGGTGGATCAAAATCAAAGCCCCCCGGGACCAACAGCCTCAGGAGAGCTAGCGCCTGGGAGAGGTTTGCGGGCATAGGTCAAGGACATCTCAACAAGACTTTTCCTGGTAATGGGCTCGGTGCCTACACATCTCCCACTCTGCCCCATCCTGGTTGGGCACAGGGCAGATTCTTGCCTCAGAAATCTTGCCCCTCACCCCACTCTACCCTGTTTCTTGATTCAATCATTCGGTATTTATACAGCAATCACTGAATACCTAGTATGTTCCAAGTTCTAGGCATAGCTCTGAATGGAAAATAAAAAACAGAATTAGGCAGCATGCCTGTCCCCAAAATGTTTATTTTTCTAGTAGGGAATACTGGCATGAAAATCAATAGTAATAGTTACCATTCCTTGAACACTCACAGTAGCCAGGCACTGTGGGACTCAGTAAGGTTAAGGAGCTTGCTTAAGTCACATGACAGCCAGAATCCAAACTAGAAGACCCAGCTCTTTGCTTCCTGACAATTAAATCATCCTAATGTCAGGATACTGTGCCCTCAAAGGGTATAAGCAAGGTACAGAGGAAATGTAGGGCAAAAGAAGAGCATCAATATGACTGGGCGCAGGCACAGGGAATGGGGGGTGACAGAGGGTGACCCGGGAGGACCTGGGGTAAGTTGTCCTTTCCGGGGCAGATGAAGGCATGTGGACCCTGTGAGCAGAGGCTGTGCAAGGACATCCAGGGTGAAGAGCTTGAAGCCTGCAGGGTCTGGGAGTACGTAGGACTGAGGATTGGAGGAGAAGCACAATGCTGAGAACTGAGGTGCCATTCTGAGGCGTTTGGACTTACCTTGTAAGACATTGGGAGCCATTTCAAGGTTTTAAATGAGAGGATCATAATGAGGTAGAACTGTCTGTTGCCTGATGAGGTCAGCTGTGGGTTGAGCAGGGTGGAGAGCAGACTGGAAGCAGAGAAGAGCAGCAGGATCTCCAACCAGGCGATCAGGGCCATGAACCTGGGAAGCCCGGCAAGACACAGACTAAGGCAGTAGCGTGAGAAGGACAAGAGAAGTCTGAGAACTAGAAGACAGGGGCTGAGAGCGGCGGGTTCTGAAATGATTCTTAGGTCTCTGGTTTGGGTGAATGGTGCCACTAAGCAAGAGAAGAATGAAGGAGTAAGAACAAGCTGGTGGGGCTGTGGGAGAGAGAACGATGGTCTTCAGTTCTGGGCTTGTTGAACTGAAAACGCTGGGGGAGCTTTTCCAGGGCGGCACATGGGTCACACTCAGGACAGAGCTGTAGGTGAGAGAGGTAAATGTTCTAATGCAACTGCATAAAAAGTACTAACATAAATACGAATCTGTGAATGGAGGTAGTTTTCAATTATTTTATTATAGGTGCAATCTTGCTTAAATTGCTACAAATTGCAGCTAAAGAATAGCTAAAGAACCTCACTTTTTCTCCTTGTGTTTTTCTCTCCCTAGGGACGGCAGCACATTGAAACGAGTACCACTGGTTGGGTTGGAAGAGTAAGTGAGAGTTATGGGGTTTTCTGTAGTAGCAGTCCAATACTCAGAGCGATTTAACATGTGGCTAAACCAAAGAGGGCCCTGCGTTATTTGTTATTGATGGAGATATTGCCTGACCTAGTTCTCATCACATTTAAATGCTCCCTATAGAGATATATTTTTACAGAGAATAGATAATGTGCTCTTTCAGAAAAAAGTCAAAGGACAAGTGAAAAGTCAAGAGAAGAACAGACAAAAGTCATAGGCAAGTCGTAGCTCCCAGGAAGTTACAAAGCAACCGTTGCTGAAAGGCGGCCAAGATACCAGTATGTCCTGGCGACCTCATATTCAAAGATCTGTGCTTCGGAGGCAGAAAACATGGTTTCCGCCCACAGCCTTCAGAAAGGCATGAGGAGACAGAGAAACTCAGCAGCGCACACACCACACCCGCTCTGCACTTCTCTTTGGAGGAAATCACACTCATGTGGGTTCGCTAAGTTCACTAAGCCCTGGATGGCGAACTTTATCCCAGGAAGCACAGCGACCCTCCGGGACTTCCCGTGCTTCTCATCACCCCTCGTGCAGAATCACCGGCCTCGGTGCTCTGAGACCATAGAATGAAGCAAACGAATGAAGCACTCCAGCCTTGGTGGCACCTCATGTGAAAGAGGATGAGTGACTTGCACCTAATTTTTATGACTGCTTCTAGTAAGCCCCTTTAAGAGAGAAACAAAGTGACATAAAAAATGTAAAGATTTCTCATCACGCGGAGCACAGGGGTGCGGCCCCCGGTCTAGGAACAGGACCCCTTCCAGCTGGGCTCGGAGCTCCCCAGCAGTCACACGTCCTTTTTCCTCAGGCATTGATTGGGCAGAGGGGAGAGGTTTGCCAACATGAAAAGTGGTTTCCTCCATGGCAAGAGACATGCTACACTTCCTCACGACTCTTTGAAAAAAATATGTTTTTTCCTCTCTGTATTTAACCAGACAGATGCCACTTTTCACACATTTCTACTAGGCACAACTCCATCCAGGGGAAACAGGGAAATGTATTAAAAAGATAAGGCTGTGAACACAGGTCTAGAGAGGGGAATGTGTTTCAGAGCTCCGTAATGAGAACACCAAGTGTACGGCACGCCTCGGCTTGCTCCATAAATGAGTTCGCTTTGAATCACTAAATAGCAGAGGGAAGCTTTTCTTTTCCTTCCCCAAATGGGAGATGATGAGAGAGGAAACATGGAGGGTGAAGTGAACCAACAGTTTTAAAAGACCATCCCCTACCTGCTCTCAAATGTAGTAAGGAAATCGAAGTCAGAAAATGACATATTCTTTTCGGGATGGGGTGGATACTCCTGCTTAAACGACATTATGTTCCGGGAACTATCTTTTATTGAACTGTAAAAAATGGAAATTTTGTTCTATATTTCCATACAACTATTTTTTTGGTAAATTGTTGATCCTATTTAGTAAAATGAAAAGGCTTATAATAAAGATGGTAACTAAATGAATGTTCCCATAGGAAATATACGACAGACATTCCTTATGGTATCCAGTCCAGAAATGGTGAAGGAGTTTCTAAGTCTGACTTTCAAAAAGAATTATGTGTAAGAAGCAGGGAGGGGAAAAAAAATCCCTCAAACTCCAAACCACCTCCAACCTGAAACAGTCAAAAACAGTATTAGCCTGTTTCAAGAAAGCACGTTTATGACATCAAAGCAATTGACGTGTAGAACTGAAAGGCTTATGCTCATTCTCTCACATCCATGGCCAGAAGCCACAGAGTTGTCCTTCGTAAGAGAAGGTGCCTCAGGGTGACAGTCACCCCGGCTACGGGTTGAGTGTCCTGTGTCTTTTTGTACATGTTTTCATTTACTCCCTGCAAACAATTCCCCATGCGTTAGATCTTTTTGTCGCATTTTCTAGAAGAATTTTCTTTTGAGACGCTCTGATCTCATTTGGCAGGTAAATGAAACGTGAGTTTTGAGCATAGGTGTTGTTGAGAGGACTTCCTGAAACTAAAGTTGGTACTGAGATGAGGCTAATGTGATTTACCGTGTTTTGTGTTTTCTATTATTCTCTAGTTTAGGCCTGCAGAACCTCATTTTACCTCTGACGGGAGCAGCTTCTACAAGATCATCAGCAATGAAGAGGGCTACAAACACATTTGTCATTTCCAGACAGATAAGAGAGTGAGTATTTTTACATAATTTATTTTGGATTGGTCTCCTTTTTTTTTTTTTCAAACTAACTTGAAGTGGAAATTATTTGGTAATGTTGATCAATGTGTACAAATAGTCAGACTGGTTCAAATTCTCCAGCAGTATTCAGAGTAAGGTGGGGGGTGGGGAGAACCAAGAAAAAAATCTGAGATTATCCGAATTCCTGATACAAATGATTTAATCATCCCCTTAAATTTGATTAGAGGAGAGTCTAATAAACCTCTTTTTTTTTTTAAATCACATCAGAATTGCACATTTGTTACAAAAGGTGCCTGGGAAGTCATTGGAATAGAAGCTCTTACCAGTGATTACCTGTAAGTATTCTAATTATCAATAGATAGCAATGTGTTTGACATAATCACACCCTCCTTTGCCCAGAAATAGGGAAAAATCTTCTACAAATAAAGAGTAGACTGTTTGGAATGTGTTCAGTACTTTTTTGCTTTTTAACATACGGAAGCCTTAATGATTTTCACATATGCTTAGCAGATTTGATGCCCTGCCACCAAGCAGCTCTACCTCTTGCTCTTACCTGCTTTACGTTGGAAGAGCTGTAGCCTCTTTTTCTTAAATGTCTTAGAACACAGATCTAGTCTTCAGGGGCATTTTGTTAAATTTCAGTTGACACTGAACTTTTGGAAGGCTTGGAGAGGCGACTTCATCTGTCTGTGTCTTGGCCTGACTTTTTGGAAAATGGAAAGCTTTGCAGAGGCCATCAACTACCACACACGAACTGATGGGATAGGGAGCATTGTTTTTCCTTAGAATTTCTTGGGCACTTGTACAGTTCTTTTTTGGTTTCACCACGCAAGAGTTTTGCCATTTCCCAAAGCGGTTTCTGAAGGTCTTCTTTAGAAGTGGCTCTGCCACTCTCAGGAGGACGCAGCCCCTGCCAATGAGTGGTTTGTGTTATGAAACAACAAATATGGAAAACGGTGTTGATAAACGAGGTCTCAGCTTCAGGCTAGTTGTCCAGTCATATTTTTCCTACAGAAGACTTCTTTTGAGTTTTTACTTGCCACTGCAATTAAGGGAGCAATCCCCGTATTCAGATATTTTAGTCTGTTACAAAAAGAATCCCCTATTTAGAGATGACAGGGGTGGTGGGGGGGAGTGGAAATGGCTTCTGAAGATGAGAGGCCAGGAAGAATGGTAAGTGAAGGGCAAGCACTGAGGCATGTGCACGTCCGTGAACACTAACGCTTGGTGTTAACTTAAAAACATGATTAACATATATTTCATTTGTTTCCTTTCCAGATACTACATTAGTAATGAACATAAAGGAATGCCAGGAGGAAGAAATCTCTATAAGTAAGAGTTTTTATCAAGTTGTTGACTTGAGCTTTTAGCTGAGGAACAATTTCTGTCTCTTATATTTATTTATTTACTTACTTACTTACTTACTTACTTACTTACTTACTTAGTGTTTTTTGCCTAGTCCTAATATATTAAGCTGGAATTACTACCGAGTGCTTTTGTTCCTTTATAAGTCAATTCTCATGTCAGCAAAAGAGAGTGACTTTGTTAGTTACTTTGCGATATCTCCTAGCGATAGGAGATTTGAGGTTGTTATGAATTAATGTGTTTATTTCATATTTAAAACATTTGTGAGTATGGTTTTGACATTCTGATATCTTTGAAACTGGAATACTGCATTATTCAGTTCCTCCTTTTCATTGATTCTTTCGTCTTAATTTCCACCTTTGGTTTTACAGAGTCCAGCTTAATGACTACACAAAAGTGACGTGCCTTACTTGTGAGCTGGATCCAGAAAGGTGTCAGTACTACTCTGTATCATTTAGTAAAGAGGCAAAGTACTATCAGCTGAGATGTTCTGGTAGGTTTGAAGTGAGGACAGGGAGGGAGAGCAGGGGGTACCCACCAAGTCCCTCTCGGGTAGCTCCCTCCCTTCCCTCCCCTCTCTGGGCAACCTTCTTACCACCCTCCTGGCTCAGTGTCTCCATCCCCAAAGCCGTCCTTTCTGTGCCATTTAGGAAATATTCTTTCTGCCCTGCTCAGTTCTCTCCTTTTGAATCTGAGTTCTTGAAATTAGTCCCCCTCCCTTTGTTCCTGTTTAAGTGGTGAGTTAACCACCTTTTCCTCCCCTTCTAACCAAGAGGCTTGCTTTAGACTGAAAGCATAACCCCACCCCAGAGCCTAGGTATGACCAAGGCATCATTATCTGCACGTGCATGGTGGACGCTTTTTAATGGTCATTTTATGCATTGCCCCTTTAATTGAGAAAAATGTGTGTGGGTAGTGCCTGTCACCCAACTTGCTCACAGCTCCGTCTTCTGTTGCTGTTGTTAGGATTGCTTGCTTTATTATAAATGAAGAAACCTGGACAAGCAGAGGGAATATGATTTCCACAGGTCATGCAGCTAATACAAGGGTCAACGGGTTTCAAACACAGTCTCTACCTTTGAGCCCCCATTAAGCACTAGGTTAGATGACTTCTCAAAATGAGAGAAAGAGCATAGATATTTTGAAAAAGGTCTCCAAACCCGTTGTCTGAACCTTCCTTTACTGCCACAATTTCTTCAACATTCTATTTTTCTTCTTAGTTCTTTACTATGGCTGTTTCCAGGCACCATTTCTTGGGCGTGTGTTTTATATATACTGGGCACTGTGCTTAAGTTTTGTGTTCATGATCTTGCTTGATCCTTAAGAAAACTCTGTCACGTGGATATCATCATCCTCATTTTATACGTGAGGAGACTGAAGCATGGATATATTGTCTTAAATCATAAAGCAGGAAAGCCAGGGATTCACACCTGGGTCCGTATAATGCCTCCACTGTGGTCCTGATCAAGTGTAAAAATTAAAATTATTAATTAAATGCATCAAAATTAAATCTCTCACAGAATAGCTTTTTCTATACGTTACCTTCCACTCTGCAACTACCACAGTTGGGATAAATAGTGAAGCTCTGAGCGTGTGAGAAAAACACTTTCGCATGCCAGGAAGGAATCGCTCATCCAAGTCAGGCACACTGCAGATGTGCCGCCTGGCCCAGGGCTCCGCAGTGGGGGCAGCGGGGCGGGGGGCCGAGGGGGAGGGAATCTGGCCCCTCTTGGGGCGGGGGGGGGCGGGCTCTGGAGCTCCGCCCTAAGGGGGCGGGGCCCGATCCCTGGTGTGGTCCTCGCTGGACGGTGCGTGGAGTTCGGGCTGGGAAGGACAGCCGCTCTCAAGAGCCTCGATGGCTTAGTTCACAGAAGAAGAATTAGTCCCAGGCAGGATAGTATGTGCAAGGCACCCAGCAGGGCCAGAGGTGCATTTTCTGCTTCATTCGCCAGAGCCCAGTGCCTTTCCTGTAATACTTCTTACACTCAGATTGCACTCATTTTAAGGAAAAGAAAAAACAGCTAACACTTAGGAAGCCTCTTATACACTGTGATCTTTATTCTGTCAAAACTAAATGGTGTCTAAGTTATATCAAAGTTAAATGGTAACAAATGCTATTTTTGAAAAGTTAAAAAAAAAAAAGCCCTAAAATGTATTTTCCCTGATTCTGTTAACAGGCCCTGGTCTGCCCCTTTATACTCTGCATAGCAGCAGCAGTGATAAAGGTATTTTCTTGTATTTCACCCTTCGTCTGCTTTCTAGGAAAGTGTATGTGAATAGGACCAACATGTACTCAGCACAATGGAATTTTCTTTGGCTTTAGAGTGTCTTAATAATAACTTGAACACAAAGCTTGTAACCTGAAGTATGTAGGTCCCATCAGTGAATCAGTCACTTGTTTGTTATTACTTTGCACAATCTGAATTCTTCATATTGTAACAAATGACTGTGGTCTCAAATGTTTGTTTAGAACTAAGAGTCCTGGAAAACAATTCAGCTTTGGAAAATATGCTGCAGGAAGTCCAGATGCCCACCAAAAAACTGGACTTCATTAATATGCATGAAACAAGTAAGTTAAATTTCTCTTGGAACATAACTTTTTATGGAAACCCCAATAAAAATATAACTAAATATGATATAACTTGATCAACAATATGTATCTTATATTATACATAAATCTAATTTGAGATTGTTTTTCCATGAAATATTCTGTCACAAAAACTACTAGTTTTATATTTTTTATTTAAAAATTTAGTACTATTCTATATAAAATTTATTCAAGAGGAAAATATTTGAAGAAAATACACTATTCCTAATTCAGTTTCATCCCATTAGTAACTCTATTCTGCTATTAAGTATTAGCTGTGTTTTTAACGTAATGATATCCTAATGTATTTTACCTTTAACCCCAAAGAGATCGAAAATATCTGAGAAGATTGTGTAAAAAAATTAGGGTTGGCTGTAAAATGTTGAATTTCAGTCTCAGGATAGAAATCTTGAATTTTTCCTAAAATAATTAGCCTAGTCCCTGGCCTAGTGGCCTGATTATGGATTATATTCAGAAAACACTAAGAACCAGGCGTTTCTTTGAGTAGGAGATCCTGTAATTCGTTTGTTTTTATTGGTTTGCTTGTTTTTTTCCAATAAAGGCTAACAATTTGTAAGGGAGGGAGGAATCTATCAGGATTGATTTGTTTCAGATTCTTTTATGTATATATAGGGTAATAATAGGAAAAAACTCAATTCATCTAATTTTAAATGGCAGGAAAAGCACAGAGAGTGGAGGTACTTCTGAAGAACAGCTCAGAGCAGTGTTACTGAAAATGCATGTGTTTGGGGTCACCTGGGACCTTATTAACATTGTGCACGGGCTGAGCCAGCCAGTCAGGGTGGGCCCAGGAGTCTGAGTGTGTGCTAAGTGCCAGAGCTGCTGCTCCTTGGACTAGGCTTGGCTGGCAAGGGCTTAAAGTTCTGGAGGGGTAACTGTACCACCTGGTACAGAAGGCATTGAATACTAAGACGTGACATTCTATTTCGTTGGTAAACAGTGGGGAGCCCCTGAAGGTTTAGGGTCAGGGAAGCCACATAATTGGAAGGATAACCTGATAGTGGATGAAGGATGGAGCTGCTAGAGGGGGAGGGTCAGGAGGGATTTGGTTATAACCATTCAAACGCCAGGAAAGGAGGGTATGAGGGGGTGCCGGGGAGGAGGAAGCAGAGGGCCATGGGACTGGGAATTAGAAAGACCCCCCCAAAGAAAAGACTGCATCTTCAAAAAGCTGAAACTGAAACACTTCCAATTAGCTAGTGCTGATTCAAACAAAAGAGAGATCAAATGTGGGTCTGGCATTGTTATTAAAACATCATGATCAATTGATAGTTTCACATTCTACTGAAATATGATAGAGAATAAAATTTTGTTCTCATAAGCAGATTTAATCAGGAGGCATAAAATAACCAGCAGAATACAAATTGAAGAAAAATCTGTCTATATAAAGATTTTACTTCTAAACCTTTCTTTTCCCATCAACTAAAATAATTGTAACAAACAAACAAAAAAGAAAGAAAGAAAGATAAACATAAGGGAGAAGCAGATCTAGAGATAAGGATTTTTTTCCCTACAGGTTATATCTACTGAAGCTGGGAATAATCTGATTAAAATATGAAACAACTCTCCCTCTCTCTCTCTCTCTTTTTAATTTTTTTTTTAAGGATTAGTCTCATTAGCCTGAATTTGGGAGCAAAGATAACAGATTTATTATGTAGGACAAATTTTATTAAACTGATGTTAAATCAAGTACAGAGAATTAAGCAGACCTGCACAAGATCACGCAGAACGTACACAGGAGTTTGCCCCACGTGAACCTGATTGCACTCTGTGAAACACAGAGCTGAAAATGGGATCTCAGCTTCACAGTCTGGGATGGCAATAAGAATTACAAAAATGCTATTAAATCAGAATTTTAAAATAGAATTGGGGCCAACTAAAAATCTTAAACCTCTTCAAGGAAATTCAAGAAGAGGAAAACATTTTGGAGGAAAACTTAGAACATAAGCCATAAACAAACTAGATAAGCAGATTAGATGCCAAAGAACAGAATGATAAAGACAAAACATTAGTGATTCTAAAGATGTACTTTTACAAGGCCCCGATGTATTTATTAGATGCATTAAAAACAACTTTATTGTTTTAACCTTAAACTGGTATTTTAACCTGAAAGAGAATGTTTTCATATCTGAAAAACATGCTGAATCAAATTGGTTCATTTTCTTTTTCTATTATAATTTAGCAAATTGCTAAACTCTACATGTTACTTAACACTGACAGAGATAAGGAACCAAGATCGTGTGCTAATAATTGTTATGAATTCACTAATTAAATTTTCATTTTTTTTTTAGAATTTTGGTATCAGATGATCTTGCCTCCTCATTTTGATAAATCCAAGAAATATCCTCTGCTCATAGATGTGTAAGTATTCAAGATAAGGGAATAAGTTAGAAGTGAACCATTGTATGTTTTTTGCTAATGCAGCCTCCTGAAAAATAGAGTCAAATGCATTCTTTCTCTCTTCCTGAATCATTGTGAACAAGTTTTAATATTTCTTCCTTCTTTTTTGCAATCACAAATCCAAACATGTGTTTTCTACCATCTTTCTAATGAACGCAGACACTCTTCTTCTGCCATAATGGCATATGGGTTTGTCTGGATTTTTCTTCCCTGAACTCCAAGAGAATTCCAAAGAGATTCTCAAGTCCCCATTTTCATCTTTACCTTGTAGACATTTTAACAAGCAAGAGATAGGTATTAAGAGTCTGCACAGTTTCCTTATCCCAAACTTGCCCAAACAGCTCCCATTTGGTGGCCTTTAATTCATTCCAATGTCAGGGTTCTCTTTAGTTCCTGAAATACTACTGCCTGGGATTTTCCATTCCCTTTTTTGGTGAAGAAAAGGTGTGCAGGAATGTATTCATTATAATTCAAACTGCTTTAAGTCCCAGAGAAAGTTCTGACATCATAAATCTTAGCATTGCGGGCAGGGCAGGGGTATTGCTCAGTGGTAGAGTCCTGCGTTCAATCCCCAGTACCTCCATTAAGAAACTAAAGAAATAAATAAACCTAATTACCTCTGCCTCCAAAAAAATTTTTTTAATTATTAAAAAAACAAGTCTCTGAGTGGTAAATGTGTGCTCATGAGAAATCTAAACATGGCATCTTTGTGAAATATTTTTGATAATTACTAGGAATACATTTTACGTCAGTCTTTCCAGAATTGCCCTGACCTCATGCAGAATGCCACAATGCCGCTCTTCCTATCCTAACTTGCCTCATTTCCTTCACTCCAAACAAAGCAAAACAAAACAAACCAACAAACGTGCTGGGTGCCTGCTGCGTGCCCGGTCATTTGCCCTATTCCGTCCAAACAGCAAGCTGATGTGGTGAGTTCTGCTGGGCCCATTATATACAAAAGAAAACTGACACTCGGGGACACTTTTCTGTTGTTACTAGCAAAAAAAAGAAAGAAAAAAGAAAAGAGAAAAGGTACACATACTAGCATCAGACACAGCCTTGCTCCACTGTGTTTACAGTTCCATGTAAACAAAACATAAAAGCGCAAAGAAAGAGGAGGTATTTTAAACTTCCAGTTGTGCTGTCTGACTCTCATTAAACCTAACTTAGTCAGGATTTGACTATATTAACACTCACTTGCTTTGGGCTCTAGCCCCCGTACTAAAAAAGGATCCTTTATCTTTGGAAAAGGGTGACATTTTTATCTTCTTGGATTCCCCAGTAAGTAATGTCTAGACCTCCCCTTAATTAGGAAAGTTTAAAAAAACATGGTAGATTTGGTTCCTATTTTTTTTACAGTTATTTTCCTCTTCATGTTCTTAGATGTCTAAATCATTGTTTTCTATTTTTAAAAATACTTTTGTTTAATCTTAAGGGGTTAGATAACTTGATACATAATTCATATTAAGGAAGGCTATTACTCTACCAAGTTTTTTTTGCATGAGATTTTATTTTTGTTTTTTAATTTTTTTCAGCAAAGTTTTTGGTATTTATTTACTCTGTGCTTCTTCTCTTCTTTATTATTGTTATTTTTAATTGAATGAAAGATTCTTTAAACTCCATAGTGATTTATAATTTTCAAAAGTTTCACACGCATGATTTCATATAATCCCATAATAACCCTCTTTTTCCCTCTCCCATCTCCCTCCTCCCCCTGCCCACGGGTAACCACTAATTTGTTCTCTTTATCTGTGTTACTCCGTCAAATTTAATTTCATTGAAAGGACAAGGCATTTCATATGTTAAAAAGTGTTTATTTGTCCAAGGAGTTCATGAATGCATTCTTTTTAAAGCTAGAATGTTACACTATCTAGTTTAAAATTAAAGTAATACAATATTTTGTTGAAAACTAAGGTTTTTTGACTTTAGTCAAAGGAAAAGGGAAGGAGGAAAATGTTGGCAAAGACATCCAAGTAGGACTTGTCCAACCTGTGGAGTGGGGAGTGAGCAGAAGAGTAGGAGAGGCAGGCTGGGAAGGAAAGGGTTATTGGAGAAGGTCTGGGTCCAGGAGTCCTGCAGATGGTGCACAGAAGATGCATATACATGAGTTCCAAAGAACTATAGGGAGTTTCTGTCGATTAACAAACAGAAACGAGAGGGCTTCATGGAGATTGTACATATAGCTGTGTAGGGAGAGGTTACAGCCTGTGAAGACTGCAGCTATGAGGGAGTTAAACTTGTCAATAAATAGAATGCTGAACAATATACCCATTTCCCAATTCAGTCTATTTCTTCCGCCCTTGAAGTTTTAAGGGACAGAGTTCATTCCTACTTCGGCCCGTTCCACAGTGAGCCTTAGTGAGCAGCACTGTGCTGGGTACTGGGGGAAATACAGCACATCCTACCACAGTCAGAGTCCTTAAGGAAGTTCCAACCAAGGAAACTGGTGGTCTAGGAGTGTTTGTAAGCTGAGATGGAGAGATAAAGTCACAGCTGCGTTTTTGTCATCCTCGTTATTTTTTCACAACACAACTCTATCCTAACTATTAGATTATTTATTCTTTGATTTCCAAGATACATATGACCTAGAAAATGTTGGTCTGAAAGTCTGTGTTTGATAACAGTCTTCAAAAAGAAAACTGATGGGCATCTTTGGAGGAAACAGCCATTATACTCACCTTGCTAAGTTTCAGAGGACTCACTGTGGACACCCCAGTGGCTGGCACAATTTCAGTCTCGTGTGCAGGAAAGAGGCACATTTCTTTTCCACAGGGACTAGAAATGCAAGCTATTCTCATTTGATTCAGGAAAACCCAAAAGCTAACAACTGGGGATTTTTCACAGCTATGCAGGCCCCTGTAGTCAAAAAGCAGACACTATCTTCAGACTCAACTGGGCTACCTACCTTGCAAGCACAGAAAACATTATAGTAGCCAGCTTTGATGGCAGAGGAAGTGGTTACCAAGGAGATAAGATCATGCACGCAATCAACAGAAGACTGGGAACATTTGAAGTTGAGGACCAAATTGAAGCAACCAGGTGAGTGACTAGGAGATGGATCCAAAGGTCATTTGATTTTTTTCCCTTCTCTATTTATATTTTAGAGTTTTAAGTGTAAAAGATTTAAGGTGTCCTAGGATGAATCTGTAATTTCTCATCCTTGGGAGGGATTTTTAGTGAAGATATCATGTTTAGACTTAGAAAGGGAGTTGACACATGTGTTACCACCTTCTGGAAATAGAGACTCCGAATTCATCAAACATGATGGGCATGAAACTGAGGGATAAACGTACCCCTGAGTAAACATCTAACTAAACAAGCAAACTATCTCTACAGTCAAGGAGAAGAAGATGACTTTGGGGTGCATGACATTGGAGAAGGGTGATGGCAGTGAAGTCCTAGGAGTGGCTCTGACATTCTGCTGCATGAGGGTTACCCCCCTCCATCTTGGAAAAATTGTGGAGCACAACCTTCAGCACTCACAATTATAAGAGCTTCATTAAGGATGAATCACATCTTACTCTTGTGCGCTCCCTTTATGGGCCTTATAAATAGATGTGATCTGGCTTGAGAAAGATGTGATCTGGCCATGAATGATGGTTGCCTTGGGATGCTCATGTACCATGGGCACCGTGTTACCTGTGTTATCACTGAAGCTGCATAGCAACCCTGAGAAGTGGGTGTTCATACCTTATCTTTCCAGTAAAGAAATGGAGGCTCTTAGGTTTGGTAATTTGCCAAGACTGGTCAGGATTTAAATCCGTGTTTCACTCCAGCTCACGCTGAGTTGCATTCAGCTGGTAAATGGGAGATGCAGTCTTTGAGTTTCTATAACCCACTGCATGGATGTCTGGAAATCATAGTAAGTGAGTGATTTAAAATAATGTTGTGAAATCATAAGCTAGGAAATGGAGAAAAACTGTGAATGATTACATGGGTGGAGGAAAATGCCCTTTAAAAAAGAAAAACCAAAGAGAAGATGACAATTTATTAAGTATCCCTAAGTCTGTCATACCAAAGTCAGTGATTAGCTATTTTTCTTAAAAGTAAAAAAAAAGAGAAGTTTAGATAAAAGAGAGGATAAATTGGCTCAGGAGAGAAGCTGTGATATTTTATAAATACATTTTTATTTATCCAAATTGGTCTTCTCTGAGAGAGGGCATGATTTCTGGGGCCGTACAAGTCTAAAAGTACAAAATTGTGTGTCCACAATATACAACTCCATTTTAAAAAATAATAGTAGTTAACTTTTCAGCAACTAAAAAGAACTATACACAACAGCACGGATGACTCTCACAGTCCACAGTCTGCTGAATGAAAGAAGCCAGGCACAAAAGTGTATATCCTGCACGACCCAATTTATATTGGTACAAATTCAGGTGAAATTTTTATGGAATTCAATAAAAAATATTTATCTTTCTTTTCCTTTTGCAAAGGAAGAAATGACCCAGAGGCTTCTGGGAGATAGTAATGCCCTATATCTTGGTTCAAGGATATGCTCACTCTGTAAAGGTTTATCACCTTGTAAACTTATGATTTGGCGCACATTTCTGTATGTATGTGTTCTAAGTTTTCAAAGTTTCCACAGGAAGGATACTGAGTTGAAAATGACTTACATTTAATTTTTTTCTAATATTGCTCAATTCAGGGCAGCCTAAGACGTGTATCACCAACTGAAAACACAAAGATTCTCAAAGTCACATATAGGTCAGTGCAAGGGTTCCCACCTCCCTCGATACTACAAAGTTCAGAGCCCCATTTGCTGGATTTTTTTTTTAAGTAAACAAACTGCTTTTTGATGTAAGGCTAAGATTAAAAAATAGGTGCATAAAACATTTTTCTCCTTTCTTTACTTGGATTCCAATCCTGAACACAATTTAATGACAAAAAGATTTCTTCATCCATCAAGGAAAAACTGTTTCTTATTCCATGGTGCTGAGCTAACTAATCAACACCCATCGTAAGAAAGGCTGTATTTAGAGAATGGTGTTTAAGTTCTCAGGTAGGGGGCCCAGAGATATTTCTAAGCCTTACCCAGATGTTCCCCCTGCCCCTGTATTTCTCCGTTGCAGGGGCAGCCTCTCTCAAGCTGAAAAACATCTGGAGAGATTTAAATTCAATTATGGAAAGAAAAGTGCATCTGGGCTGCACATTTTTATATAAAGCTGTGAAAAAAACAGCCAGGATTTGTTTTCTGTGAATCATGCACACACGCACACACGCACACACGCACGCACGCACACACGCACGCACACACACACGCACGCACGCACACACGCACGCACGCACACACACACGTACACACAGACAGAATCTTTATGGGCTCCAACAAAAGTAAACCTTGTTCACCTGTCTCTAAAGTTAACAATGATAGACATTGATCTCAGGTGGTTTATTTGATTGCTGGCAGCAATTAATCTTAGTTTCTAACAGCGAAATAGAGAACAAATGGCAGGGTTTCACATTTGTGCTGTTATTTTGGTTTTATATACATAGTGCGATACTAATTTGTGGACTTGTTTCATGTATTGTAGACAATTTTCAAAAATGGGATTTGTGGACGATGAGAGGATTGCAATTTGGGGCTGGGTGAGTAGTTTGGCTGCTGCATCTGTATGCATTCCTTAGTGACTGTAACCCAGAGCAGGAGAATTTACTTTTGTATGTAAGTATTTGGAGGTGAAAATCACCACTATCATTTCAATCTAAGAAGGCCCAACTAAATGTCTTAGATTTCTGGGCAAAGAGTCCCTGCGAGCTGAGCTTATACCTTTCTTTATTACAACGGGGGAGGGAAGTGAGGAAGGAGGAAAAAAGAGGAAAGGAGAGAAGGAGGTATAAAGGAAAGAAAGAATAGAGGGGGAGAGGGGAAGAGAAACTTTTTCTCATGAGTCCAAGTCAGTAAAGAGTTAGTGTTTATTGCTTTTTTTCTTTTGTGTGCGTGTGTGTGTGTGTTTAGTTGGTCCTAGCCAGCCATTTTCGATACCTTCCTCCTTACCAAGCAAAGGGACCAGGGGTCTGAAAGTAGTCTTTAGATACTGTCTAATTAAGGCCAACTTAAACCTTCTCTACCGTGCTTTCTATCTGCAAAGAGGCACAGTTATAAAGATGTGAGAAATGTGGAAATTGTGCCTCGCTTACCGTATGTCCTTAATTCCTTTACCTCCATAAAAATAACCATTTCCATTTCTTAGTCATATGGAGGGTATGTAACCTCAATGGTCCTGGGAGCAGGAAGCGGTGTGTTCAAGTGTGGAATCGCCGTGGCGCCCGTGTCGAAGTGGGAGTACTATGGTAGGTGAGCGCAGTCGGGTACCCGAGATACTGAGTGACAACCTTCACATTTCAGTGAGATAATCATTCCTTTTTGAGTTTCAGTGTTTCTACAGTGAATGAGCTGAGTCCTCTTAGAAGGACTTTATGGACACCTGTAATAAAACAGGCTCACTTACTCTGCTATTCTGCAAGCCTCGATGGTATTAAATATTATCTACACATTTAGTTAGCAGCGCATTCTGTTTTCCAAATTTCTTATCAACAAATTCTGCTTTCCGCATTTTAAAACAACCTGAATGCAACATTCCTTCAGATAACCCTTCCTTATCTTTATTCTAATTTGAGTTTGGGGGCTTCACATATTAGCAGAAGAAGAGAAGCAAGTATCTCTCGCCCTTCAGGTAAAGGTCAAATGTAAGTAGGGCTTTGGGTGAAAGGAGAGACTAGGGATGTGGAATCCTTGGCGGGTTTGTTTCCAGTGTCTCTGTAGGTGACAGCTGGAATATTCCCTTCATCCCTGAGAACATGTTATTCTGTCACACACGTGTAAAGCTACAACCCCCAAGTTGGAGAGAGTGCGCGGTGGAACAGTAGGTGGGAGGGAAGAGTCAGAGGTGGTGAGAAGGTGAGTTCTCTTCCTGTGCCTCTTCTGACCCTGTCTCAAGTCCTTTCTGTATAAGGATAAAGTCATTCATGATGAATATGCTCATTAAATATTTTATGTCCTAAAATGTGGCAGCACCAATCCTGTAGGAAACCCTTTTCTAAGCCTCTCCAAGCCAAAAGGAGCCAATGTAAAAGATACTTCACTTTCTTTCTGTTAAAAAAAATTGGAGAACGTCCTTAAGACTGATCCTCATTCAGTGGATCTGTTTTTATGTAATGTTTTCCTGCTTAATTGCTTGATATTAATTGTTCTGTTGGATGGCTTGTTTTTGGAGACCTCTGGTGGTCAATACATTATTAGAACTATATAATGGTAAGAAGAGAATGTCATTAAATGTACATGGACCAACCTAACACTTCAGAACTTCCTAGAATCCTTATATATGTGTAAATTTGCACAATATTACTCAAAGATCAGATTGAATGAATATGTAAGTGGTATTTCAAGGTATACTTCTAAAAGTTTACAACAGCGACATTAAGCATTTTTTCAACACTGTTTTTAAAATTTTAGGTCTTCTTACACATGTATACCTGGTTAGCATAATAAGAAAGGGGCATTATGTTCTAGGACAAGAAGAATTGTGGCTGTTTGAGGAAACATTTATTTTGCCCTTTAAAGGCCCCCCCTCCCTGTTAAATGTCCAACAAAAGTTACTCATATTTAAGTGTTAAAAGACATGAGCATTTTGGAAGAACTTATATTTTCAAGTGTGCTTTAAGATAGTATATTTTCTACATTAGTGCCCTCTAGCTATGTAAAATTACAGATAGTTTGTATTCACTTTAGTCAAAATGTTTAAATATTGCTGTTACTCATTTTGGAGGAAAATATTTTGATTTCCATAGAAATGGCATGAGCAATACATGTGGAACATCTAATGCTAGTTATCAATTATCAATGTAGTTTTTTCTTGTTTTCTTTTTAATGGTGGTACTGGGGATTGAACCCAGGACCTTGTGCATGCTAAGCATATGCTCCACAACTATGAGCTATGCCTTCTCCCATCAATGTAGTTTTGAATCTCCAATAACAGTCATCCAAAAAGGGTTAAAATGTTGCTTAAGGTTGTAATAGATGGTAAATTCATTTAAAGAATTAATTAGATCAGTAGAGAACTACCTGTGCAATTATGGTAAAATTTAAGCCATTATCCTTTAAAGCACAATAGTTACAAATTATTCATATTAATCTACAGTAATCTGGTTATCTTTCAAAAATAGCTATTTCATATTTTTGAAGTTATACTAGAATTCAGCCACAGTAACATTTCTCACTGATATTTCAGGAGCTATATATACATATGTGAATATATATATGACTGATATGATATATGTGATGTATGATTTAAATACATGTAATTATACAAAATAACCAAACCAATAATGCATATGTTTTTCTGCCGTATCTACAAGAGAGCTTCTGTCTTTTCAACAGACAGGTATTAATGTAATCTGTTTCATAATACTCAACAGTTATAACATCAGAATTGAGGCTTTGCCACAAAATGAGAGAAAAGGAATGTTTGACTTGCATTATGATGGAGAAGCTGAGCCGTCAGGGCGTTATGCAGCAAATAAATGATAACTAAATTCTTGCTTTTAATCATAGTAAATTTCAACCTGCCATAAAAATGAAATATGATTTAAGTGAGTAATTAGTAATTGAACATTACAGGGAGTTTCCAAAAGGAAAGGGCATATCACGAATCAGGGCATATACTGGTATCAGGACCAAAAAATCCAAGACAATTGAGGCATTAAGGGACTTGCTAATCAAGATTCTTTGAGCCGGTCAGGGATAATGTAGAGTGCTTAGCACTTAACACTTCACCTTTGCCTTTTCTGCAGGTGGATTGCTGATTGGGTTTTAGACGACTTAGTCTGATCTCCCTCTGCCTTCATGGGAAGGGCTGATAGGACTTGCCTGGGCTGGGTGTGGGATGGCCTGAGTCTGAGCAGGAGCCTGGCGGCATTAACAGCAAGCCAAGTAAAAATGAGCTGGAGGAGATACTTCTGAGGGTAACACTTCAGACCTTTGCACAAGTTAAGACATTTAGAAGCACATAAAGTAACCCAATCAAAGGCAAGACAAAGTTTTCATTATATGAATTAAGTTTTGTTTTTCTTTTTTCCACCGCAGACTCAGTGTACACAGAACGTTACATGGGTCTTCCAACTCCACAAGACAACCTTGACTATTACAGGGTAAGAGACGGTGAACTAGATCCATTCCATAACCTGTTTATAAGTGGCATAGGAGCATTTTTAAGTGTATCTATTCTAGAAAATATATAGTTTTTATTTCCAACAAAATTCTTGTTAGAAAGAAATAACACAGGTGGTTTAGAGATACTCCAATAGCTTCCCCTACTATCTTCTGCATAATTACAGTCTTTATCGTACGCTATATAGGTCACAATATGCATTCATTTGGAAATACAAAGCAATACCAGATAATTACTTTAATTATAAAAATTATAGTTTAGAAAACATGTCAAATTCAACCTATTCCTTTAGAGCCCAGAAGACTCTCAAACCTCTAACTACGTATGAAAATTTCTCATGGTATTATCAGAATTAAGTTGTGTATACAAGCTTATTATTTTCTTATTCATAGCCAAATGTGTACAGTTTTTTCACCCAAGGTTTGAATAAAGCAGGTGAGGTGTAGGTCCAGCAGGGAGCACTCGGAAAGGCCCTTGAACCCAAATTACCGAATCGCACCCAGCGGGCTGGTTGCCTGATGGCGGAGCCAGTGGGCAGGTTGCTGTGCAGAGGGGCTGTCGCATTTGAAATATGGTTGGGGTGCAGCAACCAAGGGCAGCCCCGTGCACTGGTGTGGTCCCCTGCAGAGCCAGAGCACACCCTTTGGTGGCTCGCCGATGCAGCTGGAGATGTCAGCCTAAGTACTGGGGACCCTTCCAGAACCTTGGTGCATCCAAAACTCGCCTGATTCTGTCATGTAAGTTGAAAACCCTGAAACTTACAGGTGACAAAGTAAATCATCTGATGTTCACATTCTCCATAGGATATTCGAAACTCTTCCCAGGACAGTGAATAAAAAAGACAGAAAAACAATAACCAGGATAATTTAAGAACACAGTTCCTCCTCACCTGTGCCACAGTTCTCAGTGCCTGGGCTTCATATTAATGCATTGCTCTGAGCAATATTCGTATGTTTGTTTTTGTACGATGTCATCATTATTATGGATTCTGAGGCCATTTGATCAAAATACAATCAAATGCAAATATAATTTCTAGTTTTGCGAGCTAAGTCTGGACAGTTTAGTTTTATGTCTTACTTTCAGCTTTATTTGGCAAGGCTTGTGTGGGAATGGGCGGGAGGGGATACGCATGTGTTTGTGCCTTTGTGTTTCCGTCTCTGTTTTCCAGGCAAGATAGAAAAGTAACAACCTGTGAAGTGAGATGTTCAAATCACCTTCCCCTACCAACCGGCCTGTTGTCAGGTCGTCCCTGTTTCTGCTGATTGTCCCTTGTGATACTTTGGACTCAGTTCTTCCCATTCTTTCTCTTCCACAACCAATGAGCTGCTTTAGGCATCCTTTCCCTTCTCCATAACCATGTTGCTGCGGTCGCATGACTGCCTCATTCTGTTAACAGTAAGCCGGCTGGTCTCCCCTTCGCTTGTCTTCCTACGCTCCAGGCTATCCCACACGGACTTATGAGATGAACCCCCATCCGCAGCCCTTTGTGGACCTTTCCTGTGGACTCAACTAAGTCCAGCCCTTGTTCTTTAACCAGGTGTTCAACACCTCTCTCACAGTGACCCCGTTTACCTGGAATGTTCGTTGTTCTCTGGATATTTCTGGGCTTTTGCCTTTTGTGCCTTTGTCCTCAGTTCCTTCTGCCTGGGATGTCACTTGCCCTCCGTCTCCACCTATCAGGACCCTTGTACTGCTCTCCCAGTGGACTCTCGTGCTCTTTTGACTCCCGTGACATTTGCCTTGAATGTCTCTGAATCCTCAGTTTATCCATCTGGGACTCATAGTTATTTTGAACTCCTTTTCCCCCTCTGCATTATTATTCATAATTCAAGGCTTTACTCAACATTGTATTCTTTGGATCATGCAGTATGAACTATAAACCTTAAAACCTTTTCTGATTTAATTTTAAAACTTTTTGAAGGGAGACAGTGCTATAAAAATTGTATGTCTCCATCACTTCTCTCATTTTACAGCTGGAGTTCTCTTGTCAGGGATCAGACCACGATGCTTAAATTTGAAAGCACCCCTCCTGCCGTGTGCCATGTTTGCTGACTGACCCAAGGGCTTTCTCAAACATCCCAAAGTACTAGAAACTCCCAAAACATCAGAGGTGTACTGCCTGGGACCCTAATCCTGACTCTAGAACCCGGGGAATGATGAGTCAAAAGTTCATTTAAAAAATCCCGTTTTGGAAAGTCTTTGAAATTCAGAGCACAGGGTCAAGTCCAAACCCTGACATCTGAGGCAGCCCATAGGACTGACCCCACTTCACTCCGAGAACATCAGCCTACAGGGTGCGTCCTCTCCAACCAGCTCTCCCCCGGAGAATAGCTGGTTTTAATCTGCCATTTCAACCTGTAATATCTTTTTCCAGATTTCTCATCGGCTCCTCATTCCCACACTGACCCCCATCTTCTCCAGCTCCACTCCCCGCTGAGGTGGCCATTTTCATCTCTCCCCTTAGGTGTTCTCTGCATGAGGTAATCTTGTAAATAGAAGTCACTTCCTCCTGCCAATGGCAACACGCGCTCACTGGGAGCACAAAGTCACTGTCTCGCTTCACTGCACAGATGGCACCCGAGGACTGTTTAATCCTTCCACGCCAGGAGTCGGGTTTTCTTGGCACGAAACCCGTTGCTGGCAATGGACACATTAAAACTGCCAGTACCAGGGAGCTAAAGGTTCCCAATGTGTTACTCAGAGGAGTGATTTGGGCAGCGACGGTGAAGGTGGGGAGCAGAAAGTGAGGCAGAGGCTTTCACTGCATTGTTTCCGCCCTGTGCGTGGCTTCCTCAGAGTGCAGAGAACCGAAATCTAAGTACCTATATTTGGTGCACAGCAGGCTTTAGAATAAAGCTGCCCTCCTTTGTTTTTTAAATGAGCCCATGCTTTTGTCTCTGGCAGCAATACATTCAAAGATTCTATTTTCCTCCAAGGCCCCAGCTGCCCCTCTGGACCCCATTTTCTTTTACGTTTCTTTCCCAGGTTGTTTTATTTTCTCTCTCTTTCTTCATCTCCTCCCCCCTCCCCCCACCCTCTTTGAAAAGACAAAGGAGACAATTTCTCAGAGGCTTTCCCTGCTCTGTGCATTTCCGTGGGTCAGAAGGAAATATTTTGAAAATGATTCCCACTTAGTCTGGACGATTGGCTTTCTCCCACACACCCAGCATGGAAATGACCATAGTGTGTACTACGCAAGGCCCTGATCTTCGTCCACGTTTTCAACTACAGACTCATTGATCAGTAGCCCAAATTATAGCATTTATAAGATAATTCTTAAAAAATGAGGAAAGGATTCATTACTAGGGTCGCTGATGACCCAGATTTGGAAGAATTTAGAGAAACCACATCATCAAGAGAAGCATGTTTTGTGAAATAAAGGTCCTACTTACTATTTAGGAGAGGAAATCGGAGGAACCATTTATATATGCAAATGGAACAGGCAGGGGTGTCATGTATAGTTGTTCAGCGTGTGCACTGCTGAAAGCCAGTCTGTGCTCCATTCACTAAGGCATGCGCTTCTGGGGCTGCATCCACTCAGGCGGAGTGCCCTTTCTTATTCTTACAAAGCTGCCATATAGACTAGCAGACCCTGGGATTAAGGCTTGGACCCAATGCAGTGACACAAGCAGTGACTCTATAAGACTCTTCATAAATAATCACCCACCTATTGCAGAGTGGCAAGGAAGAAGCACTTTTTAAAGGATACCAGGGACTCAAAGAGGAAAGAGGACATTCATCACCCTGAAACTCCAAGGAGCTGGCCCCAGAGGCTCTAAGGAGGCAGTCAGGGTGGAGGGATGACAAATCAGAGCTCACAGGCAGTGCAGCTCTGTGGAAACCGCTTTTCTGCAGTGAATCTCTATCCACAGTAGACAGAAATGGCTAAGATTCGAGCAAAAGAATTAGTTAGATAGGCAATGAGACAACCTTCACCCCCAATTAATAATAAACGAATAGCAACCATGGCCCTGCCTTGAGGAGTGGGTCCCTGACTGTCACTGATGAATGGCTCTCCTGCTCAATCACGGGCCTTTCGGTCAAACCTATAAAAGATATTAACACGTGGTAGACTTACACTCACACATTCAAGGTGCCTGGTGTTTTAGTTGTTCAGGGGTTGTTGACCTTTTTGGTGAGACAAAACACGTAGACACAATTTTTGAAGAAAAATAAAAGAGAGTAGGTAGTAAAGCATGAACTTGAACATGACAGTGCTCAATATGTATGGAAAAGACTAGCAGTTTCCAGGTTGTGCCTGCGGGGCCCCAGGAGTTCTGTGCCTTCCGAGTATGCAGGGAGGGAAGGGACTGGGGAGAAGTCAGCCCCCCACCTCCAGTCGTCTCTACCAGGGGTCCGGTTTCATGCATTTCATTCACTTTTTTTTTCATTCATTAAGTGCTTGCTTCTGTGCAAGCTCCTATGCTATTCTAAGCTCTTTACATGGGTTATTAGGTTCAATTCTTGCTCAAATTCTCTGAGAGAAGGGCTCTAATTATCTCCATTTTACTTACCCAGAAACTGAGGCACCAGAGTGCTATATAAATTGTAGCTAGATGGGTAGGAACTGCAGGGACTGTCTGGGGAGAGCATCTTGGTGCTCGTCACAGGTTGCCGGAGGGACGAGGCCAGAGCACAGCAGACACACACCGGTGAGTGGCGGGCAGAGCTGCTTCTCTGGGACTTGTGAAGCAGGTCGGATGTGCTCAGCGATAACAGGGAGGCAGGGCTGTGGGAAGAGCCGGCCAAATGGTGGCTAATAAGGCAAGACGTGATTCTGGCGAGGGAACGGATTCACGAATCCACCCAGAGAGCAGTATCGGATCAAGGGCAAGAGAAGCGGGGCCCAAGTCCCGAGCCTGGCTGCCAAGAGGAGAGGGCAGCCTGGAACACACAGAAGGGACTGATTTAACTTGTAGAGGAGATTTATTTTGCATTTTGCTCAGAATTTGATAGGCTTTTGGCAAGTGTAGGAAACAGTCATAGATTTGGCAGTCTTCTGCTAGCAGATTTGAAATGTTCAATCCTTAAGAACTGCTGCATCGTTAGGTTATGCAAAACAGGGTGCAATTTTGTAAATATGCCATCTTGTACTGATTTGACATTTGTTCTATTATCCCAGAATATGCCAAAGGGAGAGAGACCTTCAGATTGAAGCCAAACCTTAACTTGTTTGTTGAGTGCTGATAAAATGTTGACTGCTGTGTGATCTTTAAAGAAGCCAGTGCTGCTTGGGGAGGCCTGAGGCAGGGCCCCCTGTCGGTAGATGGGAGCGCTTTCCTTGGCTTCTCACCGTACAGTTGTTTGATGGATGCGAACAAGTAAAACATCTTATATAGTGGGTTGAATTAATTTTTTCTTAAATTTTTTCTGTGGCCTCTGTTGTGGCATTAATGGTGCTTCGCCAAATAGCTTCATTCAATATTATTTGTGAGGCTTTGGTTGCAAGTAGAAGGATGCCCAGAGTAAGTAAGAACTCCCTGAAGTACTGGCTTGTCCCTGAGACCAGTGGCTGGTTGCTCTTTCTACCAGAGCTTGGAAAAGGGGATGCGTTGTTTGGCTGTGATGGGGACGGACACTGTAACAGACTCCGGACGTTAAGAGGCATGGGCTTTTGAGTTTGACCTGCGTGCAAATTCTGTTTCTACCACCTGTTAGCAGTATGAGCTTGGAGAGGTAACTTAGCCTCTTCGAACCTCAGTTTCCTCATCTGGATAATGGGGATAATCAGACCCACCACCCAGGGTTATTGAGAGGATTAAATGAGACACCTGCGCCTGCCATGAAGGAAGCTTTCAACAATATGGCAGCTGCCTCAGGAAGCAAACTGTCCTTCTGGTTCCTGGATGGCACAAGGGTTAGTTTAGAAATCGTGAGACCTTCTGTTTCTCACAGTACTTCCCCGCTCTTATCAGCTCTCTTTTTTATTTCAAAAATACAAAGATTTATTTGTTGGAAGGTAACTGAAGAACCAGCATGATCCAACGAGCAGCTACAGATGGTTCTTCTCGGGGCTCGAAGGAAAAGCTCCTCCCGGAGATGCTGTGGCTCATTCGGCACTGCCACTGGACCGAGCCTTCCCACTTCGCTTTGCCAGGCTGTCGCTGGCAGCGGGGCTCTCCGGAAGTTTCTAGCCTCGGGAGAGTGCCAACTGCACCGCCATTGCATCCTTGCCCATTTATCACTCTTAGCTTCCTTTTTAGTATCTGGTGACAGACTATTCGGCTTCTAACTTAGTCATCTATTTCCTTTTTTATTTCTGTTTCCATCGATAGGCAAATGGGGATTATCCTATTTTGGTGGGTGGAAAGAGCGCAATTATGTTATTTCTGGTCCTTAACCCTCCCTTAAATTAATGCATGCATTTCTTTCACTGGCTTTGGCTGTTGCCTTTTCCAGGTTAAAGTGTGCCCCACAGAGGACTGTCAAGAGTCTTTCTTGATTGAGCAGCCAGGATGCTCAGTCTAGTAGGGAATGACCAGTGGTTCCAGAGGCCAGGCGACACAGCTGCATCTTTCTAGGGGAAAAAAACATTCTCAGCAGCCTGGAAGCCTTCACATGGGTGTGTGCCTCCGGCCCCCCGGCTCCCTGGCACTGACAGGTCCCTCTTGAGGCTGCTCCCAGCGAGCAGGGGGACGTGTGCATCGGGAACCACACACTTATCCTGTAGTTGCAGGGGAAGCTTTTGTTTTCTTTTTCTCTTGCTGCATTAAAGTATTTGTCTTTCTTTCTTTGTAGTGTAATATTGTTAATGTAAAACAATTTGCATCATGACACTTTTATCACAGTTTTCGTCTTTTTCTCAGTATGTTGCATTTCTCACCATGTCTAGTTCATCACAGCTACAGTGTGTACATCACAACATTTATCTTAGGCTCAGGGTTTTACTTGTTTATAAAAATTGTCTTCTTTCAGCCTGTATTCACTCCATTTAAGAAGAAAAAAAAAAAGGCAGCCAGAAACTGTTTTGGTCCAAACTCCAGTAGTTATCACATTCCTTGCTAACTGTCCTGTGTATTTATATGTCTCCTAACTATTACTCTGTGTTTCAATGACATTTCTCAGTTTTATGGCTCAGGGAGGTTGTAGAGAAGCTTTTGCTGTTCATGCTGCCAAGCAAGTAAGACCCGGGAGGCTTTTGGAGGGGAGGGGAGGTGACACAGCTGTATAGTTGGGTCAGGTCTAGGTGTTCAAGTTGACTAGCTTTGGCAAGCAAAGAGCTAGATTTAACCCGGGGAGAAGGAAGGTGGCGGAGACAGCAGCTCAGGGAGCACAGGCTGAGAGTGGGACTCGTGGCAGGGGGGACTCAGGAGAACTGGGCGCCAGGACCTGGGGCTCAGACTGTGAGTGTCCGCTGTCAGTGTGCCCACCCCAGCCTCTGCTGTCGCCAGCTCTGAATCCTACAGTGGCCTTTCGGGAGATTGATTTTGACCCTCTCCACTCTCCAGGGCAGAAAGTTGCCCAGGGTTCTGTTGCTGCATTAGGCTCTGCCTCGTCGGCTGCGCAGCCCAAAAACGTGCCTCGCAAATCTCGCAGGGCGGTGCAAGCCAGCTCTCTTCTGATGAATTCAGTCAAAGAAGGCATGAGAATGTAGGAGGCAGAGAATGCCCAGGGTGTTTGTGTACTCCAGATCCCAGGGCAGTTCGTTAACAATTTATCTTTCACCGTATTTTTGCTGGAAGACCACGTCATGAGCAGCTTGGGATTTTCGGGGAGACTCAGTGCAGCACAGGAGGTAAAACGGGTTCCGCTGTCAGACTTTGCGTCCAGTTCTCACGCTTCCTCTGGATGTCACCCGGTGCACGTTATTCACTTCTGAATCTCGGTGTCTCCATGTGGAAAGCAGGATTGCTTTAGATCTATCTTGCAGGAACGTCATGAGAATTAAACAGAGCAGTGCTTTTATAAATCCTTTAAGATGCTTAGCAAAGTGACTGGCACAGAGTAAACAACAAACGTCTGCTGTTATTACTAGTGGCATCGTGTATGGACTGAAAGTGGGCAAAATATATCTCAGTAAATTTCAGAATGAGGATATTTTACTCCACCTATCCTAGCTGTTCCCACTTGTCTCTGCAAAACTAGAACTGAACACAGTGAACAGCACAATCTAAGTGCTTAAATTTCTTCCACTTATTCCTTTAAATGATACTTAGCACTGTATTCGATGCTCAGAATAGAATAATGAATGTTAAAGACAAATTCATTTTCTCATGGATCTTATTGTTTAGTTGGGTATATACAAATAAATATTGATTGACTACATGGGAGAGTGAACGGATGGATGGAAGAATGAATGAGGCAGTGTTGGGATGGATGGATGGATTCATCTGGGACATCTCACCAGATAACACATTTCTTAAAAGGAAAGTAAAATAAAAGTGTGATTTTTTTAATGAGTCTTAGGTATTTATTCTGAAAGTTCATGGATAAATTTTTAATTTGGGTCAGAAATGCCCTATGATCAGGACTAGTCGGACCCAGCCTGAAAGAGTGGGAAGGCCTTTGCTCGAAACTTTCCAGGACAAGATCACCTTGGGTCTGAGTCAACACAAACAAGTTGGAAGGCTCTGTCCCGAAAGTTGTGGACAAAATGTGTTTTTTTCCAGAAACACTGTTACAGCACCCTCACATCAGCATAAGTAATTTAACCTTACAAAAAAAAAAGCCAGGTCTCTTGATTCCTATTTCTGTGAGAGTAAGAGGCGTTAATCTTCCTCCCATTGTCTCCAGGTGCCCAGCTCATTGACACTGAAGCTGGGACCAGATACAGAAACTCCGATCTTAGCTCCAGCCCCTTCCCGACATTAGGGTTCCCATCAAAAATAATCAGGCTGGTGTTAGCAACACAGGTATCTATAAAATACAAACCTTGCCTCTCATCAAGTTGGCTTTGATTCACCAAGATGCTGCAGGATTAGCAGGCTGACTCTAAACCCATAGGGAGGCTACTGGCCTTTCCTCTGCCCAATTCATAAGAAGGCAATAGAAGCAGACTCTAGCTCACCCCCTCCCAAAGTCACTACAATGTCTATGACATTTTTACCTTCATCCCAACTTCTAAGACATCCTCAGATTAAGATCAGATGACCAGTTCCATACTTTCAAAGCCTTTCCATCCCAGACCCCACCCTCATTCTAGAAGTCCCACCTGACTAAAGTCCTGAAGCAGTCTTCAAAAAGCTGACCTCCCAAGTTTTGCTCCTAATTCCCTGGCTAATCTGGTAACAATTTGATCCAACAGCCGCATTTCCCCCAATACAGAATGAGGCAGACAACAACCACCCAGTGATTTCCTAAAGCCCTACTTGATCTTTTTCATGCCTTTTCCCTCCCATATATTCCATTTGCCTATGTTTTAAACATCTGTTCCCAAAAAAGGTAATACTTGCTTCTCATTCAGAGCCTAGCAATGTGGACCAAAGTTCATATGACATATTGCAGAGTATGTTTAGTTGCAAATGCTATGTACGGGCTCTTTGAAATGTAGCATGTATGGCACCATGTGACACACGGTTGCCATGGCAATACACTTTTTGGCTGAACTACAGCACAAGCCCATTGAACATACATTGCTAATATGAGACTCTGCCCTGTGCTAATGCATAGGACACAGCCAATCTGGGATCTGGGACTCACGGGGTTTCGCATGCAGCCTGGGTGGCAGGTGCCCTCTTCCTGCATGTGCAGGGAAGATGTGGCATCCTCCCTTTCCAGCCCCATCTCCCAGGCACAGGACATGCTGCGCATTCTGCCATGCACCGAGACAGCATTTGCTTGAATATCGGTTTGCTATATTTTGTATCAAAGGGGGCCCCAGCTGAAAACATTTTATTTTGTAAACTGAAGTGAAAAATCAGTTTATGGCAGATCTTTTTTTGAATAATGACATTCTTTTTCCCAATTCCAGAATTCAACAGTCATGAGCAGAGCTGAAAATTTTAAACAAGTTGAGTACCTCCTTATTCATGGAACAGCAGATGGTGAGTTTCAGTTAATTAGACTTTTTAGTATCACAGACAGGTTTGCAATTTCACTACTGACAAAACAAAAGCATGAGGGGCAAGACTGTTACATTTACTTCAATAAAACAGTGTTGCTTTCCACAACTCACTTGTCTTCGGCTAAATGGGATGCTGAGTCCTAGAACTTCCAACAGTCCCTTTCTTCCTGTGCCTTTCCCACCCTTCCTAGTAGAAAACTGGAGTGGCTATTAGTTATTTTATGCTTCCTTTCTCTCCCTGCAGATAACGTTCACTTTCAGCAGTCAGCTCAGATCTCCAAAGCCCTGGTGGATGCTGGAGTGGATTTCCAGACAATGGTATAGCAAAACTTTGCGCAAGGGAAGGGAACTTACTGCTAGAGAACTTACTGATGTGGTCTGGTACCCATCTCTGGACGACACCTCACAAAGGTCCCAGGAGACAGGGACGGAAGTAAAAGGAGTTTTAGTTTTCCAATGAGAAGTTGAAGAAGTGATATCCTTGAGCCAGAAACAGAGTAATGCTCGATAGTACAAAGCTGGGGGTTGAGAAGCCTGTTTCATACCCTGGGAGTGTCAAAACACAGCTCTTCTAGTCCTGCGGTGGTTCTGTCTCTCCCAATTTTGACTCAAAAGTAATCACTCAGTAAATGTGTGGCAGAGTAATTCTACAGTGAAACCAGCATGAAAATAACTCAGCTCAAATATGAAAACCCATTTCTGCCTGGTACGTATTACTAACCATTCTAACAACAGTAGGATATTAATAGTCATCACACTCCAGTTTTTGCAACTCCCGTGTTCTTTTGTTGAAGGACCACAGGTAATAAACAATTAGCCTTGTTTTAGAAGGTCAGAAACAGCTAGAGCTGTTGTTGCCTTTTCAGAGGATGTTTCTAGGTATTAAGTCAAATTCATTTTATGCACTAGACCTTTTCAGATTAAAAAGAAAAGTGACTGTGTGTTGCACTAAATATTTTTGTGCTAAGTGCTTTCTTGCCTGTATTAGCTTAAAAAGCCTGCTTTCCCTCACCTCTTCTAACACACACGCTTTGTGCCCAATTTAAACAGTGCCCACTATTCAGAAGTGGGACAGTCATTTAATACAAAAAAAAAAATCTCTGCATGTATTTTTGGTTCAAATTCTTATAAGAGATTGAGGTTTTATCTTTCCACTATTCAAAAGAAAGACATGATATTTAATTAAGCAATTTTTAGAAGTTACTTTATGTCTCCATAATATATGTTTGTCTGGCAGTGACTTCCCAATGTTTAATGCCATATGAGTTGATAAATTTTTTTATTCAGTGCAAAATCTTAAGTGTTCACAAATAATTCATTTGACTTTTGACTTCACTCATGTTAAACAAATATATGGAATATTGAAATAGATTTTTCTAGTCCCTTAGGGCTATATAGTAGGAAAATTTGCTTTTAAAAAATCTTTTAATAGTTTATCTCACTGCAGCATAGGAGAAATTTAACACTTGATAACAATTAGAGCTAGTGGGCTTAATGGGATAAACATTCCCTCCTGTGCATGATGTGGTTCAGAGTGTCCTTTGAGTCAAATTTGAAAATGGACTTGGATATTTTCATTTGAATGTACATATCCTTCAAGGACTAAGCAGTGAAGCCAAATTCATAGTGAGTTCTCTCAGCCCCTGCAAAGGGTGATCAGAGACTCCAGCAGGAGGGAACAGCAGGCCTTGGAGAAATCCTGGGGGGAAATTAGAAACCCTCTTTGATCACAGTTCAGTTTATAAGCTGATTAAGGAGTTAAAACACCCTGTTTTAGTCCATGTGTACTTGTGGGAACTCACTTGCATTTAAAAAAAAAAAAAGACAACCGACGCGCTAACTCTGCCCTTCTTCTCTCTCCAGTGGTACACAGATGAAGACCATGGCATCGCTAGCAGCACAGCACACCAACACATATACACGCACATGAGCCACTTCCTAAAGCAATGCTTCTCTCTACCTTAGCCCCTGGAAACAGCATGCCGTTTAAAGCTTATGAAAAGCCACTTTCGTTCTCATTATCTCCAAACTGCATTGTCAAGATGACGATCTTAAAAAAATGTACACTCAAATCAATAAATTTAAGGCTACCTTTGTGCCCAAACTTCGTATCTATAACTCTAGGTAGGGACTGCTATCTTTGCAAGAGATTATTACCTTTCAGAAGTTTGAATTATTCGGTCTGGTTTTGTTTATTATTTAAAATCATTTCCACATCAGTTGGTGAAACAACAAATAAGAACTGCTTTTATGAGAGTTTTGCAGAGGTTCCCTGGGCAGCATTTTTTACTCTAACTGGACTAGTGCAAACCTTGCTCTCTTCTTTAAAGGAATGGCAGGATGCGGGTAGTGATGTCACTGAAGCAGGGATAAGAAAAGACGAGGTAGAGGGACAAGCTAGCAGGGCGAGGCTGGGAACCTCAGTCCAAGCATGCTGACCCGACCAGGCTACTGTCAGCTAGTCAGAGAAGAGCTGTTCACAGCCAGACTGGCAGAGTTTTCTGGGAAAGACTATTCAAACAGTCTCAGGAAATCATATATGCAAAGCACTGACTTCTGAGCAAAACCACAGCAGTTGAATAGACTCCAAAGAAATGAGAGGGAAACTGCCAACAATGCAGGACCCCCAGGTGCCAGTTACGGCTATAGGTGCTACAAAAACACAGCAAGGGTGATAGGAAAGCATTGTAAATGTGCTTTAAAAATACTGATGTTTCCTAGAGAGAGAGGCAGCTTGGAACTGAGATGTGAACACATCAGCTTGCCCTGTTAAGAGATGAAAATATTTGTATTGCAAATCCTAACTTGAAGGAGTCTTTGCATCATTTTTCTTATTTCATTTTTTTTTTGAGCATCTAATTAAAAGACGGTTTTAACTTCCTTGGACTTGTTTTTAAAAATTGAAAATAAGCTACAAACATATGTATTATGATTCCTATTCTAAATACGGTGGAATTTCTCCTGGTCAGTAATAAATGTGCCTTCATTTTTTTTCAGAGGTAATGAGTTTTGTGTCTTGAATCAGACCTAAATTGCATTGGCATATGGACACATTTACCCAGAAAGGCTCTTGTTTATTTTGCTTGTTATCCCAAACTGCCTTGTAAACATGGAGAGGGTTCAGTTTCTGTAAGAAATAGATACACAGAAATGTGCTAAATTAAGCAGTTCATAGGGTTTTTATCTAATACATATACAGTTTCTGTTATCACACATACATATAAGCTTTTGAAAAACAACTTAAAATAATTTAGGTTATTTATATAATACATAATCTGTCATTTTATTCCAGGGACTCTGATGAGGCTTATAACAAGTAATATAGATGATGTCATCTTGGTAGCTCTGATGTTTCAATCAAAGCAAAAAAAAAGTCAAATCAACCACTCAAGTGTTTGACTAATTATTTTTGGTTGGCATAACTTTATTAATGAAACCATAGATTTAAAATGCTGAATTTAGCCAAGTGATGTAATGTCTAGATAACTGAGGACACATAATATTTTTGTTCAGTTATTTGCAAAATGGCCTCATTTTTCAAAATTGATTTTTATGAATTCAAACATAGCTTCAAACATAGCTGGAAAAAGTTATCCCAAACAGAATGAGCTGCAGCATAAAAATCTAAAAATGGAAGAATTGGGAAAAAAAATCTATCAATTCAACATGAGACTGGTGACTCATGCACAGGAATGGACAGAAGATTGTGAGATTCAGTTTCAACTGTATTTTCAGAGCGTGGCCTTGAGTAGCTTCACCTTAATTAAGTCTCAGATCTCACTCATCCACTGGAACCATAAGCCAACCTTCAAATCTATATGGCTTTTGTCATAATTCTAATAATAGATTCCAATCATCATGAGTAACTGGACCAATCTTTGCAGAGTTCCATACCCAAAAGCAGTAATCAAAGATCATATGCTCACATCCTGCACCAAATTAGTAATCATAAAAGCAAATTGAACAGAAATTCTTTTATCTTAACTGAAACTAGATATTGTGCAATATCAGATACTATACAGACAGTAAGACCACAGTATAAGATTTGATATTGTACAATATTATACGAATTTATTGTTTCTTTAGTTTTTAAACATGCTCAATGTTTTCTCTGGAGCCGAGAGGTAACAAAAAAAATTCCAGCACGTATTTTTCATATCGTGAGGGTTGCAAATGGGATGATGTAATCGAAGTTACAGTAGATTTCATCAGATTCCAATAGCAAGTTTTACTCACCACTAAGAGTTTTAAATTAGTACACTGGGAAAGGAGTTAAAGAAATTGACAAATAAATTAGAGACAGACTGAATCTGAGGGTAGGTTTGAAACACTCAGAAACTAGTCATACCAGGAAGATGTGCAGACTTGCCTGTCTTTGACAGTCGCAGCCTCAGCAGGCACCTGGGCACGGAGATTCCTTTCATAAACAACCTGTTGGAGTGCACCGGTGCCCAGGAGCACACGCACCAGAGGAAGGGACAAATGTTGACATCTCTTCCATGGATACAGAGTTTCTTTTTTAAGCTTTGATTAAGATTTTTAGAAAATCACTTTAAAAGTTATTTTCGAATTTTTTTTTTTTGGTTGGAAACCTTGCTAAAAATGATCCCATATTCCACGCTTTCTTAAATAACAAGCATTAACCATAATTCAATGCATCCTGATGACTCAAGGCCATTGCCATGAAGATCAACTTCACATCCGGCTGTATGTCATTCTGACTGTTTCTTATTCACAGGTGGTTACCGAGGCTACCAGTTTCACCACTTGTCATTTACTGCTTTTGCTCTAAGTTGGTGTGAGGATTCCAATTTTTTAAACTATTAGATTTGTACAATATTTAAGATTCAATAAGCTCTAAATGACAAAATACCAAAACACAAGAATGGCTTTTTTTAAAGTAAGAGAATTCTGTTTTTCCAACTTTGTGACAGTTCTTTCAGCAGTGTCCGACAATATTTTTACATACATCCTGGAAGATCCAGAGTATGTATTCAGGATGTCTGAGGGATATAGATGGCTGAGAATAAGAGATGAATGTGGGTAATAAAGCATAATGTCACTACCCATAAGAAAGGCTCAGAGCATGGTATTGATAAGACCAACGTTATGCTTAGTAGAAATTTATCATCCCTTTGAATGTCACCTTTCTGTGACAATATTAACATTTAAACTCAAGACCTTTTTTTATTGAAGTATAGTTAATTTACAGTGTTGTGTTAGTTTCAGGTATACAGCAAAGGGACTCAATTATACATATATTTTTTTGTAATCTTTTCTATTATAGGTTATTACAAGATATTGAATATAGTTCCTTGTGCTATACAGAATGTCCTTGTCGTTTATCTATTTTATATAGTAGTAGTGTATATCTGTTGATCTCAAACTCCTGATTTATCCGTCCCCAACTTTCCCCTTTGGCAACAAGTTTGTTTTCTGTGTCTGTGAGTCTATTTCTGTTTTGTAACTAAGTTCATTTGTTCATTTTTTTAGACTCCACATATAAATGCTATCATATGATATTTATCTTCATCTGACTTACTTCACTTGGTATGATGATCTCTAGGTCCATTCATGTTGCTGAAAATGGCATTATTTCATTTTTATGGCTGAGTAATATTCCATTGTGTATATACACCACATCCTCTTTATCCAGTCATCTGTCGATGGACATTTAGATTGCTTCCATGTCTTGGCTATTGTAAATAGTGCTGCTGTGAACATCGGGGTGCATATATCTTTTCAAATTAGAGTATCCTCCAGATTTATATGCCCAGGAGTAGGTTTGCTGGATCATATGGTAAGTCTAGTTTTAGTTTTTTAAGGACCCTCCGTACTATTCTCCACAGTGGCTACACCAATTTACATTCCCACCAAGAGTGTAGGAGGGTTTCTTTTTCTCCACACTCTCTCTAGCATCTGTTATCTGTATATGTTTAAATGATGAATTAATAAAAAATAAAAATGTTCTTACTGCTAAATTGAGAACAGTATCTTTTCTGGGATTACAGACTTTAAACTTCAGCAAACTCAATCAAAATTCTTATTCTACATAATCTTTCATCTGAACAATCACTCCAAGTTTGTCAGATTATTTTAAATGCATGTATGATGAAAGTGTGACCCACCAAACAACCAGAACTCTAATTATTCCAGCAGGTTTCTCCTACCCAAAGTCATGATATTTGTGTCTTGTGAGAAAAAATGTTTCACTGAGTAGGTTTGGTTTCAGTGTTAATCACAGTGTTAATCACAGATGACTGACAAAGAAAATCTTATACACTGAGAAGAAATATCACTTGGCTTAACCTGATTCTGGTTGCATGAACCAGAATGAGCCCCCATTAAGTAGGAAGGCAGTCATATCCCGACTCTTGCTGGAGGCTCAGTGCACTCCAGCCGAGGTTAGAGAGACATGGGTTAGAACCTCAGCATCAATACTCACAGTGAGGAATATTTTAAAGAACATTACTTGGCCCCTTTGAACCCCAGTTTCTTAATTTAAAAGAAATACCAAAATACCTACCTCCCATAACTGTTGTGTTGCTGTGAAATTTATATACATCCTATGCCTGGCTTGATGATTCCATAGATTATAGCAGTTCTCCCCATAGGCGTCTTGTGTCTGCAGGTGTCAGGCACATGAAAGTGCTCCACACGCATCTGTTTTTGTTGCAATTTTGCCGTGTCAGTGAGAGTCCTTTATGGAAATTTAATCATTCTTAATAAACTGAGAAGCCACATCTTCTGATATATTTTACTTATGATTCTGTCTGCGGCCTTTGTTGGCTGAATAAAGAGCAAAGCACAGAAAGAACTAGGCTCTGGAGAGTTACAAAGAAAGGATAAAACACCATTCTTACCTTTAAGGAGCTTATAAACAAATGGAAGAAACAGGTAGAATGGAAGAAATCTATGACCCTACACACACCGGAAGGCAAGAGCACCTAGATCCAGAGCCAAGCCTATGGGAAGAGTGGGTAAGATGAGCAGGATGAAAGGGTGAGCAGGAGGAAGGTGGCTTCTGGATTCATGAGCCAGCCACTGGCTGAACTCCTGTACTACACTTAGATTTCCTTCATTGTCTCAGAACTGCTGCTGATACCATGCTTTTCTGAACATTTTTTTCAAACACAACCCAAAACATATTCTGTAAAGGAATGCACTACATGAAAGGATTTATAATAAAGCTATTGTGTCTGGAGTTACTTATTAAGTACCTAAGGAGTATGCTTGAATCTGTTTGGTTTCAATCATTTAAAAGTTTAAAGACCACTCACAGAGCTTGGTCTGAGTCTCCAAGAGTCATCCTGGGTAGTGGATCCCAAAGGAAATAATTCCACTTTTTCCCCTACTATATTTTCTACTGTGCTGTCAGGCTAGTCTTTCCCAAAATACATACGTCTGCATTACTCAAAACTCTTAATGGATAAAGTTGCAGTATCCTAATATAGAATTTAACATCCATTATAATGTCTCCAATTTGTATTTCTACTTTTTCATACAGGTCCCCACCATTTCCCTAACACTCCAGCATTTTGGGCTGTTTTCTGGGTTCCAAGTGTGCTATACATCAAAAACATCAGGCTCCTGTTACATCGCATAAATTTACTATTTTATTTTTTTCTCAATATTGACATGTTTGAGAATCTCTGCAGTTCTTGGAGTTGGTTTCCTTTCCCATTTCTATCCTAACTCATATGCTACCTCTTATGTAACATTTTCCTCATACTCTGCCCCACTCAAAGTCCATCCTTGAGTTATTCACTGCTTTCATCATACCATCAACTCAGTACATATCACATTATGTTATAGCTATGTGTCTACCCCACCCTTAGAAACAAGGATTATAGTCCTATGTTGAAAGTTCCAACACAAAAGGTAGAGGTCAGTACACCAACAGAAACTGAAATGAGTAACAGCTGTATCAGTGAGCTACAGCTTTCTAAGGAAACACCCAAAGAGCTCTCTAAAAGTATTACCGGTAACCCTTGACTATTGAGCTTTCTCAGGGGGACTGATGGCAAGTAGCCTTTCAAAGTAGATATTTAGAGAATCACCATACTATCCAAATTACTCTCCTAAAATTCTCAAATGGTTGTAATCTCATTTCATTTTATTGCATGAATATATGAGAGAGATATATTGGAAAATTCTGAGAGCAATCTTGCAATAATGGTAAACTAGCCCCACACTTAGTAGCAAACAGGCTAAAGTTAAACAGAAAGAGAGATAGATTGGTGTAGATTAAAAAATAATGAGCCATACTTTTAACAGCCTAACAAATTTCCTAACAGATCTAGGGATTGTGTTGAAATATAAGCTGCTAGTGAATCATCAGTGGAGAGTTTCTATCAGGCTAAACTACAGCAAGAAGATACTCAAATTATATTTGGGAGAAAACGTCCTAATATCAAAGACTGTTAAATGGTAGCAATTTCAAAGTAAGTTCACGAGTCAAAAGAAAATTACTGTACATTAGAGTTACCTCCATAACATATTGCCAGATGGCTACAAAAGAATAATGGTCTCATCTGACCTACTGTAATAAACAAGGAGGAAACAAATTTTACCCAAGAAGAGTAAAACCAGAAGTCTAAGGAGTTGTAATAATGGGAAATCCCACTAATGCTGTTGGAAACTTTTACTAACAGTCATGGGAAAAATGGGAAACACACCCTAATACAGCACTCATCATAGGTCATAAAGTTCAGATTGTCTGAATACATCTTGAAACTCTAAGTCACCACTAAATATAACTATTATGTTCAAACAATCAAAATGTTCTCCATCAATTTACTGATTAACACTAAGGAAAAAAAGACAAGACACTATGCATCACAATTTAAAATGTGCAAGGAAATTAGTTAGGATAAATATTTATTTCCACATAACATTTCTTAGTTGTGAAAAACACAATATCCTAGTCACATTTACACATTACTTAAACTTTGCAATAAATTACATTCAATATATTCAGTAATTTTGACCAGGAATCTGAAATTAGGAGGAAATATATAACACTACACTTTTCTTATATTTTATATGATTTCAAAATATTGGGATTAACATAGGGATAGCATTAAAATTCACACAAGAACAAAATTACTATAAAAATACTCAGAAATACAGAATTTCATTGGCTATGAGTGCTTATTCAAATAGGTGATCATGTGAAAGTTTTAATTCACTATGATCATTTAAAACAGAGCAGTTATTAATATAGTAAAACACTAGGATGCTGCTTTTGGGACTGACTGGCTTGTACAGCTAGTCTGAATCATAAACAATGGGAATGATTATGTGTAGTATTTGTATTGTAAAATACACAAAGGCAAATACATTTGGAATGGAAAGTTTCTGCATTTTTCCTTGGCATTTATAAACACAGACTTTATTAACTGCAAACTCTTCTTGTATTTTTTAGACTTATGTTAAGTAAAAGAAATGGCTCCTTGGAAGATTGTGAGGGCAGTTTTACAGAAGGCATCAAAATGTTGAACCTAATGGAGGCTTTGTTGTTGTTTTTTAATTTCCTTGAGAAGCTTAATCACAAGAGGATTTTTTTTTTAAATTTTTCATGTGCATTTATACTCAGAAGGTGTAGCTGATAGCTTGGAAAAGCCATGGGGCTCTGAATTACTGTAAAATTGGAAACTGAAAATTAGAAGGCTGATGAGCATTGGTAATTCTTAGGGAATAAGAGCACTATGAGATTTTGTCTTTATTAATTCACATTCACCTAAGATGAAAGAAAATACTGTATTTTTAGTAATGCTCAAAAATTCTTAGCCTTCCTTCCTCTTATATAAGCTTAGTAAAGATGGATTATTCCATATGGACTGAAATATCTACAGAAGCTTCTCAAACAGAATCTGAAATTTTCATTTAAAAGATTACTTTTCTACAACATGCATTTAATTAGAAAATGAAAACGAGCTCTACAGAAAAAAAAAAAAAAAGACAACTGGAGACCTGTCAGTCTAACAGCAGAACACGATTCAGAAGCAGCAGTAAGCAGTACATGACCTTCCGCAGCAGCATAACCGCACAGGAGTGGGACTTCACGTACACCGACTCACCGGGTGTTATTCCACAAGTATGTATATAATAGATTTATTTGGAAAATATTTGTCGTCAATGGGAGATAAATTTAACAGCATATTTCTGATAAAGATTTATATTGAAAATCTCACAAAACTTACAAAGTTTTTCTAAAGCATTTCATACAAGCCTAGTATTTGATCATTTAATCACAACTTGAATTTTAAGCAAATACTCCTTGACCCTTTTCATTCATGTCTGATTCTTTCAAACAAGTTGTGAATAGGTTTCCATACATATTTTTCAAATGACCTTCAGTTTTAGTTACATATAAATTCTTAAGTATTAAATGTATTATATTAAATCAAGGAAACACATAAATACAATTATTAAAAAAATGCTCTTGAACTAACTTTTTGATTTGGGTCTTTTGCAGTAAGTCACTAATGCTAAGCTATAAAAAATAAAAAGAAGTAACACTACCTTTCAAAATTCTTCTGAATGAAATTATCAGGTATCTTCAGGTCCCTAAGTAGGAAAATACAAACTAGGTAAATATGACTTATCTCTTTAAGAAAGCTATTGCTCTCGTAAAACTGACAATGAGAATCGAGTGGTTACAAATGTCTAAAATACAGCAAGGAACACAGAGATTCTTGCATTAGCTATTGCATATGCTCACACAGGCGTCTCACTGTTCAGAAGTTTAAACACAGAAATGAAACAAGTATTGCACTACTTACAGTGTGAAGGTGGATTTGGGATGAAAGACAGAATTTATAATACATGATCAAAGCAGTTTTATTAATAATTGTGGCACTCTTCTCATATATATATGTAAAAAGTAAATTGAAGATCAAGTCATAGACAAGTCTCCCTGTCAACACCTTTCCCTGAGTCAGCTTTCTTCTCTTTTCGGCTTTCAATGCTACAGGGGAAAAAAAGGAGAAATTTATTACTTCAATCTAGCGCAGCTACTGGGAGATCTGCTTGCTCAGACACAAAACCCATCAACCCCAAAGCACCACAAGGGCCCTTAGGCATTGCTCTTTCATGCTGCGAAGCACAGATAAACAGCAACAATTAAAATCCTCTGCACTCAGTTAGATAGAAACCAAGAACTGCAGAAAAAGGGAAATTCAAAAAACAGAAACTAAAAAACAAAAACCAAGACATTTTTAAAACAGTTTCAAAAGCATGCAAGATTAATACCATGGCCCTCATTTGGGCAAATGAATCACCGATGATTGTTGAAAATACCAGTCATGCCCCTGTCTTAAGACAGCACTGACACGATGAATGACACAAACGAGATGCCGCAGTAGGTGTTTCTGGGCCCTGCTGCAATTGGCGCATCCTTTGTGCACAGACTGGCTCCTGATCTGGGGTAAGAATCACGTCGTTGTCAGTTGGACAGGCACACTTCTGGTCTAGAGGGGGCGGTCACCCCGCACACTGCCCTCCACACACCTGGGCCGTCTCTTCACAGACAAACCAAACCCTCCTCCTGTCCGCCAGAGACACAATGTCTCACCTCATTCCTTCCAGAATAAACTCATTCCCAAGTGGCTTCTGTTTTAACTATGCTCCAATTAACTTTTTTCCTCTTTAATTTTCTATAGAAGTATTTTTTTTAATTGAAGTATGGTCTGTTCACAATGTTGTGTCAATTTCTGGCCAATTAACTTTACCAGTGGGCAAGCTAGTCATGTGACTTTGCCATTTAAAAAAATTATTTTCTGAGGTACACTTTTCCTACTCTCACGCTGACAGTTTTCACAGAAAATTTAAATATTGTGCAGACACACATGAAGCTCACACCAAGAGCACTTGCTTCCCACACAGGCAGAGCAAAGCCCTCCATGTCGTTGGGGCCTCTCCGTGTCCCTCCCTGCTGCTGATACAGCAGCCTCTGGGTCCCTGAGCTGGAAGAACCCACACACTGCACTGTTAACTTTGGCTCTTAATATAACTTTATGAAATAGTTGGTGGTGGGGTAGCCCCTGGTTTTATACAACTCTTCTACAAGCAACAAAGTAACAGTTAAAAACCCCTTTTTCCTCTGGGGCCTCCTGGGCAGATTTCTTAGTGGTCAATAACTTACGACACATTCTAAAGCGTGTTTCTTAAATTGTTTTTCCTCCAATTCAAGCTTGAAACAGCCCTTCTCAGTTGTCACCAGCACCCGGCGCCATCAGGTAAGAAGCGCCGGAGCTTCTGCCGTCCGTGGCCCGCTGCCAGCGCTGAGAGCTGGTGTGAGCGGGTGTCTGCGCAGCCGAGTTTGTGCCTGCCACACGTCTGAGCACACGCCACTTACAGGTCAGAGCAAAGCAACTTTTTTCTCTTTTCTTTTCTCTTTCCATGAGAAGAGATGACAGTGTGCACATGATGTGTTGAGAGGCTTAACTCTGTATTTTTAACTTCTCTATCTGCCTGACTCACTTTCTTCTACTTTAAGTTCCTTTCATATGACAAGTGTCTGCTACCCGACTTTCCAAATTAACTTTTCCTTGTGCTCTACCTGATCCCTAGTCTCTTCTGCCAAACAATGCCAAGGAAAACGAGCAGCAGGGGGCAATGGAGGAAGCCCTGGGCTTGGAATTGGAAGGTGACATTCAGTTGCTGGGCAGCTAGGAAAGAGCTGTGTGACGTTGGACAAGTTACTTAATCTCTCTGGGACTTAGTTTCCTCAACTGTAAATTAGTTTTGGACTAAATGGCCTCTAAGTTCTCTTGTAGCTTGAATGCCAGAATTCTAAGGCTGGTGGTCTCAATTCCAATGAGCTCTATCTTTTGAAAGATAGAATAACAGATCCTATCTGTAGGAGACTGTGGGGACAGAGGCATACTGGCCTCAACACTTGTACAGTTCCTCTGCACACACTGCTCCAACAACTTTCCATAAACGAGCAGATTCCCAACGGCAGTATTAGTCACCAAGCAGCAAAAAAAAAGATTCAGAATGTCCATTTTATTCACAGACATGGTTCTTCCTGATGCCCTGCCTTGGTCATATTGGTTGTTTGGTTACCAAACAATAACCAATTAAATGGTTGAGCTCCCTTAAACCTTACCTTAAAACCAGTGGGTTTGGTATCAGATTAGATTTCAGCAAACAGAGAGGGAGAAATTTTATAACCAGCTCAAGACTTCTATGAAAAATATTATCAACTTGAATCTTCTTACTGTGTGGCTATTACTCCCTTTATCTCTTGTTACATTCATTTTTCAGGATGCCAATCAATTCTAAACTTTCACTGTAATAAATATATTACATATATTTATTAAATTATAGCGTACCTATTATATGTAGTGCTGCTACAATAAACACATACTGCATATCTGCTATATACCAGGTCTCTGCAAAGACCAAGGGACACAAGATGGATGAGACAAAACATAAGGAAGCAGTATTTCAAGAGAGGGTGAAACGTGACCCGCTAGCTTCATGCTGCCAAGCAATCGATGAAACTGTTATCTCTCAATGATACCATAATAAAATTGCTATACACAACGTTTACCAAGCAATCATGAGAGGGCCAAGGCCTAGGAAATCAGAGCAAGGAAGCATCCAGGATAGAAGGTGGTGGTAGTGGGGGACAGAAGGCGGCAGGGGCAGTGGTCCCAGACCCTAGCCTCCATCACCAGGACAAAACCAAGTGCTGCCAGGTTCCTTCCCAAGAAACATCAATCTTAGGTGTCAGTTGTATAATACTTAGGAGTTGGTCACCTATTCTGATGCAATGTGGTTTTTAATGGGACCTATTTCCACCGATCCATTCAAATAAGCTGCGGCGGAGCCCGTCACCTGTGTGTATAGCGCTGTAGAACTAGGATCAGATCACAGACACCCTACAGATGTGGTAGAACAGATGTGGCAGTTAGTTAGTTCTTAGATCCTTCTTTCAGTTAAACTGGATGAAATTTTTGACAACAAAAAGTGAATGAAATAATGGAGAAAATATAACTGCTATTCCAAACTCCACTAAGGAAAGCATCTAGGCTTCTCAGACAGGCATGTAGGGCCACAGCAAGGGGTAGGATGGAGCCAACCTGGGGCGGGGTGTCAGAAGCCAAGAGATACAGACCCCAGTAACCTGGTCTTTAGGCTTTTTTTTTTCCAATGGATACTCTAGCAGGCAGCATTTTTACAGTCCCTGGTCATCATAAGTCAATGCCTTCCACAGACACCACGAGAGAGCAGTGGTGGTGGGAGGGTTTTGCTGTTATTAGTATTGGTGGTTTTAGGATTTCTGGAAGTGTGGCTGCCAGTTTCCACTGTTATGAAGATAAAATACATTAATCACTAAGAGGTATTTTTCACATGGAAAGCTACAGATTTTATCACATTTAAAGGTAAAGAAAACTGGGTAAACTTTCATTCCACAATAGTCTGAATCTTCTGTCAGTGGGCACATATGTTCAAAGAGTAAGAAAAAAGTGATTATATGAAAATTAGAAGGATGATCTACTTAAAGCACATTACATTGTTCAGTAGAATTAATCTACTGTGTGAAGTAATCTGACACATATTTTTTAAACAACTAAGTTTTTCTGGTGAAAAGCATCACTTGACTTTATTTACTTTAAGGGGGGCCTAAAATACCATGACATAAAAACTGTTGCTGGAACCAAAGAAAAACAGAGAGTTTTCACTATGGATCCACATAGTACAGGAAGAAAAGCAATCTCTGAGTTTGGTTGTCTCAAATTCTCCACATATTACCATGGCTGGCATTTTATTTTGAGCTCATAAACTTGGAGCTCACACTTGAAAAAAATCAGGGAAATGCCATTTTTTTTTAATGTGAAAGGGTCCGCAATTATACATTTCAATGGGTTTGAGAAATTACCCTTCTCATAACTCTGATGTTCTTCCAAGACTTTTAGCAAAACAGAATTACTGTGAGGATGACTCTGTCAGACTGTAGCAGGGATCTTTGGGAAAGGAAGATAAAGCATTTTTTAGAATAAAATGTTACTTCTGCTTGAGCCAAGCAAAGAAATACATGACGATTTTAAGGCCCTGTTAAAAGACAGAAAATATCAACCAAGAGTCTTCGAGAGCCTACTGAGTAACTTACGTTAACCTCCTCTGGACTAAGTGTTGGGGGTTGCTGAAGGAGAGAAAGAGGGGGGAGGGGTAGAGAGAATCAATTAATCCCCAGCTTTATGGGGTCAAGACTCTAAGACCCTCTGCACATCCACTGTTCGTGTTGTTTATGCTGTTTGAAACTGAGATGACACTGAAGCAGCATGCCATGTTGGGGTGACAAAAACCAGCAACAAGCGATATTCTCTAAGTCTAATGTAGCCTCTTTTTCCAATCCATGTTTCCAAATATTTCTTGTGAAGCTAAAGCTTGCAGTTTTGGAAGCATGGTGTGCATAAATGGAAGCTCCCAGCTATGCAATTTCTTAATTCAAGGGATACATATTCTTCTCACAATACAGAAATTTGATGTCATTACTAAAATAAAGTTCTGTGAAATTTGTTGATTTATATGTGATGCATCTGTATGTCATGTGGGGAAACCAGTTTAGTCCAAGTTTCAAACCCTCTTAAAGAGCTGAGGAGTTACAGGAACACCATAAACACTCAGATACTGGATCTAAGCCCAAGCCTCTCCGTGCCTTTTGCCCCCCCAAAACTCACACAGAGAACAGAGGCGGACCAGGTTTCTAGAAGACACCATTTAACATAGGAAATGCAACCAAGGAATAGGTTTGAGGGAAAGGGTCTTACCTTTGGGGAATCAGCTTCTAGAGTGATTAGGAAGGGGAGCTTATGACAAAAATGTAATATAAAAATTAAGTAGAAAAAGTTAATTTAAGGTCATGAAAATAAAGAAACTTAATAATTAAACACTGTCCCAAATCCCTCAATCACTCTTTAATAAGAAGAGATACTAGCATAATTAGCATAACATAGAGATTTTTTTTCAGATCAACATCTAGGAAGACTGGATGGTTTGAACTCTTCTTTATAAATTCTGGAAATTGCAGTGGGAAATCCTGGGGTGACTTTATGTTAAAGGATACTCTTCCCACCTCATGTATTTAAACCTATCACCCACAACTCCAGGAGTGGTTTGTAAATGTTGGCATACAGAGAAGTAAGAGTGGGTAAAACTTTCTGGAATTGAAAGTTTGGGGGTAAAAAGGTTAGGGAAGAATTTTCAGGGGGTTGGAATAAAGGAATGGAAATAATCTGAATACAAAATCATCATTGTATGTGTTATATGGGTTTTAAAAAAAAGGACAAAGGGAGAAGACAAAATGTGGTCAGATATTCTAAGGAGGTCCTGCGAAGTGGGTGATAAAGAGTAAGGCAAAATGAATGTTCACAAATGTCATGCACTGGGACTCATTTATAGTATCACTTCTCACCACTGTCAGTTCTGGAGTGAGCTTTTATTCTGAAAGGGAGAAGTTGAAAACATACCAACAAATGTGATGATTACACTTTCTACCCACTTTTTAAAAGGACTTTGTGAAATATTTTAGATCTCATTTTGATGGAAACCCATACTATTCTTTTGTTAGTGGATTCATGTCATTAAATGACTGGGATCAGTATAAATTCACATTATTTTAGAATTCAAACCTTTTGGAAGGAAAGCTTGACTCCTTATCTTTTGAGTTATCGGCAGTAATCAGAAGGTTCCTCCACAAGGCAGTCTTTGACATTTCATCAGAAATATTGATCACAGATGGATCATCTCTAGATGGGAGTTTACCCAAAATGAAATAATAAACATTACATAAGAAACTGCAGTTATCTAGCAAAAGACACTAAATATAGGACAGTCTTATGCCTCTGTACAGTATTTTTGATAATTAAAAATTAAGTATTAAATAGTTCTCTCCAAAAAAAACTATGAAAAATAAAAATCTAAATGAAAGATTCCGGTTATGTAGAAGCTGGTTTGAGGTACAGTTTTCCAAAGTCACTTCAAATTAGAGAGAGGAGGTTCTGCGTGTTCTGCCCCTAACATTCGCAGCACAGCGGCTCACCTCACTCTTCTGCTCGGACTCAAAGTGAAAGCTGAGCAGGTGGGCGGTCAGGCTCCGTCCCCACCCTGACCCTCTCCCTTGACCTCCGGCTCCTGCGTCTCCACCACAGTGCACTGACCTCTGTCCTGGGACATTACAGGCTTGTTGCTGCCTCGGGGCCTTGTGCTTGCTCTTCCTTCTGCCTGTAATGTTCCTTACGTAGCAGAACCCTTTCCCTCCTTCGTTCAAATGTCACCTGCTCAGACCTTTGCTAACACTCTGTTTAAAGTTTGTTTTAATCCCCTCATAGTGACCTCATCCCTCTTTTTTCTTCATGTTTTTGTTGTGCTTTTCACCATCTGAAATACTGTAATACACTACTTGTTCATTTGTTCCTTTTCTGTTTCCCTCAACCTCTTTCTACTTGAGTATCAGCTTCATGAGAACAAGAAGTCTTGACCACTTGTCCCCTTCTGTTCCCCCAAGACCTTGACAGAGCCTGGCACTTGGTACCCATTCAATAAACACTGGCTGAACAAATTAAGGCATCCTGTGTACTTAGAAGAGACTTTTGCAAATGACTGGGGGAGCCTGTAATATCAGGGCCTGTACTATGCTGGGTGCTTTTTACACATTCTAAAATGGCACCAACTACAAGTGACGTTTAAAACTCTCTAAAATATTCCCAGGGCCAGAAAGGCAACCAAACAGCAACAGAGATAAATCACAGGCCAAGTCAAAGAAAGTTTCATTGAGTGATGAATCAGCACTCTTACTACACGTAAAAAAGATACTCTGCTGTGGAAAGAAACATTTTCTGCAGAAATCTTAGGCTGACCTCACATGATCCTCATTGGCTGGCATTCACAAGAGAGCAACAGATTCAGTTTTGAAGAAGAACACTAAGAGTCTGGAACAAAACAGGTCTCACAGACTCCTTCCTTTCCCAATCTGGACACGCATTCTTTAATTCCTCTAATTCACCCAGCCCTTGGTAACTCAAAGCATGAGATCAACTAGTTTCCAAGAGTGTCATGAAGAATACAAGTTTTTCACTATATTATGTGAAAAGGAGTTTTGTGAGCAAAAGAGTTAAGAAAATGCTAGATTCAACTAAGTTAAGCTTTTTGTTTTAATATCAGTACTACTTAGATTCTATAATATGCCAATGTGCACCACGAAATTTCCAAACTGAAATGAGGTATGGGACATTTTCCAGACTTATATAACCACAAAATCCTTTTACAGGAGAAGTAGCACAAGAGACTAGGTAGGTTTCTACAGAATATACTTGGGAATATGGTGATTCAACTAAACAGTCAACAGGGTTATAAAACTTAAATACTGTTAAAAAAAAAAAAAGAAAGGAAGGAAGGAAGGAAAAAAATGCCTTCTCTAGTTGTGCTAACTCTTAAGTAGTAGATGATAATTATATTTTTTAAATCTAGGGAATATGTTTAACAATCAGACTCTGAAGATCTAGCCCTATTTTTTTTAACACTATAACAAATTCTCTCCTCAGACAAAAGTCTTCCATCTTGTTTTATTGGCATGGCCTCAAATTATCCTTAAGCACTTTGAGATCATATAATCATATAATCTTTGGCCAAATACTTTCAAAACTTTTTATTATAACTTAGAGGAGTTTGCTTTTTTTTTTTTTTTTTTTGCTATGGCTTTGTGCATAAAGAACCTTAACATATTTTGGAGGGTCACATAAACATTCCCTAAAATGGCTGGTATAAACTGAATCCTTCAATTCAGGAAATAGATTAGCTCTTTGGAAGTGCTTTTTCTAAGGGGTTGACCCTAAGTTTATCCCAGAGTTCAAACATTTACCTGTGATGAATTGAGTGAATAACTTGCTCATTTATCCCAGAATTGAATCTTGACCTGTCTTCAGGTGCTACTTTCAAAGAATACGAAAGAGAGCTTTCATATACATTGTAAAATCTGAGAAGATTTCGGACAACAGCTCCCTGACTGACTTCATTTTAAGCTACTTGACCGTAGTCACACACCTTCTAGAGGCAGAACTTAGGACTGGGACAGGGTAATCTGATTCCTAGTTTCAGTTCTTTCTACTCTAATACAACTTCAACAAACCTCTACAGGAATCCACACATACAAAATTCTTTTTTCTTACCGCAGTATAGTTGATACACAATATTATATAAGTTACAGGTGTACAATATAGTGCCTCACAATTTTTAAAGGTTATAATCCATTTATAGTTATTATAAAATATTGGCTATATTCCCTGTGTTACACAATATATTCTTGTAGCTTATTTTATACCTAATAGTTTGTGCCTCTTAATCTCCTACCCCTATATTGCCCCTCCCCCTTCCCTCTCCCCACTAGTAACCACTAGTTTGTTCTCTGTCTGTGAGCCCGCTTCTTTTTTATTATATTCACTAGTTTGCTGTATTTTCTAGATTCCATATATAAGTGGTATCATACAGTATTTGTCTTTTTCTGTCTGACTTATTTCACTTAGCATAATTCATGAAATTTAAGTAGAGTATACAAAAACACTTTCCATTACTCAAATCGGTGTGTTTTCACATTTGTATCTTACCTATAGTGCCCTTCCAATGGGAGCTGTACTGTGCCCTCATCTTCCATAGCTAGCATACTTTGTTCTTCCTGGAAAGACAAATGTAAAATATACAAAGTGAACCTGATGAGCCTCCATTTCACATTAAAGAAGAAACACAGATTAATGTTTCACTTTCTCATTAACCTCAGAACCTTCCACTTTGTTTGCATTTATTAATACTAGCACAGGTCCCTTCAATAAAGCATCAGCTACCAAGAACATAAGTAATTAATGAGAATCTCATACCACAAAGTAATTTAAATGCTAACAATAATCTCCTTCATGTCACTCAATGTAAAGCATAGTTAATTTCCAAGCAGATTTTTTTAATTAACCTAAATTTTACAAGAACAAAAGTATGGGTAATGTAATCGTTTTCATTGTTATAAAGTTGAAACTGCATTCTTAGAATGCTCTATTAGTAGAGAATGAGAGATGCATTTAAAGCAGTGGTTCTCAAACTTTAGTTTACATCAGAACCTCCTGGAAGACTTGTTAAAAATACAGATTATTGGGTTGCACCTCCAGAGTCTGATTCAGCAGGTCTGGGGTAGGGCCCAAGTTCACTCCTAACAAGGTTCCAGGTGATGCTGATTATGCTGGTCTGAAGATGACACTTTGAGAACCACTGCTGTTAGAGACCTGGAAAAAGACAACAGAAGAAATCTTCCTGTAGGGACCAAAACATGGGTGTGCTTTCCACTTAGATGCATCTTAGATTTTTGTTTTAGGCCTCAGATTTCTTCTTACAGTGACAATGTCCCACCCTTCCTCAAAGAGTGGGAATACTTCATATATTCATTTCCTCATGTATAACATTTTAAAACTGTATTTTTGGGATGAAGATAATCATACACAACACTGAAATATCCTAGTTTGTTTTCAGTCATGTTGCCACCAATACCTTTTTCCATGCAGCAAAAACAAACTTAGTTATCTACAGATTGTAGCTCCTAGTTAATGCATTTTCAAATGGGTCAGTTAGGAATGCTCATGTTCAGAGAGCTCTTTGGGATCATTTTAAAATGTTAGTGCTACTGGCTCTCACTCCAGAAATGGAATTTTAAGTTGTGTAGAGATGAAGAGCTGGGTGACTTTCCTGACCAAACGGGAACCGAAGAGAGAAAGCGAGGAACGCCTTGGAGGCTCATCACCTTCCCTTCTTTCAGTGGCTTAGCAGTAGCTCGGCTGGTCTAAATCAGCTTCCAGAAAGACATGCCCTTGGGCTGATGTCATTGTTCCTGGCACGCAAGACTGTTCCTCCGGTCCACAGTATGCAGACCTTGGCCCTCGGCTCGCACGCTGCCTGGTTGGAAGAGCCCTTGCCATCTGTTTTGTTATTTAAAGAAGCAGTATTTTCGACAATCTCTTCAGCTGACCTGTGGCTACATAATGTCGGTGTGGAGGCAGGTCTTGTTTTCACTCCTGGAGCGCTCTCTGCAGACATCCAACCTGCTGACTGAGGCAGGCTCCCCTCTGCTGGGACCGTCGCCATGCTATACACAGGACAGCTGTGCCCAGCCTGTGCTGCGGAACAATGGAGAGGCCGGGGCATGGCATGGGCTCCGCTGCTCCTCTGCTTGTAAGCTGCCCCTACAGACCCTGCACTGCTGTTACACTCTGTGGCACTACTGGCATGTGTCTGCCACCCCTCTGCATCACAGGAATTCATTCAATTCTCTTTCTCTGTTGTTCTTCAAGGAAATTTTTCTTTTAAGACCTATCAGATGTCCAGTGTTTCTCGTGCATTATGCCTTTTCCCCGTGCTATCTGGCAGTGTCATTAGAAACAATTCAAGGTGAGCAGACTGTATCATTGGTTTGAAATTACACATTTAAGCATTTGAACAGGGCTAATTTGCAGCCTAGAATGATGTACGCCTTGCAAGTGGGTTAGTCCCCATATACGGAGCATAATACACGTCATATGAATTTATATGCACATCATTGAGGCCATGGGCAGAATATATGTATCTTTTCAGGTAGAAAAAGTTACTTTTTCTATAGAGAGGGTTATCTTAATGCAATGGAGGAACATACAGAGAAAACATTCAGTGATCCCAAATGCTTTTAAAGTAAAACCAAAATACAAGCAATGTACTCCTTTCCTTGGCTGTCTTTTGAAAGGTAGGCTTGATGTCTAGTATCTTTTCTGATTAACTTGGAATAAAATGTCAAGAAGCCAGGTAGAAAGGCCTAACAAAGAGTAAACTTCAAAAAAGCTGAAGAGAAAGAAGAGTGGGTGGCATCAGTGCTGAGGTTACCTGCTAGCAAACAAAGGCTCAGGATTCAATCTCACAACAAAAAATTGGACCAAAGCTTTGGGAACAATTTTGGTTTTTTTCCTCATATGATTTTCCATTTTTCTCTCAAATTGCTTTCAATAATTATTTTGCACTCTGTGGCTTGTTAGCATGTGTGGGCTTTATACTAGTCATAATTCTATCCAAACAAAAACTCATCACCTCTAAAGATAGCATTTCCAAGCCATGCTTATCTGAAGAGAGGGGTGGCAGAGCAGCCGCTGCCTTCAGTGCCAGAAGGAAGCTGGGTGGGCCCAGAGCTGGGGACGGAGGGCCGGCTGCATCCCAGGCAGCCCTGTGAGGAAGCCAAAAATCGAGACTTTCTGGGGAGGAACAGACAAATCAGGCACTAGCCGTCACGACAACACAACCTAGTTTATCTCAATCATACAGGGAGGGAGAGAGAGAGGAGGGGGAGAGAGAGAGAGAGAGAGCGCGCGTGCATAAAGCTCACTGGGTATCCTTCACTTTATAAATCAGAAGTATCTTAAAATGAGTTCCATTCAGCATTTCATTTACACAGTGGCCATCCAAAATATGCTGAGTTCCATAACATGGAGAAGATGTTACAAGGATGGTGATCAAAGTTTACCCGAGAACACTGGAGGGGTTTCACCAATTTGAGTAGAGGAGCATTCATACTGTGATCTGAATGCCATCTTTTAATTAACATAGCCAGAGCACTGCTTGCATACTGACTAGATGAAGGGCCGTTAATGCTACACCCAGGAACAGGCAGGAAAACAGGCTTAAAAAACTAACCTAGTCAATAGCACTCAAACGTTTGCTGGGTATCTACTGTCTGCGAGGCACACAGTGAATAAAAAAGAATAATCCAAGAGCGATTCATGAATCCATTCAACAAATATGTGTTAAGCGTGATCTTCATGACAGGGAATCTGCTAGGTCCCGGGCATAGAACAATGAAAAGAAAGCTATAAGCCTTACTCTCAGAGGATGAGAAAGATCACTGCGAAAAGTACAGGACCAGAGGAAGCGGCACCTGGGCCAGTCTTAGTTGATCAGGTTGGTAACAGAAAGGAAGAAATTTAGGTGGGAAGAAACAAGGTGGACTAAGGATAAAGGGTACAAGTATGTAAGATGCTTCTGCCTGACAATTAACAGCTAGCCTGGCTGAGCCCAAAAGCCTGCACTGAGTAGGAAAGGAAAATAAAATCAGAGTTAAATTGAGGCATGTTTTGATGATGATGATGAATACGATGCTATATAAAAAATTACAACATGAATCTGAATTACATTTTGGGATAGCACAAAAATACAGTTCACATATCATGATGCCTAACAAACGCTCTACCATTAGTGAAGCAGGTAGCATTTGTTACTGAATCCCTTCCTCAGGTAAGGTCTGCATCTACGTAGGAGCCCTCAAATAGTTCAAAGTACAAACAAGAACCTCAGAGACCTAATGTTCACAAAGACACCTAGGTTATTAGAGAGAGAAAATATTCCTCAATTTTAGAATTCATAGAGCTTAAAAAATGGAAGGGACTTCAGAAATCAAGTTTAACCCCTTTATTTTATCCAAGAATGTAAGAAGTGTCTGATCATTTCCTTCCTCGATTACTAACAGAATAATGCTGCAAATGTTCACACAAATATATGTATATACACATAGATAATACTTTGTAAACCATAAAATGTTATATTTATAAGAGGTATTTCTTAGCATTTCAAACATGTAGAAGAGCTGATATGTACAGCTACTCACTTTACCAATGAAAACTGAAAAAAAAATAGGTCGGAAGGATAGTCCATATAGAATTCATATAAATAGATGGAGGCAACATATGTTTTTCATCAGAATATCTGATTCAGTGTCTCTAAGTGACTTATCTAAATTGTTGTAAAATACAAAAATTCTGATAGAGTAACCTTGGGTTTAGAAGATTATATTCTGACGATACAGAGTTTATGGTTTTAGGAAAGGACTTAACCTCAAATTTTAGCATGCATCAGAATCACCCGGAGGTTTTGTGAACACAGACTTCTGGCCCTATCCCCAGAGTTTCGATTCAATAGGTCTGTATTAGGGTGCAAGAATCTGCATTTGTAACAAGTTGACAGGTGTTGGCAGATGCAGCAGAGGTCCTGGGACTATACTTTGAGAACCACTGCTTGAAGAAGAATATGATTGCCTCGCTCTTAAGATTCAACTAGAAATAATGTTTGTCTGTGCCATAATTAGTCATCCTTCCCAAATCCACAACCAATTCTGATCTTTCTTAGTAGTAAGATATGCTTTCTAATTTGTTTAATTGCACTCAGTTTTAGATTGCTTTTGCATCTTCTCAGCCTTGCTCATGAGCCTACTTCATACAGATCACAAGTCCCACTTGTCCCCTCTCCTTTTTTTCCTTTAGCATATACGTTAGTTAGAACTTCCCACAAACCAAGAGATGTCAATATCATGATCACTGCCCAGAGCTGAATTTCCAGGATTTATCTAACATAAACCTCCTTCTCCCTTGCCCAGGAGCAAGCATTCTGCTTGGGGCTTTCTGCTTTAACAGCAGCCCTTTTGTCAAATGTGTACAGTGTCCTAGAGAATACTGAAGTGGGAAGGAAGGCATGTTGGTACTCGGAGCACATTTGGACATCCAGAATTTGATTCTGCAGTCTTCCCTTTACACAGAGCAATGTGCAAAATGTCAGGGTTCCAATATTCATTTCTATCCTGATTATAATCCTTTCTTTCTAAAAACTGAAGCATATGCATATGCATATGCATGAAGTACATGAAAATTTGGAACAGAAGCTCTGCGACCTTGGACTGGCCTGTGTAGCTATTTATTCTGCTTAACTCATTATTGAATTTTAAGGTCAAACTAATGTTTTCTCAGTGCCATAAGACCAGAAGTGGGCTACTGATAGTAAAACCCTGGAAGATGAAGGTACAAGCTTGTAACTATCATCAAAAGGACAAGAGGTGAGCCTACTTTAAATTCAAGTCTCAGGGAGCTGAGACATTTCTGCTATTTACTATCTTTCCAGATCACTATCAAAGTTACTCAATTAATTTGAGTAATTGCAGAAATGCAGCATTTTGGGGGAACATGTTCATTTGCCGCATTAATGTACAATCTCTTGGAAGACTAGGCCTTGGTATAAGATGCCACAGTAAGAAGAGCATATCCTTCAGTGGAGTCCACAGCCTCAAACAAATGAAACACCAAGATGTGGGTGACCAAGCAGAGAATCAACCAGAATTTAAGTTTCAGTGTAATCTTCCTACTCTTTGTACTGATTCTACTCTTTTAATTCCAAGTTAGAAAGTTAATATATTTAAATTTCCTTTTCTCTCTCCAGTTGCCAGATGGAGAATTATCTTTCTTTGCACTGGTCATATCTATATTGTAATGTTCAATTATGGATTATTTCTTCACCATATTATTGGTTCAGTTGCTTCTTTCCATGTACCACCGACCATATTAAAGTATCATCACATTAATCTAATTGAGAATTTAAAGGTCCGTAAACCTGCCTGATTAATGTATTTCAAAGCATCTTCTCTCACTTTTTCTCATCCCTGATCTGCAGGATACAGCTATAAATTTGCTTCTGTAAATCTTTAATCTCTTTTTGTATCCTTTTAAGAACATGAGTTCTAAGAAATTTAGTAATTCATTATTTCTAAAATCTTTATCTACATAATCAGAAAAGAGTAAGTACCCATCGACGTACAGTGGGTCCATAATGTAAAAAGGTTAGAAGCTCACTACATAGGATCCCTGCCTATGTAAAGTTAATAAATTCCAAAATGGACATATGGCACACATACATATGAGTACCATACATATGCAGCTATGTGAATGGTTCTGGGCAATGGAAATGGCAGATTTTAATACATTTATGGTTACTGTCAAATTTGTTCTCTCCTATTTCACAGACACATAAAGGAAGAATCTGAAATTTCCTTTGAATGATAAAAAGGAAGCACATTAAGCATAATATATATTACATATACATATTATTTTTCATTTTACAAAGTTCTAGAAGGGCAAGAATGTTCCATGGGATGGGTATGGCCTAAGGAGAATACTGTAGAAGGGATGATTGTGTGCTAGCTTTGCTACAGCAGTAGTAAAGACATCTGACAGGAAATCAAAGCAGGAAAATAAAGCAAAATTACATTCATAAGCTACTGTATCAGTATACTTAATATTCTCATTATCAAAAAGACTGAAGAGAAGCTCGTGGTCAAGGAGTTTTGTATTCAAAATTGTCTTCTTTGGAATTTAAACCTTCTCAGAAATTGTTTTCATCCTGAATAAATTTTAATTATGTCAAATATGGATAGTTTAAGGCTCTGAATTTCTATATTATTGTGTTCATTTTATTTACATTTAATTTACATAAAATTCTGTCATATTTTTCTTGAATACTATCTAAAGCCCTGAACATAGAGGTTATCCAAATATCCTAGTTAATGCACTATTTAAAAAAAAATCCTTCATACTTAAATAAGAATGCATCAAACTTAGAAAAACAGCTAAAGCACTATTTGTTAAAAATTCTCATTCTTAAATAAGAACATATCAAACTTAGAAAAAAAATTTTATAATATGACATTTTGAATATTATATTAGTATTACTAGAAGCATGACTCTAAGTATGCCTCCTACAATATTTGGGAAAACTGAAATAGGCATATAGAATTAAGATACATCATCATGATCAATCTCTGAAGGTGGAACACACTAACAGTAACGGAACACTGTGAAAAAGTGAAGAAATGCCAGACAGTCACGTAATATGTAGCCGTATTTGTAGAAACACCTGAGCAGAAGCCTCATTAGATTTTGTGGCCTAATCTGGACTCACCTAATGACTAAATAAAATCTAAGACCATTAAAATGTTTGCAAAAGAATTCCCCAAAGGAAAGAGGAATATATCCATGGTTTGAAAGAACACACTACAGATAGAAAACTGAATACATTGCTGACTGCCTTGTCGGAGAAGAAAAAGTGGAAAGACTAATGCACAATTCTCACCAAATATTTTCTTTCATCTTCATTTCTAGTTACATGGAAATTTTGTTTTTATGTTTTACAATCTATGAGCTCAGTCATTTTGCTAAATGATGTATTGGTCATTTTTTTAAAATTTATACTCTTTGTAGTTTTTATACACTTTAAAAATATTATGATTACTAGCCTTCAAAATAGACCTAGACTTACACATGAACTTTAAATAAACCATAAAACTTAAAACAAGTTGTTTTAACATATGAAACAGAAGAGGATAAATCAGTAGTCTGTGAAAGTTAATTAAATCCCCAAAGTTTCTCGGACAACATTCAACTCAGCCTTAAATCACTATGAAAGCAAATCAGATCAACATGTTTTCCTCTTAAGCATTTCATCTATTTCAAGAATAAGTAATTACATCTTTTAATTAGAATTGTAATCTTTTGATTAAAACTTTGTTCCCTAGGAAAATACCAACAGTAATAACATCTCTTTTTTTCTTCTCACATATTCGACCAAAAGGAATCATTGTATGGACATAATTTGGAAATAGTTAAGGATCAGTGACTTTCTGTTATCCTCAGGGGAGGAATCAGAAAAATAAACCTTGCAATTAGAAGGATAATGAAGTACAAGATATTTGTTTATTTCACCAGGGTTTGGTTTCCTCACATAAGATATGTGCTCTCTATCCAAATTCTAGCATTATGATTTTAAACATTAGTCTTTCAAAGTAGTCCACCTGTGGTTGTTAATAATTGCTAACTACCTAAAGATAAACACAATAATTCAGTTTTGCAAAGAGCTATTACTGTGCAAGTGCTTCCTTTTCTTTCTTTATAAGATATTGATATTGCTCTGACTTACTTCTTTTTCAGCATCTTCTAGTTTCTTTTTCTTACTCTCAGGCATCAAATCATCCAACCAGCTGAGTTCCCGCTTGGTAAACAAAAAATCCATCAACTTTCTTACAAATACCAGAGCTAACACCTGAAGTAAATAATAAAATAGTTTAAAACAGGGGAAAAATAGGAATGGGAGATACAGATTTGTTTGGCTTTGGGTAGAAACAAGTCAGTTTCAATTAAAGCTGAGATTACAGTGAAATTTGAAGATACGTGTGTATAAAAGATATTGTCTGTACTTTTGCTCCCTTTACTTACCACATCCCCAGAATAATGGCTATGATTTTACTCATTACAGGAATCTTTTAAGAAGCTAAGTAAAAAAAAAAAGAACTGTATATTTGACCATTTTCTTAAATACCCGAAGTTAATAGTTTACATTATTTTAAATGAACATTAAACCATTATTATCTATGCTGATAATATTTTTAATTTTTATAGCCATTCAAATTTACTTTATTTTTAAATACTTGAAACTTGTCTGAAATATTTAATAAAATTTAATTTTAAAAATCCCCCTTTTTAGATATGCTAGTATATCTTTAAATTTTTAAAGTTTACATTTTCCCACTCAACCTCGGTTAATTCAAACTGCTACCAATATTCAGAATGATAGAGATAAAACTAATATGAATCACTGGAATTCACATATAATCTGAAACCCAATGTTAGTCATTAGTTTTAGTAGCTAAAACTTATACCAGGTTTCCAATAATTGTTCAGAATGATTCCATTGTTCTAATTCATTCATAGATTTCTGATGAAAGCAGAAAATCAGAGGAAGAGAAAAAGAATTGACTTAGAAGTTTCATACCATCATGGGAAAGACAATAGCAGCTCTTGAAACTTTAATTATCCACAAAAGGCCAAGACAACTCATCTGAATAACCGTGAAGAGATGGACTTTTCGAAGTGGTACATGCCTTAGATATATAAAATCTGGTTGATGTTTTGCAGGCATCCAGAAGAGCTTTATTCTATCAAAGAACTAGAAGATAAACAAACTAAATTGCTTTTTACAGACAACAATAAAAGTAAGGCAAGTAGACATTTAATATGGTCCAATATGTGGTACATCTGGATCACAAGTTGACATCTGGGCATCAGGGCAATGGGAATGTTATGCATACACTCTGAAATACTAAGATTTCAGTTTCATAATATTCCACATTTTCTTAACTATGGACACGTTATAATTTAGAAGACTTTAAAAACATTAAAGCTAAATGTTGCTCCCTTGAAAAGTATATCCTTGAGAGATAAAACATAGTCATAATCCTCTTCTTCATTGTCACTTCACAATTTCTTGCATTATTTGCCCCGTAAGCACTAGGGTTTCCTGGACTCTTATTGCCTATCCTCTTCCCTCCTGGAATAGACCATCCATAACTACTGCTTCATCTTTCACATACTTGCTAAAGCTCTCAGACCTCAGTCTCTAATTCACCTCTTTTTGTCTTGATCTCTAGACCCATATCCAGCTGCGGACTAGGATATTTTGACCTTATTATTTTGACTCTGTTTTTGGCCTTGCCACTTTGACCCAATAAGGTTTTACTGCTGTTTTTAAAAATACAAACATCTTGGCCATAAAGATTTAACCTAGATGAATTATGTTCCAGAGCAAATTTAGTTAACTCAGTTTAATTTCTTGATCAATTTCCTCTACTACACTGACAAACCGGTTTTATATATTTTCAATTGTTTCTTACTAAAATTATTTTCATCTAGATCAATGCTATTTCTGTTTAAATTTTATTATAAAAAGTACAATTATTTTTGGACTATAGAATATTATACTGTACAGCTTTGACTTTGAGGCCATTTTTATCTACCAAAGCTAATGCTTGAATTCAAATTTATAGATTAAATTTCCACAAGAAGCTTAAATCTTCAATCACATTTTACTTATTAACAAATTGTACCTCATGTTGGTGTTATGTGGATCATTTTGTTTAATTTTTCTCAGGTCAAATTTTGCAGTTTTCAATGTTTCCAACAGGAAGTGATTATTTAGAAACCGATAGTTTCAGTCACTGTCAGTTCTATTTCATGCCATTTCTACAGCAATATCTCATGCATTTTTAAGAGTAATATTAGATTTAGTTCTTAGCTAATTTATATGAGAAAACTGTGAGCAATTCTCATCAAATATTCCAAAATTACTCTAATATGCCAGGGAACAAATGCTCACAAAGTCAAGTGCTTTACCAAAATCTCCTCATGTCCCAAACTCAGTGTAAACCCAACTTTCCTTTTGTGTTCCCTGTCTTATGTCCTGGCATGACCTTCCCTCGGTCATCTTAACCAGAATCGTACATAGGTTAATCCACCTACTGTTCATTTATTTATTCATATTCATTTATACCTTCCAAAAATATTTACTGAAAACCTTCTATGCAGAGTACTAAGTTCTGAATTCTTTCCTGTTTCATCACTCTCTGTACTGTCCACAAATATTTCATTGGATCTTTTTTATTTCTACCTCCTAAATATCTCTTAAAATCACACGCCACAAAATTCATAAAACAGTGCAAGGTGGAGGCTGGAAATAGAAAAAATAAAGTAAAATCCTCAGGGTTATAACTGAATGGTTCAATTTCTATAGAACTAATGTTTCTCAGCCACCATTCCTCCATTTGTGAAGTTATGTTATTGCATAAGTGTACTTTAGTGTGTGGGTGCTTCAATTGTTATTGCTTAAACGGCACATTTGCTTTACTTTGGATTCCTAAAGTGTTGGAATGAATATAAATGTGGTTATATATCTGAGTACAGAAACAGCATTCATTAGAACACTGTGATCCTTTTTTTCTGCCATGTTGCACAGTGAGAAGCCTAGCTAAGTTTCTTAATATTGCCAAGCAGGTAACATACAGATTCCTCCAACACACAGGGTAACAACTTAACATGCTTTTTGAACTGTTGATATTCAGCACATGTTTAATTATTACCACTCAAGTAATGATAACTATGATAAATGTATTGTGAGTTTTGCGTTTGCCTTTGATCTTGTCCTAAAATCAGTATCCCATTTCCCCATCCTGTTAGCCACAAAATTCCAAACAGGAAGTTCAACTCCCTGAGCTCAGGGTTCACTTAAATTTTCACTAACTCTGTTTCTCAGTGTGAGACCCTATTTACTATTTCATTTGTGCTATTTAGAACTCATTTTATTTTTCTCATGGGCCTTTGATAATGTTTTCCTTAATTTTCATTTGAAAGATTCACACCCCAAATAATTCCAAAATTTGACATTCTTGTTTAGTTTCAAACCTCATGGATATAAAATCACGTGAGTGGAATTAGGGGGAAAAAATCTGTTGAAGCCTATCAAAATGATTTTACTTTATTTCTTAAACTTCTGCTGCTGTATTTATGTGAGCCTGAGGCCTAATAATAAATACTTTTCACTCACAAATGAAATTAGTACTTGTGGAACTTTTGCCAAAGGCAAAAAACAAAACAAAAAAAAACCCAGCAAAACAAATAAACAAAATCTCTTCTGCCTTACCAAGCCAGTTCTTTCAAAATATACTTTTCATACATGAAGTTACAAATGAACAAACTAAATGTAATTTGAATAAAATTAAATGCATAACACTTCTCAACCATCTCCTTCTCCCAAGTTAATTTGACCCAGTGTCGGGATGAACAGAGTCATCCTAACTACTTTGGGTGCTCGGGGATCTTACAATAACTTCATATTTTGTCTCAGTTTTGACATCTGATAGTAGCCTAAGATCTAAGTGGTTTTCCTTCTCCCAAAGGCAGAAGCTGGTTAGTTGTTTATTTAGGAAAAGAGTCCCTGTGCTGCCTGTCCCTTAGTGTTGAGAGTTCAGCTAAGCTCTTCCATGGCACTGCTGCCTTAATATCCATTTGGTCAAGCAGGCTACAGTGACCTGAAGCTACACAGGCTCCTCATACAAGCGTGTGCCCTAGATAGTAGCCTGCAGAGTCACGAGTAAATGTAAGTTCCCGTTATAACTTCCCCAACAGCCCTTGTGAGCAACAGTCTCCCCTGCCTCCCACTGCTTCTCCTTATGCACTTAGAAAAGACCCCCGACAAAGCTTACTGAAACCCTGCTCTTTTGATTTGAATAGTCTAATCTGGCTTTAGCCTGGGAACCCCAAAGCACTCCCCTCCCACAGGCCCTAATAATGGCATATACCCCAAGCCCTGTCTCCCTCTCTCTGTGCTCACTTCAACTTGATCTCCCCTTGTGGCCCCTCAAGGCCAAGTACTTTCTGTAAAGACTTGTGAGTGATAAACTTCTTTCAGTTTCTCTTGTGGTCTGTTGTTGAACTGCAGCTCACTGGCCAGCATCCCATGCTCTACTTAACAAGTGTTAATTTGACAAATTCATAACACTAAGGTGATTTTTCCTTTATGTCTCTGAACAGCAATGAGTCTAGGTATGTCATAGAAAAAGGGGCAATTTACATTTTCCTTTAGCCAACAAAAATAAACTATACTTTATGATAAATAATCCTCAAAAGTAGTCTCTTCTTGAAGAAAATTTAAGTGTTTTGGAACAATAATGTTAAGTTATATACAAGATTGTTCAGAGGCAAATTTAAGAAGAAATCTGTATTAGTTCCTAGCACTATGGTAAATAATTACAGCTTGGTTGCTTAGACAATAGAAATGTATTCTCTCACTGTTGTGGAGGCCAGAATTCCAATACCAAGGTGTTGGTGGGACCAGGCTCCGTCTGAAGGCCACAGGGAAGAAAATTCCCTTGCCTCTTCCAGCTTCTAGTGGATCTTGGCTGTGGCAGCAAAATTCCAATCTCTGCCTCCAGCTTTATGTGGTCTTCTTTCCTGTGTCACTCTGTGTCCTTTCCTCTATGTTATGAGGACATCAGTCATTGCATTTAGGGTTCACCCTAGGTCCAGGATGAGCTCATTTTGAGATCCATAACCAAGTACATCTGCAAAGACTATTTCCAAAGAAGGTCACATTCTGAGATTCCAGGTGGATGTCACTTTGGGGAGGGCACTTTTCAACCCACTACAGTATCACAAGCAGGAATTACCTGCCAACAGCCTCTGTAAAGATTTAGAATGTACTTGTGCTGGTTTTGAATGTGTCTACAAATTCTTTGATATTATTCTCTTCAAGAGATGGAGTATAATTACCCTTCCCTTGTGTGCAAGCTGGACATAATGACTCGCTTCTAACAAACAGAAAAGAAGTGGAAGTGACCATGAGCGGCTTTGGGAATCAAGTCAAAGGCACATTGACTTTGCCTTCATTCTCTCCCGCACTGCTCACTCTGATGGAAGTGAGCTAATGGAAGTTAGCTTCCATGCTGTAAGGACACTTAAGAGTCTAATGGAGGGGCCTCCTACCAACATCCAGAGAGGAACTGATGTCTCGTACCCACAGCTATGTGATTAGTCATCTTGGACAGAGGTCTAGTCCTTTTCAAGTCTTCAGATGACTGCAGCCCTTGTCCACATCTTGACAGCACATGAGACATCTAGAGCCAGAAGCACTGGCTAACATAGTCCCAAATTCATGACCCACAGAAACTGTGAGATAATCAATGTTTGTTGTTTTAAGCCATTAAGTTTTATAGCATTTGTTATGTAGCAATAGGAAATTAATACAACAATATTTATTTAAAAATTACTTAAATAATTAACAAGTTTTCCTTATTAATTTACAAAATAATTTTGTAAACACAATAGTAATGTCAATAGAAAAACAAACATAGAAGGAAGAAAACTCACCCAGGATCTCATTACCTTAAGAAATTGTTTTTATTTCTCCATCTTCCTTTTTAATCCACCCATAACTCACAGTTTTATAAACCTATGGTAGCTACAAATTGTTTTCCTACTTTTTCACTTTGTGTTATGCCTTAAGTATTTTTAACATGTTACTTTTATGGTCATGATAATTACCAATTTTAAATGAACGTACCATAGATTGCCTAAGTATTTTACTGCTGTTGAATTATTGGATTGTTTCCAATATTCTGATAGTATGTGTTACCCGGAAAATCTTTTGCATAAAATTTTCTTCCATTTTTCTCACAGATAGATGTATACAATGTACTGCTATCTTTTTCCAAAAAGGACTGTAAAGTCTAAACCTTTTACAGTTTTAATATACTTATGGTAAACAAAAGTACCCTAAGATTATGAACCAGTTTGAAGAAACTTAACTGTGGTCTGAAAGTTGCTTCTCAGATAATATAATCTTCTTAGCTATCACATAACTCAGCATCAACAGACCTTAAAATAAGTCATCACAGATATGCCTGTATTTTGTAAGTAATTTACCTGAATTCCTTTCAGAGATGAAGCACCCATATAAAGAAACACTCCATACAGCACTGGCATAGGGATAAACTGTAATAGAAAATTGGGAAAAAGGCACAAGTTATTTTCAGATGGAATGTGGTCATGTTATTTTGCACTTCCAAAGAAAAACCCAGAAAAATAAGTAAATATTTTAGAAGTAGTATCGGGCAGAGCCAGAAGACATGCTCAGCACTTTTCAGCTGCATAACTTTAAACAAGTTACCTAAGCCCTCTGTGCCTTAGTTGAGCAATATCTAAATGGGATGATAATAATAGAGTTGTTATAAGTATTTAAATAGGCCAAAATCAATAAAAAGATACATATGATACACAGTAAGCAAAAAAAATATTAACTATTATTATTATGCTACTTTTGGGAAATTTGAATGTTGTTTCACAATGGTAAGCTATTTAGATTAAAGGTGCAGAATGGTGTTAAAATTAACACGTTGTTCCCATATTACACATTTGTAAACATGTGGATTGTTCAGTTTTTCTCTTTTTATTGGAATAACTAAGCATCATTTTCTATCATTGTATATAACATGGAAATTAATTCTTGCAAATGTACTTGTGTAAATGATTAAATAATTAGAATTTTCAAATTACAGACAATGAAAATGAATAACTTAAAATACAACTGACACACCTTGAAATATCTGTCAAAGTTATATGACAAAATAATTACTCTTTATTGCTCTTCAAAATGGATTCAATTATTTTAAATGTGAAAAAGAAAAATATAGACAATGATGATGTTCATGTAGTAGTTTTATGGAACATTTACAATGCAAAACTTTGTATGTGGCCGTGACCATGACATTGTTTATGTACCTTATACTAAGTAATGTTAACTGCAAATTTATCTGTCTGCTGAGAAGAAAATAGAAACTTTATTTTTTGTAGGCCTACAGTAAATTCAGCTCACAAGTCAGTCAGAAATAATGAGTGACTATTTCCCACAACTTGCTTACCAAAATTATAATAATTTACACATCAAATTTTACTTTGCCAGATAAAATTTTTTATGCATTTAATGATTCTAAAATATGATTTCCCTTGTTAGGAAGCTATATAAACATGTAAAAGAAATCATCACTTTCATCACATGCCATACAATATTTGCAAATTAATGGCTTAGATTCAAATGAAATTTCTTAAACAATAATAAAATATACTCTGCCTTCTCTCAAATTCATAAAGGCAGATTTCATTACCTTCAGAATACTGGTCATAAAGACTGATGAACCCATAAGAATAAAAATCATAAGCCCAGTAACCCTTTGCTCCCGAATGCCGAGAAATTTGGGTTGTTCTCCTGGAGCTGAACATTCTGATTCCAGTTTTAGGCTGTTGACATGGGTGATGGAGAGGACAGTGGCAGCCACAAACCATGGCAGGCCCATGATGGAGCACACACCAAGCATGACAGCCACCATTAGCAGATCCAGATGGTACCCACAACCTTTCTGTTGAAAGAAAGAAAAGAGGATTCTCATACTACCTAGATTTAGCATAGAGACCAATGACACCACCACTATGGAACAGTAGAGAACAGAAGAGAGATGCTGTCTTGAATCTTATACAACTAACTGTAAAATGCAAAGTAAATTAAAGATTAAAGGATAACAGTCTCAAAATATATAATCCACTTAAAGAAATGTTGCAGATGTTCTTATTGTAATTATGACTATAGTGACTTCTACATACTTTAATAGGCTTAATGTATTTCTGGGTTAATGTCACATTAGTTTCCATTCTATTTCTATTGAATAGGTAAAGTCATTATCAAATACAGTCACTTCACTTAGGTTCCTTAAATGGGCAGGTTAATTTGCAATTCATATATCTATTCACTCACCATTAATTCATACAGAAAGTTATTGAGCACCAATCATATACCAGGCATCAGGCTGAGAAAACAAAGGACTGTGCCAACAACAGAGCTGAGAATAGCCTGGTTGTGAACAGAAACCACTTCCTGACAACACAAGAAGCCCTTCTTATCAGATCTCCTGAAGATGGACTATCTAAATGCTCAGTTTCCAATTGCCCTCCTTTGTCTCAATGGTTGACTTTTATTGGGAAAAATAATATCATAGAATCTAAGCTTCCTTATGTATACTCGTTTTTTCCTAATACAGTTGTACTATCTTGTTTCCATCTATTTCAATTTCAGCACCAGAAAAATTTGGCCTCTCCTTAAAATGAAAGTTTTTGTGTTTTCTACCTCCTCTATGACCCTACTCCACTGTCACTGACCTCTAGGTGTTGGAAACTTAGTGCTTTCTTAAACAAGGTAGGAAATGTAAGTGAGAGAAAATGGGTGCAAGGGGCATGTGGAGATATGGGGAACTGGAGGCTGCTCTCTCGGGGAGGGTGATTAGGTAAGGATTCTCTGAGGAGACAGATCAATCGAAGATGGAGAAGAGCAGCGTTACCCTCTCTCTCCATCTCCTGTAGGAAACTGACTGTAAAGCCTCAGAGGTAGCCAACAGCTTGGGCTACTTTATCTTCCAACTCTTAATGACCACTTCATGAGAGAGATCGTAATAAATGGTCAAGGGTTCAAGTCTGGAGACAGATGACCTGGGATCAAATGCTGGCTCAACCAATTACCTTGGGCAGATCATTAACTCTCCTGTGCCTCTGTTCCTTATCTGAAAATAACGGTGGTGATAACAGGAGATATCTCATTGGGTTGTTGTAAGAACTAATAATTCACAAATGATTTTGCAAATCATTTAGAATAACGTCTGGTATACAGTAAGCACCCAGTAAATGTTAGGGACTACTATATTCTACCAGTTGAACAATAAATTTTTCTTTTGTATCCATTTGTTTCAAAGTGCCTGGATAAAAGTATGGAAACATTTCTTGAGGACAGGTAACATGTAATTTCTCACTACATCCCACAGTTTTTAGCACAATCACTGACACACAATAAGCAATCAATATGCTGCAGATTAACTATTTTAAAAGGAAACATGCTTATTTGAAACTTCTTTAGACTAAAACAAGTATAATTTTTAAATAAAGATAGCTGTTAAATTTATTATTATGAACTTGAGCAGAAATGGCCAATTACTTTAGAGGAATACTTTTGGCTTTTTTAATAGGTGGTTTTACTAAATTGCAAGCAGTTTGTAGTTAACATGAAAGCGAACAGAGCCTGGAGTGTGAAACATACTGTTTGCTGCATATTTGTCAAGGTAGTGTTTTCTTTCTGCCATTTTATTTTGTTCTTTTATTAAGAAAAACACCCTTAAAATCAGTTGTACTTCCTTTCCTTTCTGCTTACCCTTCCGAATAATAAAAGTGCAGGAGATGACAGTGAGGAGAAAATGAGAGAGACCCACATAAGGACCTTTTCCTCCTGCATTTTCACCAGTTCAGGGGCACCCTTCCGTGGGTCAGCTTAGCTGTGGTCATGTTCCAGTTCAACAAAATGCCTAAACTCAACTTCTCTTGTGAATATGACTCTAGAAACTTCTTCTGGCAAGTAACTCGGAAACATTTTTGTTATTGAGGGCTAGAGAGCGGGAGGAGACACACCCTGGTGTCGGCATAACCAACAGGCATGAGAAGAAGTTTCACCAGGTCCATACCATAGTCCCCTGGCCCTTCTGCAGAACACTTTGGAAGACATAGCTGCATAGGATACAACTCAAATTTTGGTCCCATTAAAGGACAGCGTCTTAACCAGTTAGAGGACTGTTTTGTTCTCAAGACCCTGAAGTGAGACCAATACAGAACAGTGAAGGACCTGACTTCTCAAGCTCCTGCCGCTGAGGGAGTACAAGGCGCATGGTACACCCCGGGCTGTTTTGCAAAGTTGTGGTGCTGCTGGGAGAGAATGGAAGAGGTAGCCAAGAGACAGACATTAAAGGGCAGGGGACATGGAGCGTTCAGAGTCTGGCTGGTGTTAGCACACCCTAGACTTTCCCACGGTCCATGCTCACTATAGCTTAACAATCTGAGGAAGGCCTCCTTCATGACAGCAATTTCCTATAACCCTGTTTTAGTGTTTTAAAAATATGATACAAATGTAAACAGTGGGATTCTAGATTGCAGGAGGCAGACAAAATAATGCTTTCAGAGAGAATCGTTTCCTTTTTAAATTTAGAAAGCTAGCTTTGTAAAGTCCAAGTATATAATAAAAACAAAAATACAAGTTTCCCCAGATTATGTTGTACAACAATGGGAGCGTCTTAATTTAATGTGAACCAAAGGAAATCAAGCAGTTCTGGCACCTTCACTAATTAATCATCATCCTTCTTCTTGTCTTTCATTTTAAAATGTCTTTAAAAACTTGGTCTTTGTAACCAAATTATTAGCTGATAGGCATGCCAGCCAAAGGGAAGTATCCCTTTGTCAGAGAGGGAACTCTGCACCTTCCAACATATTTCCGTAGATTTTTTTTCTGAAATAAAGACAGAACCAGAGCTTTATTCTCACATTCATCCACGAATCACGGGAAATGGACATATGGGAGGAAAAGGGAGCATAGCAACAGGTGATGCTACAACAGACCCCACTAAAACCAACATGCAGCAAGACAAGAGGCCAGCCAAGAGGACCATCTGATACCCAGATGCCACTGCTGAAAAAATTCATTTCAAAGCTTGGCAGCAATTTCCTGCATCTGTCAAGTTAACCACATAAAAGACTATAGATTGACATGAAGAACCAGGCTGACAAAGAGGGCAAAAAAGAACATATCAAATGCCATAATCATCAAGAGAATGTGGTGCCAAATGAATGTTGCAAATGCATTCATTTACTCAAGTGATCTGGGATTGTATTGCTGTTTATTAAAAATGATGTCAAAAGAAGCCTGAACTGTCTACAGAAACATGTAGAAAAGCCCACAGTTGTATCTTAGCAGAAACTTTCTTTTCTGAAAGATAATCTTTCTCTCTTTCTACTTTTAGAGAACATACTTTTTCTAAAAAGTGGATATTTTTTGTGCTTTTTCAGTGGATTCAGCTAACCTATCCTTATTCTGTTTCTCTAAAGAATAAACAAACACATGAGAAATGCTAGAGGGAGTACAGATTTATAGCTCTATATTATATATGATAATTTGCATTCTCAACTCTTTACATTGGCAGCTTCTGAAGCCCTTGACTGATCCAAAGGATCATGAGGTGCAGTGAGCTGGAGTTTTGTGATTTTGAACTTCATTCTGAGGGAGGAGTCGACCACTTAGCCAGTGAGTTGGTCTAGCCTCTTCAGCTCAACACAGCTTTACTGTGGATACAGTAACACTCACAAAATGATAAAGACATTTTAATGGTATGAAAAAATCCTCTAAAAGAAAATCAATAACTAGTTTTGGTAATGGAAGTGAAGAAAAAGTGAAAAGATCTAAAATAGAACTTGGGGAGAGGTAAAGAATGAAATGGTGAATTCCAAGGTGGCTTGGATCTATGATGCAGACTTAGATACACGATGTGGAGTCTACCGGATGCTTGAGAACAGAAGCTAGAAATCATGGTTCATTAAACTATCTCAGGGAATGCTCCAACCAGGGCAAAAATGGGTTTTCAAAGTGAGAAGAGAAAATTGGTAAAAGCTAAAAGTGTGGTTAACTTGTGGCCTCGAGATATATTCAAGATACACGTGTCTTCCCGTTACAAATGTGGTTCAAGTCAAAGCCAGAGGCTGCAAACATTTCAGGGAAGCAACAGGCGGGGAGAGTGACTACTGAACAAACCGTTATTCTGAGTAAATAACATTCTGAGAAAGTCATTTTTTGCTGTTGTTAACAGGAAAATCAGTAGCAGCAGACCACACTATACTGAAGCTTAAAGAAGACAAGGGTTATAGGCCAAAAAAAAAAAAAAGACGTGTTCAGTGTAGATGAAATATGTCTTCACTAGAAGGAACTTGCTTTTCAAATTTCCATATCCAAGGAGGAGGATGGGGTGTTCAGACTTGTGGCCAGGAAAAGACTGACTCTCCTGCTTGTGGCAATATAGCAAAGTTTATGATTAAGTCAGATTTGCTCTATGTTTACTAAATCTAGGCTATTAAAAGGTAAAATAGGAAACTTTTGATGACATAGTCATTGATTTGTACAATAAAATAATGTACAAATAATGTAATACAGTTTAATAATATAGCCTTGTTTATTTCAGGGATACAATACTAAATGCTTTATTTCTACATTCAATTCTATAAATGAAAGTACTTGAAAAGACCACTTAAATAATGTTTTATTATATTTTAACTATTGTACATGATATGTAAAGGGAACAATATAGTAATGTATTTGTTGATTTGGAGCTTTGGAAAGGCTGTGAATGTCAAGGGCTTACCATGGGCTCATAAAGAACCAGGAGCAAGGGCTATGCGATTTACAAGGTTGAGAAACCTGGAAAGAGCAAGGATACAGGACAGCCAAAAAAGGTAATAGCACCTTCAGCAATTATTTCCTTACTTCCACATTTTGTTTATTTATTTATTATTTTTTAATTTATTTTTTATTTCTTATACAGCCTTTAAAGGTCACTTTTCATTTATGGTTATTACAAAATATTGGCTATATTCTCCATGTTGTACAATACTCCTTGAGCCTATCTTACATCCAACAGCTTGTTTTAATGTGATTCCATTAATATTTAGGAAAAATACTGCCTGTAGCCTTTACAAAGAATAGTTTCTCAATGAAATCAGTGGGATTTTGTCTTGATTATTAAAAATAAAACAAAAACCAAAACTTCCTTTGAAAGAAAAGCAATGATTATATAACTTTCTTTCCAAAACGGGAGACTTTTACTTCATTTTAAAACATGTGTCATATAATACAATGGAATATAGATACTGCCATTAAAAATGATAATGCAGGTTTATATTATTGACATGGGATGATTACCATGATAATGCTCTCATATAAAAAAAAACAAGCAACATATATAGTATGGAAATACATATTTGGGTATACAATAAAAAAAGAAGTGAGAAAAATAGAGATATTTTCAGTTTTAAAAAATAAACTGGTGTCTAGGAAAAATGTTTTCCTCCTTCTTAGAGAGTAGCCGACTAACATTATTCGACATAAAATTCTTAACACTGGTTTTATAGATCTATTTAATCATGTATTTTTAATAAATAAGTTGTAGTGGTATTTGCTTTTGCAGAAGGCTGATATTTTAAAAGCAAATAATATTTTTAAATGGTTGATATTAAATAAGAAGGCTCTTAATCTTAGAAATCTGAATTCCTTGTTTTGAGAGTTGTAAATGATTCAAAGTTTCCAATATTGAATGGTGTAGTTCAGCGGTATTTTGCAGCCAGCTCATACAGGCTTATAAGAGCCAATTGTTTAATTTTCAAATTTTTTCCTGCCAATTGATGTCACATTGGTAGCTTGAAATGGGCCACGATGGGAGTATTCACACCATGAAAATCGGCAAACATTATAAATCAGGGTCTCTTTTTATACACAGAGAATTGGGTGTTAAACATATACCAGCACGCCACTGGTCCAATTCCTAAGCCTTCATGAGATTTTTTTAAGAATATATCTTTAATAATTAAAATTTTCTTTTGACAAAAACAAGAAGTGAATTGAATAAACTCCTTTTAAAAAAGGTTTTAAAAAGGTTTTGAGCACTCTTAAGTTACTTTCTACGAAGAGGATGAAGAATGCTCTTTATTACAAGATAGACACAAGTTCTTCCGAGGATAATACACAAAACTCCTTTTCAGTAACATTTATTACAAATAATTGTGTCTTCTTATACTTATTACTATTTTCCACACAATAGTTCAATCAGAGATTTTTTAATCTTTCTAACAAATATACTTAGAAATCCTATAAAATCTGATTTCTGTTGCTCTGACACTGAAACTTTTCCTCGAGTTTAATGAGTATGTGAAGATAGCTGGCAACTCTCTTATGATACCAGGACAAACAAAAATGTGCATGTTCTGTTTTTATAAAGTTTGATTCAGATTATTTTTAACCATTCAATGATTTTGTTGATTTTATGTAACATATTCCTATGAGTGACAGCACTCACATTACACATCTTAGACAAATTACATACCAGGGAACAACTTTGATTATTCACAGTTGCAAAATGGCAGGGTCAGAATATAATAAATAAGGTACATTAGTACTTATTTGCCTTGTAAAAAAAAAAGTCCTTGAAATCTGCAATAAAATTCAACAAAGATATCACTTACAAACTATAACATTTATGGCTGGGTTTTGTGGTCATAGATATTATAGAAAGAGGACTAACTAAAGAAAATGAGAAATATTTGAAGATGTAATTTGTTCCAACAATGAATGTTATCTGATAGCCATACTAAGGGTTAAATAGAGAAACAGAAAAATCCCAGAGGTAAGACAAATTGGTAGACCTATGCTTCACCAGAATAAACTGGTATTTTATTAAAATATGTTAAACATGGTAAAGAAAGCTAGGACTTTGGCAATGTTTTTAAATTTCAAGCCCTGGAGGTAAGGTTTTAGAGTTTAGAGCTGAGCCTAATGTTACAAATAAATTAATAATTAATAATTAGTTTTAAGCTCATTGTATGACAAAGTACCATGAATATAGTAAATAAAAATTATGAATCTGAAAACATTTTACTATTTCATTGTGCAAATGACTATAGGATACAGGCAAAGTATAATGAATATCAACTGATATCACTTAAATCACAATAATTTACATTAAAATGGATGTTAAAATGTACCTTTAGCTTATGCTCTTTTCTGTTGATAATGACGGCTGTAATCTGTTGGTCCATAAAAATGAGAATAGTACAAAGCAAAGCTGGAATAATAGCAGCTATCACTGTCCACCATGGATTTGGACCTAAAGGTGTAACAAACCAGCCACGATCATCTCTTGTGGGCTGTGAAAATTGAAGAATTTATGGTTACTAACAGGATTAATGAATAGTCAATCAAATTAAGACTTATAGATGCTACCAGGAAAGCCTTAATTATAAACTGATATGCCAAGTGAGTTATACTTAATAATGATAATAATATTCACAAAGCATTTCTAAGGTACCAGGCACCATTCTAAGTGCTTTAAATATTTTAACTCATTTTTTTCTTTACAATACTCTAAAGAAGTTACAGATAAGGAAACTAAGGCTTAGAGAGGTTCAGTAAATTTCCCAAAGTCCCAAAGCCAGAAAGTGGTGGAGACAGGATTTGAACTCTGATGGACTGGCTCAAAAGGGATACCTATATTAAACAGAACAATATTAATATTTACCATTTAACATTTATGATGGGTAAATTTATTTACATTTACAAATATCACATTGACAACTGTGTATAACGTTTATCTTAGATGTGTCCAAGCCACTATGTGAAAACAGCAAAAAGGCACTTGGTCATGTCATGAGCTCAAGGAAGGGCTCTAAACATGGCTGGTGCCTGAGATGAGTGGAAGTCCCCAGCTCTGTTTGATATGTGAGAAAACTGAGGCTCAGAGTGGTTAAGTAACTGGCCCAAGGTCACATTCTTAGTCAGTAACATGGTCAGAACTCTATTCCAGACCTAATTTTATGTTTTCCGAGCCCTATCCATTGTGCAATTGTACATCAAGATAATGCATTTTCCTCAGTTTCAAAATGCTTCCTTATCTTTAAGGAAGATAGATATTCCAACTGGAATAACTGACAGGAAATTTTTTTCATGCAGTATCTATTTCTGTGATTTCTATTTTTTTTTAAATATTGGACCACAGTTTTAGTCATGCTTGTGGGTATTCTATTTACTGCTCCATAAATCTATATTCTTTATATTTTCATGAAAATCCCAAGTGCTAGTGTTATAGCCATAATCTAAATAAAGATTAGACCTACGGAGATGGAGAGATAGTAAATGCTATGGTAACTTCACCTTGAAAACACTTGGTACTTGTAGTTTTGGAGACGGGATCCCAATGGCATAGTCAATTAAAACCATACACAGAATGGTAAGAAAGACAGCAAAGTCACTCACTATGGATCGAACCTAAAAATAATGAAAACACTTGTCATTTGAAGGAACTATAAATAGTGAGGAATACTCAAGAACATAATCTAGAATCACATTTTATAAACACTTTATAACATAATATCACAGTATTATATTTTATGCATACTATAGTATTATCATTAGCTCTGTCAGAACCTTAGTATATATTTATGCATCTCTGTCATTAAGATGAATACAGACTCAACCTTTCCAGAATGAGGCATTGCGGAATAGCTACAATGGTGATTGTGCCATTTTCAGTATTTATTTAAAATCTAAGTTTACTATGGGAATCTTGCATGATACCACAACACCAGCGGTGCTCATAAAAATTTGTTTATTATGAACTCAAGTGTGTGAATCATCATCATAACAGAATAAGGCTGCATGGCTAGAACTTGGCTAAATTTTAGTACTCTTTCTCACACAGGCAGCATATCAATACGAAAAACCTGCTGCACCCTAAAATGAAACTTTTAATTTTTAGTGAAGAAGCATAATATCTTAATCAGTTTATCTGAGATTTACAGATAAGTATGGCAGCATAATAGAGCGGGTAAATTTAGAAGTTACTCTGTGTAAACCAATTTTAAAAGCCATCTATCATTTATAAAGCCTTCTCTGAGCAGAAGTCCTTATACAGTTATCAACAAGAGCTGGCTTTTATTGGGATGCCTTTGTAACACACACAAAATACAGGGGTTTATTATTTTAACTTACAAAACATAATTTTTTTATTAATCAAATTAAGCTTTGGAGAAAGAAATGAATTTACACCTGAGGGAAGGATGAGGGAACAAAAATAAAAGTTTTCTCTTAAAGAGACAGTTCTTAAAACATTTTCCCAGAGTGGAGCTTTCATCACAGTCTTTTAGTTCATCCCTAAAAGGCTTGTCTTTTTGTTTCTTTTCTTTTCTTTCCTTTTCTTTTCTCTTTCTTCCTTTCTTTCTTTCTCTTTCCTTCTTTCCTTTTTTCTTTCTCTCTCTGCCTTTCTTTCTTTCATCCCTCCCTCCCTCTCCTTTCCTTCCTTCCTTTTGCTGAGTCAGACATTATAGGTGTCACTTTGCAGTGTTAAATATTGAACTAAGCTGTTCGTTTACTTTCCTTTCCAAATATGCAGATGCGAACATGGCGGGTTAGGGGGAGAGACTGACACTTTAAAAACGAAAAAGAGAATAGTGTTCCAACGAGTCTTGCTGGGGCTTTCCCGATTCCAGAATGTAACGGTAGCTCCTAAGAGGTATCTGTCAGGCTGGGCTAGTTCCCACTGTTCACCACGCCAAGAAAGGGACAATCAGTAATGCAGTGTGTGCTTTTGAATTCCAGAAGCACAAGTGGGGATGCGGGAGTTTCTCTTTGGGATCCTAAGTTAGGAGAAAGCCTGGAGGAAACGTGCACACCTAGCACCTGTATCACAAAACGCTTTCTCTTCACCTCCGACAGGGCATCTAGTCCTAACCTGGCAGCTCCATCACACAAAAACCTTCAGTGGCTCCTTTAATGACAGCAATTGCTCTTTCTTTTGTTCTAAAACACATGTGACTCCATAATGTGCTTTTTGTTGGTTTTCATTTTGATCAGGAGAATTGTAGTCAAAGTACCTTGGTTGGAAAATAGCGGCTAGTCTTGAACTGCTTCAGGGTGGCTGACAGAGTAACTGTGGAAAAGAACAGGATCACTGACCAAAACAGAACATCTGGAACATAGGGGTGCTCGTGGCCACAGGCTCGTCCAACATACTCTCCATGCAATGATTTGCATTCCTGCCAGAGGAAGTAAAACAAATGGAGCTATTAAAGGAAAAAAGCAGACATATTTCTTTCAGAAAACTAACATCTTAAGATCAATTGCAGCTGAGTTGCTTAAGTTTTTTCAATTATGGCTCCTGTTTGGATCAATAGTGAGCAATATGAACATTTAAAATTCTTGCCTTTTTGGGAGTGGAGAAGTATAGCTCAGTGGTAGAGTGTGTGCTTAGCAGGTACAGGTCATGAGTTCAATCCTTAGGACCTCCATAAAATTAAAAATAATAATTCCTGCTTTTTTCAAATTAAATTTAAATCTAAAAAAACTAATTGATTTATTAATCATCATCTTAATTAATTTTCACATCAACCCTATTAAAATAGGTAGATGGTATTATTTTTATTTCATGTTTGAGGAAACTGACGTGTAGAGAAGTAATTTGTTATGGCCTCACTGCTGCTGGGTGGTGGTGGAGTTGTGATACAAATACGGTGCTTATGATGGGAATATTATTGCATATTAAAGAACAATGATTTTGTAGAATTATCTATTCCAAAAACTCCCACAAAAGGTGAGAAAGTCAACAAGAAAACTATGATATATTATTACCAGAATGAAATTGGGAGTCAAAGATGAGGGTTGAATTTAAATTATATAACAAGAAGAAAAAAGTTACTATATGAGCAAGGTAAAGTTCATATTTACTATGACTTCTTCATGGTCTTCTTTTTTTTTCCCTAAGTTCCCTAAAGGATCATCACTAATTGCTGCCTTAGCCATGAGGTGGCAGCAAAGTCAAAAAAATTTCCTTTCTTTGAGAAAAACTGACGGTTTTAAACTTTAATATTTTGAAATAAAAGATTTCTTTTAAACTCATTTTGGTTTCTATTATTTTATTTTAAAGATAATCATACTCAATTTTAATGTTTTTATTTCAAAACAGAGAAATGAATGGCTTAAGTGATCCAGTGATCTCAATAGTACTTGAGATATTATGGACGCGAACAAAAACTGAATTGTGACATGGTACAGAAAGGTCTTAGAGAAAAATATAGATGGATGGATTGATCACCAACACAGAGAATGCCCAATGAACAAAGCTTCAGGCCCTGGAATCCCTGTATAGCAGAAAGTAAACACCTTCAAAAGATTCTAGGCTAAATCAAAGATCACTACATTGTTACCCAAAAAGAAATAATACAATCTACTTAGGATAGCTACACCTAAGGCTATAATTCTTGAGAAATATGGTTAGTATACCTTATAATTATCTAAATTAATTCTGTTCCCCTTTCTAACTGCAAATACTACATTCCTTGCTAAAGTTGAATTCCAATTATCCATGTTAATACAGAGCACAATAACTCGGCTAACTGAAAAATGAAAGAGAAATCCCCAGGCCTTAATTACAGCTTTAATTTTTCCTTCTCTTAAAACTCTGTTAAAATAAATAAAGTAGCAAAAATGAATCCTTGTATTTTTCAGCCCCTTCTCTTACCCCTTGTCCAGAAATGCTAGTAAGGCAATTACTAAGCAAAACAATGGTTAAGAAGAATGGCTAAATACAAAGAGGATTTAGAAGCTCCACTGTAAACACGTTATCTATGGATTTGTGATTTTCAGTCTTTTGTGCAGACGTAAAAGTCTACCAAGTCTTGGACTTGACTGGGTCTTGTTCTCAATTCTTAAGAACACAGAAGCCATTTAAAGGCTCGTTTAACTGTCTTATAATCTATAATAAATTGCCAATAGCTTGCCTAGTTTAATTCAAAACAAATTTGAAAAGCATATTTATTTTTTCGGGACAGTATCTTTTTAAAAAAGGAAAAATTATGACCTACAAAATTCTACATTTATTTTCTGGTGTATATTAACTGTACCCCTAACACACACGCACCCACACACACACACACACACATTCTGAGATTTGAAAGTGAAAACTTAATCTAAATCCTATTCTCTTATTTTGAGTCTCACATATGGTTTCACTTATAAAAATGAAAAAAAAATGCTTGTTGACAAACTCGTTACTACTAATTATTCTTCAAGACGTTCTAAGATTCTACAATTTTATAAGTTGGAAAAAACTAAGTTTGATAAAATAAGAAATTAAAGTTGGCATTAGTGTCCTGCCCCTTATTTATGTGTAAGCTAAATATGTAATTCTGGCACTGAAACAACTCTTAACCAATTGCTAGTTAATTGCTTGTGAATATTTTAAACCTTGCCTAGGAATTCTTATAATGACAGCTTTTGAGATACTGCTAAATATATATATAAACATAGAAACCTAAGTATTCTAGCTTGCTATAAAACACTTGAATTAAGCATTATTCACAATAACTAAGATATGGAAGTAACCTAAATGTCTGTCAATGGATGAATGGATTAAGAAAATGTAGCATAAATATACCATCGAGTATCATTCACCCTTAAAAAGAAGGAAATCCTGTCATGGCAACAACATGGATGAATCTGGAGGACATTAGGCTAAGTGAAATGTCAGACACAGAAAGACAAATACTCTATGGCTTATGTGGAATCTAGAAATGTCACACACATAGAGGCAGAGAGTGGAATGATAGTTGATGGTTACCAAGGGCTGGAGGGAGAGGAAAAATAGGGGATACTGGTCAAAGGGTACAAAGTTTCAGTTATGCAGGGTGAATAAATTATGATCTACTGTATCACATGGTGACTATGGTTAATAATACCGCATTAAATAGTGAAAATTTGTTGAGAGAGTAGATCTTAATTGCTCTCACACACACAAACACACAAAGGTAACTATGTGAGGTGAAAGGTATGTTAATTAGCTTGACTGTGGTTATGCATTCACAATGTGTACATATATCAGAACATCACGTTACACATCTTAAATATATACAATTTTTTTCAATTATACCTCAATAAAGCTGAAAAACAAAGTGAACCAAAACAAAACATTTGCATTAAACAGTAAATTTGTGATATGAGACTATTTTTCAAGACAATCATTAAGTGTTTATTGAATACTTACTATGCATACGGCTGTTTGGGAGAATCAAAGAAAGCTAAAGTTTTTTGCCCTTGCTGAGTTAGCAAGGTATAAATTATAATTCATGAGATACATAACAATTCAATTAAAAATTATCAAATGAATAACATACTAAGTCAATACTATATCACAATTTTTATAAAACTAGTTATAATAGCCATTAGCACAGTGCTTTATTGATAAAATGCTTTGGATGATACTGATAATTAAGCTGAGGAAAAAATCCCAGCATAACAAGACAAAAAAATTTTATGGTCCTTGCTGACTTACAAGATTTTTTCATTATGTAGCATTTCTTTTGGTGATAAACGCTATTTCTAGTCAAGATTAGCAATTATCCATTGCAAAAAAACTGCTTTTAAGTATTGAAAAATTATATGAAAATTTCTGTCAGAAACAACACATAGTACAGAACCCAAACAAAACAAAACAAAACAAAACAAAACAACAACAACAAAAACCCTGCTAGATTTGCTTTGATTGCAAAATATTTTCCACTGTACTCCACTTGACCTAAAGCTTCTAATATTTAAAATTAACTCATGGCTAGCTAGATCAATTGTGCTGTCAGCCTCTTAGAAAATTATTATTCAGAACTTGCTACTAGATAGAATCAATACTATTATTTAACAATTAAATTATTCAGTAATAAAAAACACATAGAGCAAATTATCATGTTAAATGACTTAAAGATGGGATTATTGGGATTCTGCATTGAAGGGGACACCAAGGTGAGGGGCACAAGCAAGGGACTCCTGAGACATAATATCCTAGTAGTTTATAAAAGAATATAAATGGAAGATGCACTGCTGAGTGGATCAACCATGATTCCGTGTCTAAATTCTGAATAACTGTAGCATTCTTTCTCGTTCAGCTCATCAATTCTTTTATTGGTCAATTTAAACAGCTCTCTGAATGGAAGCAGTCTGGAAATGCTATTTTTTCTAGAGAGAAGTAGAACAGAATAAACAACAACAAAAGAAAATAACAAAGTAAGTGAAGGCTTATTCTAGAGAAAATGATTAGGGTAAGAAAAAAGGTAGTAAAATGTAGGTCAAGATAAAATTTTAAACAGAGGGTAAGTAATTTGATTTTGATTCTGAAAGAAAACATTTAATGAGGAAAATTGAGAAAATAGGCAATTAGGTCAGGTGTTCTTATAAGAATCATGTTTAGAGTTTTATAATGTTTGTACGATGAAGAAGATTTCTATGTGTCCCTAACTGGCTCATTTACTAAAATGATACGTTTTTCATAAAATGAACTAGAATTCATATTGCTTTATGCTGATGGTTATAATGGGATTTCAGCTTATACAGGGAGGTACAGCTTTGCATTGAATGCTTGTAACTGGGAAGAATAGAAAAGAAACTAAGATGACTCAGATTTTAATACCTTTAATATTTCCAATTATAAGGTATGATTGACCAGAAGTCAAAGATGAAAATGTAGGTGGAAAAAAAGAGGTGTACAAATTTACAAGAGATTAAGAGGAACTGAGGAATGCAGCTATGAGGGGGAAAAAAAAGATACAACAAAAAGGAAGAAAGCCAAAAATTTCTTTAAACATATAGGATTTAACTTTGATAGGTGGAAGTATGTTACCATTTCTTTCTTATGAGAGATAAGGAGAAAATGGAAGTAAGAAAAACCTTCCTAAGGGAAGTGCCAGATTTTTGTTAAGAAAAGTGACTTTGGTTCTTCCCTGAGAGTTCAACATTTATACTAAAATATTAACAAACATCCCCCTCCCCCTCAACACATTCTGAACAGCTGAAGCATTATTCCAGAGTAAAGTGTCCTGGGTTCTTTATACAGAAAACTGACTTAGTTCTGCCATATGGTTTTATTTAGGTCAATACCACTCTTATTTAATGTGCCTTGAGTTAATCTAGTCAAATTATGCTGTATATATGTGCTTTTAGAGTAACTCAGGACTGTTAACTACTGGAAAAGCTTAATAATAAAAGAAAACCCTAGTTTGCTGATGAATACTTGAATTGGATGAAATTAAAAATAAAGCCAAAATTATCATTTTTACAACAGTATGCATTCAAAACAATTTATCTTAGTGGGAATAATTCATTCAAAATGTCAATAAAAGCCCTTATAGTAATAAGATTCCAGATATGACTTATTTTTTTATGTTTCACTTACTGACACAGTTAGGTTCTCCCAAATTATGTCTGAGGCAGAAATATTGGACTCCCTCCATTCCTTCAATGTATCATTGCTAGGATTATGTGGTTCCACACAGTTACACCTGAAAAGGCAAAATAGTGTCTTTTGTGAAATAAATATCTTTTTGTCATCATACCTAAAACAAATGTGTAAGAGGTCCTTCTCTCCCAATCACAACCTTCCTCCATTTGAGATAAGACTAAACTCCAAAACACACTATTTCCAGACAGCAGGATAGATGTATTGCTAGGACACTAGATCACTCTACAATGTCTCCTAGAATAAGAGGTCATTCCCTCTCTGTCCCAGATAGCATAGGTTCAAACACAGGGCTTTTTGGCCCTTTCAAACAAACATGCTTTCCAGACCTCACAACAACCATTTGCCCCTAAATTATAAGTCAAGTGGGGAAAAAAATTAAAAAGCTCAAACCTACTATTATAACTTACTTATTTTATTAGAACTAGACAACCATATCAATTAAAATGGGAATTATTTAACTCATATTCTAAAGATCTTTTTGCTATGTAATTTAAAATTAAAGCTAGATTGAAGCAAGAACCCTAAGTACTCAGGATTTACTGTTCTTTGTGATGAGTGACAGTCCTATTAAAAATCAATCAATATGCACAAGTTTTTGAGTACCCACATATAAGGTAACATGATGAATGCAGGGTGGAGAAAGAACAGAGAGAATGAGTTAAGTTTTATGTAACAGAAAACAATTTTTGACCTCGTGTTCTTTATAACTTTATAAGTAAATGAGAAGACGCAAGCAAAAATTATCAACAAATCAATGGTTTTACATGTTAATTTCAATTTATAAATAGTTTGTTTCCAAAAATTCATTCATAAGCCTATGATATGCCATTCAGAAAGCACTTTCTTACAGAAGCATTTTATAAAAATGGTGGCTGGGCTCCCAGATTAAGCCACATATACTACAAAACTTGAAAATTAGTTGGACTACTGTTTTAGTGATACTAATTGAATTTCAGAATCCAACTATATTTCTAGTATTACTTCTGTAGGAAAATATCTTATAGTTTCTACGTGGTAAATTCCTCTTCATAAACAACAGTCTCTCTTCTGTCTTCTACTTCAAGAATTTGTTTTTCTTTACCACCAGTCATTCATTCTTCGAAGAGTACTGTGTCTATTATTTATTAAAAAAAAAACTTTACTTGATTTGGGCAATACAGCCAGACATGTTCCTGCTTTCCCTAGGGGAGGATACAGTATTCTCCAGCTGGGCTCACTTAGGGCTGGGCCTCTAAGAGGGTAGATGATTCCAGTGAGAGAGTTAGTGACAAGGGTTTTAAGGGAATGTGGTATGGAAGCATTAACTAACTCTGATCAGCTGTAGTGACCTCCATGTCATGAGAGGGAGGAGTTAACAGCAGAAGGGAAACAAAGGCATCTGAGATGCAGTAACAGCCATTCATTAATGCAATTTATTCAAATCTGTAGGTTTCTAAGTCCCAGATTAGTTGTATATAATTACAGAACACAGCCCTTTGTGTCAGAAAGCTCTGTCCTTTACTGGTTATGTGTCCATGGGCAAATTATTTAAGCATTCTAAATTTTGGTTTCCTCATTGGTAACATGGGGATTAAAATGCTTACCTAGTAGAGCTATAATGAAGAATAAGAAACATAATTACATTAAGTGCCTGATATACATTTAGGCTGTTTTGAAATTGTAGCTGCCATCTACATAATGTTTACCATCAATATTTTCTAGTTCATTTTTCAGTTTTTCATAAAATGTAATAATACGGTTACCTTTCAATTGATATAACACAAAAAACACTAGGCTTTCTCTAACATGCTGATACTCTTTGTATTTTGCTTCCAATGCTTTAAAGAGAATTAAATTCCAACTAGCATTAAAATAGTGTTGTTACTACAAGAATCTATCAAAAGAAACAAAATTCTTGTTTAATTTTGATTCTGTGTCATTAGATTTCTAGACAAATATAGTTTATATATGTATATATAAGTTAGTATATGTATATAAACAGAGTAATTTTGTTTTTAAAAGCTTGAAGTATTAAAAGAGAAATAGCAGTAAAACCATTAAATCACTTAATATTTTCTAAAATTAAGGATCAGATTTGGCTTCTAGTTTAAGAAAGAGGACTGAACACACATGTTTATTTTCCCTCATTACCTAGAATTCATTAAGCAAAAGAATAATATAAAAAGAAACATGAAGGGAAACATCAACAAAAAAAGAGATGTAAACAAATGGAGTATGAAAAGCATATGAAAGCAGGATATTTGAAAAAGCAGAACAGAAGAATAATACCAGTAACAGTAGTATTTTTACATTTAATCCTTAAAATGGGTGGCATTAGTCACATGAAAATATTGAGATGTAAGTGACTAGGCCAAGATTACACAGATAGAAAAGTCAGAGCCAGAATTTAAACCTAGGCAGTCCCCTCCTAATCACTAACTAAAAATATGTATCTCCCTCCAACTTCAGTAAAGGAGGGACCTGGCCTGCCCAGTAGAATCCCAAAGAGGGTCTGGACTAAGAGAAGGAGTCATATGCAACAAAGAAATAGAGTAAGAAGTGGAACTGAAGGTATGAGAATTAGTTAAAGTTTGACTATACAGTAGTTAATTTCAGAGATCTTCCCCAACTGCTACATACTTAAATGCATACTTCTCCATAGAATGGCATCAGACTTTTCTCTCAGCAATACCATCAATATTATGAGGCAAAATTATTTTGAATCTAGAGTTCTATATTGAACCAAATCATCAAATCAAATGTAAGAAAAATTTTTTAAATTTTACTTTGTATTTTAGTTTTCCTTCCATGCATCCTTAATTAGAGAGAAAATTTATAAATAAAAAAGGAAGATATGGGATGAAGAAAAGAGTGGTTCCAACCTAGGAAAGCAATGAAAGAACTCTCAGAAAGACAAATGTAGGGTAGAGCTCAAGAATGAATCAGAGAAGAAGTGACATCACAAGATGGCTGAACAGAAAGTCCCAGCTCTCTTTTTCCCACAGAAACACCAACTTAACAACAATATATGGACCAAAATATTGTGATGAGAATTCCAGAATCCAGTTAAGATGTTGCAGTACCTGAGTACAAAGCTGTGAACAGCCACATTCAAAAAGGTAAGAAGGGCAATTTTCACTTTAACTGCATCAGACCCTCCTCTAAGCTGACACAGGTCAGTGGTGGTAGAGAATACCCTAGCTCACATTATTTTGCACCAGGGGGTGAAAAGAAAAGCAGAGGCTACATCTGCCATTCCAGCTCTTCAGAGGGCTGACTGAGGGGCTGGTATCTGTTTTGTCTCATTCAGAGCACTGATAGAACTCTTACGGTTTGGGTGTTTGAGCGCCACTGAGAATAAAGAAGAGTAGAGAAAGTGGCTTGCAGTGACTAGAATGGCTCAGTGCAATTAGGGGCAGGGAAACAACTTGAGGCTTCTCTCTATAGAAGGAGTGGGAGGAGCATATAGCTGGTGTTCAAGCTTTTTGGAAGAGTGCCCAAGGGACTGGTATCTGTCTTACCTGACCCAGGGTGCTGATGGGGACTCAGTATATATGGCGGATACCTGGAGGCCTCAGAGAACAAAAGATAGCAGGGCAGCTTGCTACTGTAGAACCAGAGAACTTGCAGTGCCACAGACTGACACCAGAAGGAGCAAAAGATCATGAGCTTTTGGAAAAAGAAATCAGCAACATTATCTAATTGAGAAATTGTACACACAGGCTCAGAGAATTTGTAACCCCTTCCCTTCAAGAAAAGGTTACAGGGGCCCCTCAAGCTGATTAATAAGGGTCTTTGGCTGTATAAAAAGCCAGTCCATAAAGACTAGGAGAGGTGGGTGTTATTTCAAATGTGCCAATTACAAAACAAAGTTCTGGGACACATGAAGAAACAGGAAAAAATGGCCCAAACAAAGGAATAAAATAAATCAGAATAAATAGAATAAAATATACAACTTGTCTTAAAGAAATGGAGGTATACAAATTATCTGGCAGAGAACTAAAATAACCATCCTAAAGATACTCTATGAGCTCAAGAGAATGATGCATAAACAAAATGAGAATATCAACAAAAAGACAGAAAATATTAAAAGGAACCAAACAGAAATTTTGGAGATAAAAATGCAATAATTGAACTGAAAAATTCACTAGAGAAGTTTAACCTCAGACTCAGTCAAGCAGAAGAAAGAGTAAGTGAACTTGAAAACAGGTCATTTAAAATTATCCAGTCAGAAGAACAAAAAGACAAAAGAATGAAAAAGAATGAGGAAAGCCTGAAGAACATATGGAATATCATTAGCAGACTAATATACACATCATGGGAGTCCCCTAAGAATAAAGAGAATGAGGGACAGAAAGCTTCTTTAAAGAAACAGTGACCCAAAAGTTCTTGAAACTGGGGGAGGAAATGACATCCATATTTAAGAAGCCCAATGAATTCTAACCATAGGGAATCCAAACAAATCCACACTAAGACACAGTATAATCAAATGATTAAAAGTCAAATACAGAGAGAGAATTTTGACAGCAGCAAGAGAAAACTGAATCACCATGTGCAAGAGAAGTTTCACAAGACTATTTAGTGGATTTTTCAGCAAGAACTCTATAGGCCAGAAGACAGTGGGATGATAAAGTCGAAGTGCTAAAAGGGAAAAACTGTCACCCAAGAATAGTATATCCAGAAAAAAAAAAAGGATACTAGAAAAATAAAGCATTCCTAGACTGAAAAAAAAAGCAGAAGGAGTTCATTACCACTAGATTTGCCTTAAAATAAATGCTAAAGGGAATCCTTCACATTCAAACAAAAGGATGCTAAACAATATAAAAGCATATGAAAATGTAAAGCTTGCTAATAAAGGCAAATATATAGACAAATACAAAATATTGTAATGATGGTATATAAGTCACTTTTAATTCTGGCATAGAAGTTGAAGGGCAAAAGGATTAAAAAAACTAGTACTATAAAAATGTGTTAAAGGATACACAATATAAAAGAATATAATTTGTGACATCAATAATATCAAAAGTGTAAGGGGGGAAGTAAAAGTGAAGAGTATTTGTA